CTCTACCAGAGTTTCCTCTGGATTTGCCCAACGCAGGAATAGTTCACCATCTTCCGGCCGGTTATTTCGTCGTGTTTATCCGACACACCTTCAAGAGCGGTCACGAAATATTGTCTCACATGAAAACGGTCCGCAAGGCAAAAAAGGTTGGTGCCCCCTGCTTTAGGGTACTTGTTGACTATCAGTCACATGCCAGTATTTAGCCCTAGATGGTTTACAACCCACTTTGGGCTACATTCCCAAAAAAAACAACTCTGAGAAGACCGGACACAGGCGTAATGGGGCCGTTACCGGCCTCACGGCGTCTACGGGCTGAGACACTGCCCAAGCAATCTTCCATACGCCCCGTTTCCCATGTCCAACTGCCGGACGGGGATTTGGCACAGGGTCCTTCCCTCTTTGCTTGCCACTACTGCGTGAATCCTTAGCTTCATTTCCTCCGCTTGGTAAGACGCTTAAATTCATAAGGTTGCCTCGTCTGATCGGAGGTCATAGTCAAATAAGGTGCCGCCCCGGAGGGCGCCGGCATAGTCCTCCCTGCCAAAACAGGGGAGAGGCTCAAGGACCACTGGATCGGTACCCCGCCGGCATGGAAGAGGGTCCCACCGTAACCCGCGCCAACCCCTGCTGAAGCAACACATTTGGAACCAGAGAATTTGTAGCACGGTCAGTAGGAAGACCAGAGGTCCACCAGAAAGGCATCCGCACATGCCGGCTCAACGGTGGGCCCACCTCGGCCCCCAAAGGGTAAGGGGACAGTGCGCTCAAAGAGGAGGAAGTGCCCAACATTGGGGCATCCCGAAGTCTGCACTGAAGGGACCCGACGAGCTGACTTTACCTTTCATTTACTCCAAAACTGTACAGTAAATACTATGAAAATAGACAGGGATATAGAGGAGGTCCTTTTAAACAAGAATGCAGTGCAATTGGAATACAGCCTTTTAAGAATCTGCTTTAAAAAAGATTGGGGAATATAATGTTATTTCAAATAACGTCCAAAATAATGTTAAATGAATTTGGACAAATGATTTCTTAAATATGGGTCTATCGGCGTGTCTTTCGGGCTGTACAAGGCACCGTACCGTAACACTTTGAATGGAGGTGCATTTCATTTCAGGCTGCGGCTCGCTCAACCGAGATGCGCTCCACGTGACCGCAGTGTACTTCAAACTCGCCGACACTAATTAAGGTAACTACTTAAGCCACATAAACATGTTAGCGGGTTAACTGCCCGGAAAACACGGATAAAAGGTTTGTATAAAAACACAACAAAAGTCCCTCCAAACCCACACTTCTACGTCCTAACAGAGATATTACACGGGGACAGCGATATGGTTCATACCGCTCCCGCTTCTCTCTAACGTCCCCTGCGGGTGTCCGGTGGTCGTTTACTGCTCAAAGGCGACGTTCGCGTGACAGGTCGTCCCCGACCAGAAGTCTTCAGAGACATGTTAGTAAAGACGGAAGGAGAAGATGGAGCGCTCACCTGCTCGGTAGATTACTGCGACCTCTCTCTCTGCCTCCGTCCCCCACACACGCGCACTCTCCCCCCCTCCCTCCCCCTCTCTCTCTCCCTCTCTCTCTCTCTCTCTCTCACGCACGCGCGCACACACGCCCGCCGTCCCGCAGAGGCTTCCCCGCCTGGGTGCGCTCGCTCTCCGTCTCGGTGAATGATGGCGTTAGAAGCACAGGGTTCAACCCGGTGCGAGGAGGTGGAGCCCCAGTCCGCCTGGGACAGGAGCGGGTCGGTCCCCTCCACGCGGCCGGACCCCACCCAGCGCTATCACCGCCGGGTTAAAGATTTACCCGCTGACTCACACGCGCCGAGCTGCTCTGATAATGTGAGAAGAAAGACGTTGTTCAAGGCGGTGAACTTAAACTTGACCCGCATACAGACTTTTGGAAAAGGGTCAATGAGGGATCAGCACCAGGACCCTCAACCAGTGAAATGGAACCCAGCCATCATTCATTTCTGTAGATTTATTTAAAATGATCAATCTGCCTGACAGGCATGAATTGATTTGCCTTTACTGAATACTGACTTTACCACTGACCACTCGTATGTGCTTACTGTGTGGCCTCGTTAGGCTGTAAGTGAGGAACATTTATGAAGAGATTAATTGCTCAAGGCCAAGATCACATATACTATATATCTGTAACCCAAACTCATATTTCTAGAAGTTTTCTTGTTGTTACTCATTTGAGAGGGATGTATAGGCAAAACAGAGGCTCCCGATCCCTTAATTGCCCCTTTTAAAATTTTCTGAAATGTAACTTAATGTCGAATTGTACTGTCTGTCACTTTTTGTGAATTTCTCAAGTGGATGGATTTCCTATCTTTTACTAATCACGCTATTTTGATTGTGTGTGTTTTGTTTACTTCTATACCCGTGTGATTCCTTCCATACTCAAATGGCAGCGCTGAATATGCAGTCCAATATAGTGCCGCCCTGTTTCGCTTCACGGGGGGAGGATAGTGAGACAACTCATCGCTGACAGGAGTTGTACCATGGAAATTATCAAGAGATGATGACAATCTCCATCGCCAAGCTCATTATGTGGTGCCAGCCAAGTGAACCGGTACATATCGCATAACCCCAACCAGCAGCCGCACTAACACAAAGACAGTGTGTGTGTGTGTGTGTGTGTGTGTCAAGGTCTGGCGATAATCTATGAGCGTCATACCAATATGGTAAGATGTTAATGAAATGAAATATGGAGCCAAAAGGGGTACACAAGGGGATAATAATGTGTTTGCACACTGGGAGTGGGCTGAGCCAAAGTGAAAAGAGGCAGAATGTGAGGCAGAAAAAGAGAAACAGAGGAGTAGCTGTCAGGCTCACTGTCAGGAGCCGGCTCAGGTTGTGCAAGGTGAAGCCCAGGAATGGTTGGAATCCATAATTATTAACAGCATTCTCCTTTAATACAAACATGAAAGTAAACAGTAAGTACAGGACCTGCACATCTTCAGGTGAATAGAGGCCTGTTGTCCAGTGTTGTATGCGCACGCACCAAGGACAGTGATCAGGAGTCCCAAAAATAAGCACTGGTTCAAACAAACAAACAAAGAGGGGGAGACGCCAATTGATGGAATGCAATAAAAACCTGTGACAGGACAGCAGAGACCACGTTTTAGGAGAGTTCCGATTGCAAGCGAAGGCTGTAATTTGTTCAGTTCAGGAAAACACCTGGAAGAGGTGTTCTACCTGATTGCTACGTATGCTCAGAAAGCGAAAATGAACAGCGTTGCCTCTGTTTTTCATTCTGCGAGTGTGTGCGAGTGTGTGTGCACGTCCTCTCGTCTTGAGGTCCTATGAATTTGACGTGTGCAAGTCACCCAACGTCAGTCTCAGAGGAGAAAGATGTGTGTATACATTACATTACTGTACGTATGTTGTATGTATGTAAAATGTTCCTCTTGTGCTTCAGTTCATTTGGGTTTGACAGGCTGGCAGCTGGCCGAAATCTGCAGCCTGAGCTGATGTTTACGCATTAAATTCCCCAGTGGTGAGGGATTTGCGCCATCTTTTAACCCTGCACACTGTAAACACTGGGAATACCAAAGGTGGATCAAGATGAATCGGTTTAAAAATCTGACCCTTAGAGGTGGAGTGTGTAGGATTTAGTTCCATCTAGTGGCATCTAGTAGCTCGCTGCTCCCTTTCCAAGACTGCTCTACCACATTGCACCTCTGACACAGTAGATATGAACGAGTCGATGGAAGCTCAATGAATAGGAGTGTCAGGGCATTATACACTAATGGAAACATATTCATAAATTTCCATTTCAGCCTAAACATTCTGCTAAATGTTTAAAACCTGGACCTGTAAAGTGCTTGTTGCTACAGCATGTAATGCAAAAGTAACAAACTCCTCATTAACATAATCCATAATCTGTTTATAAATTTCAAATGCAAATGTTTTATTTAAAAATATTTTTGGATCCATTTTATTCTATCATTATTTGGAAAGGTAAACTTAAATGCAGTTGAACAAATGAAATCCTGATCTTTACAATGGCCCGTGCCTCCACTCTTATAAAGAATAACACATAAGTAAGATTTACTCAGTCGTGACATGTCCAGCATAATCAGCAGGTCTTCATCCAGATGATTCACAATGAGATGGATAATAAAATTGCCAGAAAGAATTAACAAGGTCCAAAGTAGATCCAGGTCCTCAAATTGGTGCAATTTAAATTTTGTTCGTCCCTCGCTTCTTCAAAAAGATTAGCTTTGAAATGTCCTTTGGTTCTCATGCCATGTCCCTGCTAAATTGTCATTTCACTCATTGTTTCCCTGCCACTCAACATGAGTTCCTTTACAAACAGTTTTCATTGAAGATTTGGCATCCAGCTGTTGGGAAGCTTGATCTGTCTATCAGGCCAAATAAAATGAACCCACTACAACATATAATAAATAAAAGTAATGTTCATTTTCTCGATCTTACCAGTCCCAGAATCTTGTTTTTGTCATGTTGAGGGATGAATAGAAGCTCAGCAACATGTTTAAGAAGTGTTGTTTCCTTCAACAGGCTGCACATACAATAAAACAAAAGCTCTTAGCAGCTAGCATAGTAGCATAGCACTGTACATTTAGTAGTTGCCATCTTCACTCAGAGTCTTGAGGAGTACCTCCTCTACCACAGTGTCACCTGGTGGTATAATAACGATGATAAAACATAACAATCTTACACTTGAAATAATATTAAATTATTGTGGCCCTTCTTTGCAACTTTTTATCAAGCACAACTATTGATATATTGATTTGTCGTTTGCAACTAGCTTTAACTTTAAAAAAAGGTTGATTGGCTTTACACAACAGAACACAAGGGTGTCTGCTAATTCTCAGACGTCCGTCAGAGTCTCTCTACCATTTCGCCAAGCCTGACCCCCCCCACACATCTCTGCATGCATGTACAGTGTTTGTGTCTGCATCGGGGAGTTGTTGAAGGACCAAACCGTCTGCAGTTACCAGATGAGAAAATGTTGAAGACAACACATTATGTCTCAGCGGGTTTTATTCAATGCATTGATAGAACTTTTGAGGATATGAACACAAATGAAGTCAGACTGTTTCTTGTCACCATCCACATGCTTTACAAAACAACATTAAAAGGGAACCATTTTCAATTTGTATTTATTTAAATTACTTTACTTTTACTTTTTACTATATGTATTATTATATTTTCTTGTTTCTTGTGTTTGTCAAATATATACTGTATGTGTTTATACTGACAACATTCCAATAAAATAGTTTTTGTTTAAATTCAAAAACCAAATGTTGGTTTCTTGATTAGTTTGATGGCTCAAGTCGTGGTGTGGGTTCGTTTTATGGGAGAACATTTGTGGTTCAACCACTGCCTCAATACAGCAGCCGTGAATTAATGTCATATCTGGGAACTAATCATATCATCAATGACATAGTTATATCTGTCACATGAAAGATATGTAAAATGAGACATGGACAAAGAGAGAGACTACTTTAGTACTTAGTGGTCTAACAAGTCAAGTAGTGTACCATGTGGACTTCCCCTTATTATCGAGTCTTACTGGTAGACATACCAGGATAACAAATATAAAAGGGTATTTGGCGCCTAGACGGCGAATCACCAAAGTCGTTTCTGATTTGGTTCGGCGATGTCAGACATGAAAAAAGTTCCAATTTACACCACTGAACAAATCTGTGGCTTAAGATAGTTGTTCATCCAAGTGCATATAGGGGTCGCTGTATTTATTACACTCCCCAAGAGGGATTTAGTGCCTGTCTTAGAAATGGATGGAGGCCAGCAGCTTTGCTGAGTTTGGTGGGTTTCTGGCCTTCTAAGAGCACTCCATCTTCATTAGCAGTGTGACTCATGTGAGAGTACCAAACAAAAAGCAAATGTTAGCAGTTTAAAGCGTATTTTTTCATTAATAAAAATATGGGCACTCCCTCAAGTTTATATTTCAACAAAGCGACAATGGAGGTGATTGCCGTTGGATGGCAGGCGTATTTCTCCATACCTTTACAGGTATTGAGGCGTGTTTCAGGTGAGCCAGGCGTGATTGATATTGATATTGATTAATCCTCTTTAGGATTGTGGAGGAGCATATTTTAGTATGTGAATATAGAAAAACTACATAAAAATAAACAATGAAATCACCCACAAAATGAAAGCATATAAGCTATATATAGACCCCCCTATAAACATAGATCCCCCCTGAGGCAGCATGATTCAAACCCCAACAATCTACTTGATGCCTGCCACCATGTGGATCCACCAGTTGGCCTGTACAGTCCAGCCCAGGTGTTCACACAGATCGATTTTCTGGAGGAAATGCTCCTTGGCCTCTGCCTCACTTTGTTCCTCCTGGAGCGCCTCCCGCAGGTAACGCATGTCCTCTGCAGCGCTCAGCTCAGGGATGCCCGTCAACAGCATGAGGGAGAAAAGGGTGACCAGCATTCGAGAGTGCGAGCGCAGGGAGAGGTAAGCTTCGGTGCAAATGTCCTAATATGGAAAAATGTGGGTGAGGAACGGAGGACAGGGAGGAAACATAAGGAAATGAGGACACACTGAATAACAGGAAACTATGATGGTACATTTACACTTGCACAGAGGATTCACTTGCCCCTTCACCTTCCACGCTAAACACATACTCCTCCATCAATAAGAACGTTTTGTCATCAAACGATGAGGCATTTAAATCCCATCCATCCATCCATCCATTGTCAAACCGCTTATCCTGCACACAGGGTCGCGGGGGGGCTGGAGTCCATCCCAGCCAACTTCGGGCGATAGACAGGGTACATCCTGGATTGGTCGCCAGCCAATCGCAGGGGCATTTAAATCCCTATTCTTTAAAACAGCAAGACCCCTGGTTATCATTCGCCAAAAGATAATTATTTTCGAGCATGGAACAAGCACTAATGCTTGTTTTCAGAAGGGCTCTTATGGATGAATATACACCATCTGGGGGCCCTTCCAGTAGAGAAAATGCAATTCAGTTCCCTCTGAGGTGTCTTTTCAGTGTGAAAATGTGATGCAGTGCCTTCTGGGACATAAAACTTTATTTATATCTATCTAAGCCTCTTTTACCTCAGACTACACATCGTTGGCTATTTGAGATGGATTGATTGGAATAAGTTGCTGCACTTTTTTAGTGTTTTCATAGGATGTGTTGACAATATATACACCGTAACAAATTGCTGTAAATTTACGGTGCATTTCTAACGGTATCTTACAGTATGTCACAATAACTGTAACATACAGTTCATTTTCCATCCCTTGTAAATAACGGCCAATGTCATAAATAAACAGTTAAAGCTGTCAATTTACAATAATAGCAGACTGCCGTAATTCAACTGCACGTTATAAATTCCTGGCGTCCTTGCTGCCAGTAAAATTTACAGTGATTTTTTTTAGAGTGTACACAAAATGCAATCAAATTATCAGTGTAACTACACACAAAACCACAACAACACCTGCACACAAATAGAGCTTCTCACCCTGAAGCGCTGAAAGTAGAGGCTGTTGCGGCTTTTGCCCCCGCCCATGACATGCAGGAAGTCCGGCGTGAGGACGAATGGCACACGCTCCCTCTTCATGCCGAGGAAGTGCTTCCTATTACCCAAGATGTGACCGAAGTCGATGTGAAACAGGTTCCCTGAGAGGTCCCGGGAAATATAAAGAGCATTTAGCATTCAGCTAAGTCCAATTCACAGCTTGTGAGAATCTGAACCACCTTTGTGGCGCATACCTTGGTCTGTGATCATGATGTTGTCATTGTGTCGATCTCCTATACCCAACACATACGTGGCCACACAGTAGCCCGCACAGGACTGCACGAACCTCTCCACGGTCTTGTAGTGCTGTAGTCAATACAACCGTTACACAACCGATGATGTGGCAGAGCAAGAATAGAGGAATAAAAGTCAACTGGTCTACACTCTTGATTCAGGCAAGCTGTAAGAAGCTTTCATTAGAAGGTAAAAGTGAAAGTATATTGAAGAAAGGACCATCTAGGGACAAGATGTGTCTACTGAAAAAATGAAGTCTCTCTGTGTGCACACAGACAAAAATAGAAAAGGCTATTAGTCAATGTTTTGAAGTCCGACTGACGTTATTAAGCAGTTAGGCTTTTTTCATTTGGATCCACATCTCGCAAATAACCCTGCCTTTGATTGTCTTCCACATTTCTTCTTACTATTTCCTGAAGTGGACCTTTGGACTTGAGCCACTCAAATAGAGCATCGTTCTTGAAGGCTGCTGAGGTGCCTCCCTGGCTCCAATGGACAGCAGCGATGGTCACAGCATTCCTCACAATCTCAATCATACCTGTCGAGGAGAAACCTGCTTTCACTTTTTTTGTTGTTGTTCTGTTTATGTCCCTTTTCATAGGACGTACTTAAAGATGACCAAACGTCCAAACTACAAAAGAAAAAATAAGCTCCTCCGACTAGGGTGACGTCTTTGGTTAAGAAATGTTATCTCATCTATGAAATATGAAGCAGATATATAAAATATCTCTGTTGTCTTCTACTCTGCTCTTTCTGTTTCAACAGCGATGGCTTGATTCCAGATGCGTTTTGGTAGCTTGGTAAATAGAACGCGCTCATAATGTCCTGGATTCGATTGCAGTCTTTGGACCTACGGAGCAACGTTTATTGTTGTCCTTCATATTGCTAAATGTGTGTAGAATTTGTCAGAAGCTGCCAGAAGAAAACTGTAATATTGTGTAAACATTAGGGAAAAAGGAAACAATACTCCAAGTGGGGTTTAGTTCAGTCTAATAACTTAATAGTATTCAAATATATTCATTATGATTTGCAGATGTAACTTCAGACAGAAGTTAAACGGCGAAAATGGTGGTGAAAATGACCAATGTTGTGTCCTGTGGAGATGCAGCCATACGGAACAAGGTTAAGGTCCAGATCTTTCTTCTGCCAGATAGAGTCCATCACCACCAGTGTCTGTATAGGAAGATGTCCAAAGTCAAGTGTCACTTAATCTAGGGGTAAAAAGATGTTAACCGAAAAAATCACCAACATTCTTTATTTTTTTGAGAAATAGATAAAGATTAAATGTATTCTCTTTAACCTGAATAACCAGCATGTCCTGTCTGAGGTCGTCCCCCTCTTTGAAGATTATTCCCACTGGTGTGGCAGAGGTGGGTGACGGCATGGGAGAGAACTCCAGCCATAGAGGCTTCTTCTTGGAGGCCATCACCTTGCATTTGTCCAGCTGGACAAGAAGGATTAAAGAGAACTGTTGTGCTCGTCCTGAGCTTGGCGGTTTATAGGGAATGGGTTTTGTTAAAGGTCTAAAGCTGTAACAGTGTTCAAGTTTGATTATTTTCTATATATATATATATATATATATATATATATATATATATATATATGTGGTGTAGTCCATCCATCTGAGCACATGAACCTGCATTCAAACTCTGCATCATTCAGTGCCTGACTTGGAATATTAATTCTTAATTAGATTGGGTAGTTCAGTATCCCTAACTAGCCAATGTTAATCAACTGACATCTTTGTAGTATTGTATAAACTTGCAATGCACCTGCATTTCACATTCTGATTAGTGAAGGTCAGAGTAGCTGGATTGGCCTGTAGAACATGAAACATGATGGGCAAATATTTGAGCTCGAAATGATTAAATGAATGTAAAGGAGCGCAATGTCAAGCCGGAGAGACAGGCACACAAAGATTTGAGCGAAAGAGAGGAGGGAGATCGAAAAAAGGGGAATGCGAGGGACGAGGAAATGAGCCGGGCCGAATCAAAGAGAGAAAGACCGAAACTGACGAGTGAGCTAATTAATAAATTATAACCCGCCCACTGCACTGCCAAAGCCTTTTGCCAAATCATGTAAAACGTTCTTGTACCAGAAAACAATTAGTTCCTAGCTGATGGACCTAGTTTAAAAGCCTATGTGTGTGTGGACAGAAATGTACTACTGGGAAGTCGGGGCGTCAGGATGAACCAATCACCATCAGAAAACACAAATAACATTCAACACACTTTTTCAGACATACGAGCAACGTTAGCCAGGCTTACCAGGATCCTTCCGGCTTTAATTCGGGGGTCAAAGGGCAGCAGAAATTCATTCGGCAGATTACTTTGTTTTAGAAGCTCTCTGAGCTTCAGAGGAGCTAAAGCAAAAAAACAACAACACAAAGACAGACGTATATGGTAGATTAGTGGGCCCATTTTGGCTACTGAACATGGGGGGCCAACAATGAGGCAATCACTGATGGCTGGAGGAGCAGATGTTTGTCTTTTCATACCTTCTTGCTTCTACAGATAATCACTCATGAGTGCATGTTATGAAACAAGTGGTTTGGACCAAGCAATCTGAGCCCCTGGACACTTGGAACATTACATTACAGGTTATTTAGCAGACGCTTTTATCCAAAGCGACTTACATTACACTTTAAACCCATGGCTTTTCACATGTTGCCCAGCAATTAGGGGTTAGGTGTCTCGCTCAGGGACACTTTGACTTGAGACATTGGGCAGCCGGGACTCGAACCGCCAGCCTTGCGGCTCACAGCGCACCCGCTCTACCCCCTCCACCACATCCTCAAATTTTTACTGAAAAACATCACTCTGCCATTGCCATGGCAACGTGGAGCTGCCAGAGCTTTGTAACAAGCCCACAGTATTGATAGAAAATGGAGAAAAAAGAATTCAACTTTGTTCTGTCTGGCAAGACTGAGTTTTTGATGAAAAAGAAAAATGGAGACGCGTGAGGAGCTCAGTCAATCACAGAATTCAAGTAATTAGGTCAGTCCCTTGATCCCATTCAACATATATGTGCAGGAAATCGGCTTCAAGTAGATGTTTAGCTAAGGCATAAAGTGTTGCAGTGTGTGTAGCCATAGTTCCGTTAGCTGGCATCACTAGAGGCAACTAGGGGGGGCAGGTAAGAGTAGTGAGTGAGCTCAATGACAGCGTATAAAAGAGGCAATGAAAGGTGTTTACCGAACAAGAGTCTACCAAAACACAAGAGGTTCATGTGGCCATAATGATGATCCCAAAACATGATGCAGCAGAATGCGTAATGAGCCGATGGAGCAGAGAGCAGAGTTGGGATGACTGAATCCCAAGGGCCCGTTAAACCAAAGTGTCCAGAGAGAAAAGGAGGGTCCAGGAAAACGTACACCACAATACTGTGTAGTGCAACCAGATTCAACAGGTGGGTTGAGCGAAGAGCAATTTGAAATACGTAAAATATCATGTGAAATTCTGCTCACTAGCATAATGATGAAATGAAAATAGGTATTATGAAGAAACAGGACATAACTTTCCTAAAAACACGATACACGGATTGTCAAAACAGAAGAGGGACCACTGAGGCAAGAGGCAACCTATTTTGGAAATATCTTTTTCAGATGCATCTCACCTGTAGGAGGAAGGTCGGTCTTGTCAGGGTAGAAATTCTTAATGGTTATAGCGACCTCCTGCAGGGCCTCCACAGCCTGGACCTGCTGGGTGAAGCTGTCGAGCATGGCCTGACCACAGCCCAGCAGGTAGGCCTCCAGAATCACAGCCATGCGCTGGCGGAAGTACAGGCCGCCTGCCACCTCACTGCGGACGTACCAGAAGAAGAAGTGGCCGATTCGCTTGCTCTGCGGGGAAGGAGGAGACATTGGAGGTGAGCTGAGTAATGGACACAGAAACAGATCTGTTTCTCATCTGTCATGTCATGTTTCACATGTCAGGAACCAATCTGCGGCTGTCCCAAAATTCCTTCCAACTTCAGTTACAAGCTACTGTTCCTTGACCTCTGTGGAAAACGTCATGGGGTTAAGGAAAGATGGGAAGGAGAATTCCTTAAGGAGTTAGGGAAAAACAACTGTGGTGATTACAGAATATGGGACTACACTTTCAGTAAGCTACGTAATTATACATACGGCAGATGTCAATGACGCTGTTCTGCGATGGAGAAACTACAACAGGACTTTAAAACCAAAGCAGGACTCAATGAACTGTGGCAATAAGGCTGTATGAAGAGCTCCTTTTGGACCGTCTGCTTGTCTATCTGCCTCTCCTCTGCACCTTCACCACCTTATGATTCCAAATGATTCCGTATCACTTCCTCAAACTCGTAACCCAGAGTAAGTCTACTGTGTAAGTCGGTTGATGTTATAAAAATTGATTTTTGATCAGCTATTTTGAGGATTTTTGGGCTCAATGACTGTATTGCACTTGTACAATGTACAACTACACTTTTCTTAACTTCACGTTTGGCCAAGTTCTCTGGGCGGTAAGTACTAGTATGATTGCAAATGTTAAATGGATGGAAAAATGATGCAGCACAAAAAAATATATATTCATCAAAATGTATTATGCCTGTTGTTGTTGCTCCAAATATCGGGATGCTGCATGACTCACCCGCAGAGCTCTTTGGATGAGGTACCGAGCGAGGAAACTGTCATGATACGGTTCCACTTTAAGGGTCTGCATGAGTAAAAAGAACAGAGAAAAATCCTTTCACCACAATATGTTCAAGTATAAGTACCTCTACATAATAACAGATATTAATGGCTAATGCTAAAAGATTTTATTACCTATTAGATGTATCACGGAAAAGTTACACCACCCTCACACCACCCTCTTTTTTTGTGACTTTGGATCAGTGCGCAAAATTAACCATAGTGAATAACACACTTATATATAGATATAAAGTGTTTTCCATTCATCAATCAATTTGTAGATGTGGTAATAAGTAGTAAATCAAATGTGATTAAATGCAAATTTACTAACATTAATTATACGATAAAGTTCAATCCCAGTTTGGTCTGAAAGGCCTATCTGCATCACTTCTCTAGCAAATTTTTTTACCACATACATGCATCAACTTAACGATAATACAATAATTTGTTAAATCCATTGTGCATTCAGGCGTCAATGGTCACCAGCTAGAAGCCTCTTTTTGCCTAACTACTGCCAAGGGCTTAGGAAACACTCAATTACCAAAATCCAGTTCGACCAGTTGTGAATCTTAAGCTTTTTCAGGCCAATTGTTAGAGCCATTGAGTTTACCAATAACAGGTTTGGGTATAAACCTAAACTAATTATGTATAGTGTTTTTGCATTGAATTACATAGTGATTCCAATGGAAGACTATTCTCAAACACATTTGGGTATTGTGACAGTTCTCCCCCTCACCTCCCGAAACACACACACACACACACACACACACACACAAACACTTTGTCAAGCAAAACACTCTTGCTGTATCTTTCACATACCTGCACCAGCTGGAGCAAATACATTAATACATCGTCATTGGACAGGCGCTCCAATCTCTGCACTGCCAGTCTCCTGACCATCCTGTCAGAAAAATCCATACTCAGAAGCTCCAGTGCTACTGTCACATCCAACTCCCCAGGATCCCAGTTTCCCAGTAGCCAGTGGACATCCTCCACCACACTGCGGTCCATCCAATCAACATTGCGCAGATATTGGGGTAAATTGGTGCCGTAGCGGATGCTCTCCTCCCGGAACCTTTTGAGGCAAGACATGTTGGTGTTGGTGACTGAAGATGGGTATCTGAGAATTACAGTGTTTGTCGATGAGTCCTGGCGATGTTTCGCATGTAGAGAAGAAGAAATTGTGCCAGGTGAGTTCAAAGGGGGTGAGGTGGGGGAGGCAGCATTAGGGGAGGTGGAAGATTTGGTCGGAGGGAGGCTGGCGGAAGAACTGCAGGAGCGTTCAGACGTGCAGAAGCTGTTTGGTAGAACCACAGGGAAGCTGTAGCGATCGAGAAGGAAGCTGATAGCCATGGAGTCTGCTATGTCTGGGTTAGTGGCAGAGGACAGCTTGTCGGCCTCGTAGGTGATGGCTTCTTCTTCCACGTCAGGGTAGGACCACATGTGCATGGTATAAGGGCCCTGGCTGAGCAACGACCTGCACACACAATTTGAAAATGAATTTAATATTAATTTGAAATGAGCAACCAAGACACTTTTTACTTAGCCAGATAAATCATATGTTAGCAGGTTGTCTCTTTCTGTAACTGAAAGTTGTAATTGATATTAAAAGCTAACCTGTGGTCAATGAGGAGAAGATTGACAAAGTAAAGCACATTTCCCATTCCTTTATGCAGGTCCGGGGCTTTAGTGAATGAAGACGATGATGACTTTGAGTCTTTGGTTTCTGGGGGGATGTCACCATGACTAGCATTAATAGTGAGAGCTAGCTTGGCTCCACGTGGCAGATCCCTGAGGAGAACATCGAACTCCAGCCACTCATTCCACAGCACTTCCTCTTCGAAAGCCTTGGGAAGGGAGGAAACCGAAGATAGAACCTTGTTGCCATAGAGTATGGAGGCTTTCACGTAAACATACTGAGGGCATTTGCTTGGAAGGTTTGGGATGTCGAAGCCAAGCAATTTCACTCGGAGCCTCCTGTTGCAGTCCCACAAGGATATCATGAAGATGTCGTCCACATCCTTCCCTTCGAAGCGGAGATCGTCGTGGGAGCAGAACTGACCACTGAAACCATCAACAAGAGGCCAGTCCACAAACTTGACAGCCTCGTCGGCGAGCTGCGACAAGTGGACCACGGACAGGTGGAGGTCTTGGTTGCTTTTCAGGCACTGTCGAACCCAGAGGAAATCGCTCAGGGGGTGTTCTCCAGATAGAAACTCTTCTCTCCCAGAGACTTTCAACACCAATCTGTCCAAAGTGTCATAATCTAGCCCATGGTCTGCCGCCACCCTTCCAAAAAATGTGAGAAGAACCCTTGGCGTTGCACTAAAGTCAACCTCTATGCTAAAGCTGATCTTGCTCATGTAATGGAAGGTGACCGGGAGCTTTCTGTTGAGCTGGCCCTGAAGGTCACTTGGAATATCGGCACTTGTTATCCAAGGCTCTGTGGCATACAACTCGTGGTCCCGGACCCTTAGCTCCTGTCTTCTTGAAGATGCCAGTTTCCTTCTGGTGAACTTGAGCTCGCCGAGTCTGTCGGACGCTTCTGTATCCAGGTCGTGTCCAATCAGGTACGCCAGAACACTCTGCTGTTTCTTCTTGTCCTCCAAGTTCATCGTCATCAGCGGTTTTACCACAATATGCGCCGAACGACGGCCGGTGTGGTCACAGGACCATGGAATGTCCAACGTCCTGATGACCTGACAGTCATCGTAGGCCTCGTACCAGTCGCCCCCCCTGGCATATAGCAGAGTGTATCGCTCCGGGTCCAACACTGCAAGTGGGTTTGGGTGGCAATTTCGTTCCTGTGCCTGAAGGTGTAGAGGCAAAGATTTTGTAAAATTGTTGATGGCTGCAGTTTGTTTATATGAATAAGTTATATTGTACATCAACACAGTTACAACAACCTATCCTAAGGGGGAAATGTAGGTGATTTAGGAAACTAAATTTACAGGAAATCTGTTGTTTAGGTATTCCACAATTAAAATGTTATCCATATTGTGGTAAAGCAAAAGTCAATAGACATTTGACAGCTTTAGTTGCTTTTAGATACAGAGCCATACCGTTCCTGTCCAGTGAAAGGGCAGCCTGATCTCCAAAGCCTGTTCGTAAAAATTTATACTAAAATCTTGAAGATACAAATTCATAGTGATACATACTAAATAAATAAGGACTGCAACTGATGACGTCACCCTATTCAAAGTGAATGGGGACCTGCACCCCGTAAACAAGTCTAACGATGTAAAATAAACGTGTTATGATTGCATTTTTAACGAGAAATCAATGTTAAATTGTAAGAATACACTACTAACCCGACCCCCTCAAAAAATTCAACTTGGCGGAGAGACGTTCACTCAAGGGGCGTGGTTAACCACCGCCAGTTAGTATGTATTGTTACGAATTTCTATGTCAAATATTTTGTATACATTCGTACGAACAGGTTTTAGGGGTTCACGTTGGGAAGGGACATATCTCAGAAATGTAGGATTTTTAAGTAAAATGTTCTTGACAAAACTATAGTTTGAACTGTTCCTTTTTTATTTTTTGAGAAAACTTTTTTTCCAGAGCTACATAGATCTGGCAGCACAGCAAAACTCAAACAAATAGAATATGAAGCATCACTGTAAAATAAACTTGCCAACATTATATACAGGTTAACATAAGTAATTGTAGTCAAACACAGACTGGGAATATTTTCCTACAGAATGAAAACATTTCATTTTGATACTACATTTTACAAATGTGTGTTATTAGTACTTAAAGTAAAGTAAAGGATCTGAATAGTTCTTCCACCATTGCTTGAGACATTTTTGTACTTTTCCTGAGCCTGTCACTTCTCCATTCCCAACCCTCATTCCCCGCTATTAGCACCATCTTAAAAAAAAATCAATATATGTGTGCATACTGTATATTGAAAATAAACTGGATAGAAAACTCATCGGGCAAAATAGTAACAGTATAATAGTATTCTTTCTTATGAAGAATAGACAAATCAATAAGGTTTTGGCCTACCTGCATACCAATGCCAAGCCGCAGCTGATAGACAGTGCACTGGTCGGGGAGTATGACCGACACTGACTCACTCGCGGTATTGAAGTTGTAATCCTCTTTGCCAGACGCCTGCTGTGGACCCGACCCATTTTTGAACTCACAGATGAATTTCAGGTTCTTCTCAGTGTGTCTCTGACTTGGCATATCAGATAAAGAGTCCACAACAGGTGAATTGAAAGCCGGATTCCGGAGGAGTGAGGGATCCATCGGTACTTGAGTGAGAAAATCACAAACTAAGAACTCTGATTTTGACTAATTTTGGGATCCACGGATGCAGTGTGGTTCACCGGTTGCAGATGCAGCACGCTAACAAAGAAAGTTATGAAGAAAACTCCACACGCAGGTGCTGCTTTTGAGCTCCTCGGGTGGAGTCCGAGTGACTAGCTTACCTGTTTGACTGTGTGAGACTGTATGTTCCCTTTTTTTTGCTCGGGGACTTCCTCCTTCTTTTACAGCACACCTCTCAAACATGTAGAGTTAAATACCAACCAAACACTCACTGACATTGTTGACTTCCTTATTCCCGTTTTACTCTTTGATAACAAATGGTGGTTAACAGTGTTCCACTTCTGCAAATGGAATAAACAATGAAAAGTGTCTTTGTTTTTGTTATGTACTCAGGAACAGTGGGTAAAGTGTTTTGCAATCACAAGGCTCAAAATGAGCTAGTGACAATGCACCGAACCTGCTTGGGTGGTTCGACCTGCTATTCTGCAAATGCACTTATAGTATCATGGTTGCGTCTTTTATCCAAAACCAAGAGTTGATATTACAGCTGGCACCCTTGTTGTATCCACAGACTAGTTTATTTTACCTTGTGAAATAAAAAGTAAAAATCTTGTGTTAAAAAAATATATACTTTTTTCAGGCATCAAACATTAAATTGTGCTTTAACTCTACAAGTGGAACGGTAGAGAAAAACGTGGTCAGTAAACGCTGACAAGATCAGCAATAGGCCAGTACTACAGTAAATGTGCAATAATCTTAGTTTTTTTGCACATCTGATTAAAGGGAAGTGGAGTATTGCTGGAGGATTGTGCCGCTTAACATATCACAAAAAAGTATGACCCATAAGAGGAAGTACTATAGTTCTCCTTAGAATGTTTCAGCTGCAATAACATTCTCACTCAGAAGGTACTGATTCAGGCTCTTGTCATCTCACGCCTGGACTATTGTAACTCCCTCCTGCAGGTCTCCCTGCTGCCGCCATTCGACCTCTGCAGCTCATCCAGAATGCAGCAGCTCGACTAGTCTTTAACCTCCCTTAATTCTCCCACACCCCTCCACTCCTCCACTCCTCCGCTCTCTTCACTGGCTACCGGTGGCCGCCCGCATCCAGTTCAAAACATTGGTGCTCACCTACCATGCTGTGAATGGATCGGGTCAAGCTTACATCCAGGACATGGTCAAACCCGACATCCCAACCTGCACTCTCCGCTCTGCATCTTCTAAACTGCTCGTCCCTCCCTCACTGAGAGCAAAACACTCGACTAGATCACGACTCTTTGCTATCCTTGCTACGAAATGGTGGAACGAGCTCTCTGAAGACACCAGGACCGCAGAGAGCCTTCACATCTTCTGCCGCAAACTAAATACACACCTCTTCAGACTCTACCTCGACTAAAAAACACAAAACAAATTGTAGCACTTAAATTGTACTTGCACTCTTCAGATCAGCTATCACTTTCTTGTTTCTTGTTCTTCTGAGTTTGTATCCAAATAGTTGAAATGCTCTTATTGTAAGTCAAGTCACAGGACCTTCAATCCTGTGTTTTTGAACAACTAGATTTTAGTGGCACGGTATATCGAGGTAGACGAGAATGAACTGGGTTGTGTTTGAATCATTGTCGTGGTATACCGTCGAATGCACAGGGATTAAAAAATGACAACAATGTTTAAATCTGTAAAGTTCTGCCTGTAACTCATTGGTGATTTGTGAGATGTGAGATGGGAGAGCGAACAAGATATAATGTTAGTAAGGGATCCTTAGAGGTGCTGGTGAAGACATAATATATTTCAATCAGGAGAAACACGTCAGATGAATTGAAGGTACTTGTTTATTATTAACAGATGATATGCGATGACAGTCTTGACAGAGTTGTTGCCGCTTGCACTTCACAGGGCCGTTCCCCTGAGCACCAAGATATATCCGCCCCATGGAGTACAGACACTGGTGGTGGTGGTTGCTGATAGAATGATGCGTTGATGAAGCAGATGTCTAAAATGATTGGGCGGAGATGGGCAGGTGGAGGAGTGCAGGACACCAGGCGCTGAACACAATTGCGCGTTGAAAGAAAAAAGAAACAAACAATGAAAATTATAGGAGGACACCAAGACACAGGCGTTATTATAAGTTCCACCGTCAACACTATACAAAGACACTTTGTAAAGAGAGTCACGGTGTGGTTCACTTCCTGTCTTATTTTGTAGTTTTCTGCCACTCGTGTACCCAGGTAACTTCACTTCCTGTCTAGTCCTGTCGTCCCCTGTGATTGTCTGATTGTTTCCACCTGTGTCCAATCACCTGCACCTCCCTAGTGTCTCTTGTCACTTTGTGGATGTTCCTTATCTTCAGCCCCCTGGATGTGTCTCGTTCCTGCCTGCCTTTTTCCCCGGTACCTGTATGCGTTTTTGCCCCTTGGCCATTTTGTGTTGGAGTTGATGACTATTAAAGTCTCTTTTTCGTTAAAACTCTGCATTTGAGTCCTGCCTCCCACGCACCCCTGACAAGACTGTTGTTATATCTTGTTTTAGCTTTTTAATTACACTGTATCAATATTTAAATACGTACATAATATTCGACAATACAACCCAGAAAACATATACACACATATGACTTTCACTCTTGGAGCAATGTTAATGCGACCTTAATCTTTTTGTTGCCTATAACTATAACTGCATCACACGTAGTTTGTACAGAGTGGCCCTGCAGACAGCTGTGAAACATGAAACGTACGTACCATAAAAAAGCAAAGGCCATTTTAGTTGGAGATCCTCCTTGCTTTTAGCTGTCATGATTACATTACATCATTACATTACATTACATTACATGTCATTTAGCTGACGCTTTCATCCAAAGCGACTTACAAGTGCATTCAACCATAGGGAAACAAACCCAGAAGAAGAAGAAGAAGAACAAGAAACAAGAAAGTGCAATTTCCTCAAATTTTACTGCGACAATTGTAACCGTAAACACTTGTGACGCTGGAGAAATATGTCTGAAGGGATGAGCACACGTAGTTAGGAGAGAATCTGGTCAATATTCAAGATAAAACATTTTTCGGAAAAAAAGTCAAAAGACAAAAAATAAATGTTATCTATTCTCTTTGAGGTGCGGCCAGTTACCAAATGGCCCGCGGTGGCTTAGGGGCCACTGCCGTAAGGGACAGGGCCGTAGTTTAATGAAAAGGTCTGTCAGTCACAGACATTTGTATGGAAGCTCATTTCCGGCACAAAAAAGAAGAGTTAGAAAGTCGAAAAATTCCATAATAAATGCGCATGCGCAGGCTCCTTGCAGCTGGTTGTTAACATCACTACGGTTACAGAGAGGTGTCGCTATTGAACCTGGAAGTCTGAATCTGTAAAAAGATTTTGTTCATTTGAAAATCAAGTTTTTGATGCCGTTGATGCCCCGCCCCCTACGCCACGTCAGGGTCAAGAGTCTGAATGTGAAAAAAAGATCTGAACGTGAAAATATAAGATTTACCAAACAACAAAGAAGCCTGCGCATATCTTAAGTAATAATTTCGACTTTCTAACCCTTCTTTTCTAAGGCGGCAATGGGCTTTCATACATTTGAACTAGTGGTGGCTGGTGAAAAATCTAAGAACAACACCTTATAGGTCAAAAATTATACTTTGTAGTTAAATATTCAAAATGTACAAAAAAAACCCTTTCTATATAAATTACACATGTAAAAACTTTGCCCCATTGGCCAGCCGCCCCTGTCTGTCACAATGGGTTTTGGGGCAAAACGTATCCGAGTCTCAACTCCGCTTTCGGGCGCGCGCCGTGGTCCCTCCTCGTCGTCCTGCACCAGAACAGACTCAGCATCCCCCGCCTGGTCTCCGCGTTTCTAAGCCCGTACACCACTGGGTTGATGAGCGGTGGCACGAGGAGCATCACCAACAGTGCCATGTGGAGCACGACTGCCGTGTCCGAGGGCGTCGGCTCCGTCAGCGCCACCATGGCCTCGGTGCCCTCCACCTCCCACAACGTGTCCGAGGCGACTTTGAGCAGCAGCGGGAGCAGCTGCAGGAAAAGCATCCCGCAGTAGAACAGCACGGTCCGGCGCGCTTTGGTGTTGACCGTGCTGAACGGCATCATGGCGTTGCGCGCGTCCTGGTACATCCTCAGGTAGGAGAACGCGTAGACCAGCAGGCAGAGCATCAGAGTGACGGAGCCCGTACATTTGCGAAAGACGGCCGAGGCACGGGGGAAGCCCATGTGTTGCTCCACCGTGTCCGGCTCGCACAGTAGCCCGCGGGTGACATGCTCATTATTCTGCCCTCTCCCCATGTGCAACAACATCACGTTGATGGTGCCGACGCAGGTGGAGTAGATCCAGATGAAGGCCAGCGCCAGCCGCCGGCGCGTCTGAGTGATGATGACCAAGTAGCGGATGGCGTGGCACACATACAGGTAGCGCTCCAGTGCCATGAATGTGATGGTGAGAAGGCTGGAGAAGATGCTGACGGTCCCCACAAAGTACTGGACGTTACACCAGGCGCCGAACGCCATGGTGCGTCGTTGGAGGAGCGAGCCGATGACCGCTGGGCCGAAAGTAACGGTCTGCAAGAGGTCGCTCAGGATCAGGTTCTTAAAGAAAGCCACGCGCGGCTCCCAGGAGAGGTCCTCGGAGCGCCCGAGTCCTAAAAGGGTGAGTCCATTAACCAGAAAGGAGAAGAGAGTCAGCAACAGGAAAACCCACACTAGCGCTGGAACCGCCTGTTCGTGGGGCAGTACGCGCAGAAAGAGGCAGCCGGCACGGTGCAGGTGCTCGGTGGCGCGCGGCTCGGTTCGGTTCCCGTCGCTGAACCAGTCGCACTGCGCGATGGGATTGTGCGACCCCGGCGCCGTCTGCACAGGTGCTGTTGACATTTTGATCTGTTGAATGTGTTGTAGGCTGCCAATCATGCTATTCCACGCTCAATCCCAGTCACTCATCTGGAACTACCTCGACACGGTGCGCGTAATGATTTAATGGAGAGCATTGCAGATGTGGAACCACAGGGGCATCCCAGCGCGCTCTTACGCACGTGTAGAATAGGATTGCTGATGAATAGGTTTATAAATGTGAATCTGATTAGTTCACGAGGAGGAACATTTTCATTTGAGAAAAAAAAAGAAAGGAAATGGAAGTAACTTCATACACTACACACATATAAATAAACAGATCTGGAGGTTTAATCATATTTCTTTTATACACACACACACACACACACACACACACACAATTGTGGAGAAAAGTACATACATTTGTAAAGAACATAATGTCATGGATCTCTTGAGTTTCCTGTTTCCTGTTAAAAAATCTGCAGGGTCAAAAATATAGTGCTAATATTTGGTTACATGTCCCATGGCCATTTTCACTTCAATTAGGCGCTTTTGGTAGCCATCCACAAGCTTCTGGTAAGCTTCTCGTTGAATCTTTGATCTTTGGTTTCTTCAGCATTGTCCACATGTTCTCAATGGGATTTAAGTCAGGACTTTGGGAAGGCCGTTCTAAAACCCTAATTCTAGCCTGATTTAGCCATTCTATTACCACTTTTGATGTGTGTTTGGGGTCATTGTCCTGTTGGAACACCCAACTGCGCCCAAGACCCAACCTGTAACATACGTCTCTGCTGAATAAGTTACTGTGCTGTCCCTTATGAAACAGTCATATTCAAACAGTGCCCTGTTTCATCCACAACTACAAATAGCAGTGCAACAAAGGATATTTATGTTTATGTCTTAACTAGTTAGCTAACGCTCAATTTAGCCTTAGAAAACAAAATAACATCCGAAATGAACCGTTTCAAAAATCTGAGGATTATTAAAACCTTAATGTTAACGTTATATGCGTCATCCACAAAATGAGGGAAATGTGGCGTTTCCAGCCGAGCTACAGGCACCAATATTGTATGTATACTAACGTTAGCTTATTCAGACACTCGGATAAGATGACTGTGAATTAAGAACCCTTTAATATCTCAAAGAAACATTTATAACCTAAAGATATGAAAAACATGTAGAACCATTTAATAGATGTAATGGTTCTTTAGAAGGTTCTTTGTAGAACCACACTGCCTTCTAAAGAACCATTTTTTTTTGCGTGAAGGGCAAGACAACGACCAAGTGCCGGTCAGACCTTTTGAGTAGTATTCTGTCATACTGACAGTAAAAACAGCAGACTGGGGTATTCAGGAATTGGGCTGACTTCCGTGTCATTATTCCATTTCCGTGCATCTCCAAGACTTACCGTAACTCTCTCCTCTCTGGCATCAACCTATCACTGGTTTTAATACATGACATTATCCCAATCCTGGCTTCTCTTCACTGGCTCCTTTGAGTTAGAATTAAAGAAGAATGGGAATTCATTATTTACCAAACTTACATTACCTTCATGGACAATTTGTCAGGAATTCAGCTTCCTGAACAGGGTTTGTTACATTGCCACTCTAACCTGTTTTTTCTGAGTTTCCCCAAACACATCCTGACTAATTATTCAACCATCGACACCTGCTGCTGCCTGCACACCCGGTCCTGATTACCATCCCCTTCACCATTGAAGCCGTGACCAGACAACCAGTCCTTGCCGGATCGTTAGCGTACCACGTACGGTTTTTGCTCCAAACTCGAGTCTAGTCTAGTCAAGAGTCAGTGTGTTTGTTTCTGTTTATTTTCCGGATCACTAACCAGCAATCTGTTTCCCTGCCTACAGCTCATTACTTGGATCGCCCTTTTCCCCTGCCTAGCCGTTGACCCGACTCCAGCCCCCACTCATCACCACCCAACCGGACCAGACCTTCCCCACACCTTTTTTTTGCATAATAAATACCCACCTTTTATTTTGATTCTTCCGTGTGGTCTGCTTTTGGGTTCCCGTCCTGGACGATTCGTGACACAATTAGGTGCACGGTGGAATCTGACTGTCTATTATGATGTAGACAACATTAGATGAAAAAAAAAATAAACTTCTTAAAGCTTCACAATTAGCTCGAAGACAATAGACTCAAACATGACTCACTGAAATATGTCAAGAAGCTGAATGAAGAGCTTCTTTTGTGAGAGGCTGCTTCACTCAAGTGTGAAGAAGAGAAACCGGAGCTCATTCCTTCCTGCTGCTGTCACCCTTCACTGTCAACACTGCTTCGGTGAAACTGATAATTCAATTATGCAATATAAATGAAACTGTTTTCTGAATTATCCTCTTTCCTGTGAGAAGTGAAGCTTCTGTGACGTAGCGCCTTTGAGGCCAACGCCAACACAGGATGGCTCACTGAGCTTTGAGTTGGGATGCGGTGCAGTCAAGAAAGAAGCCGCGCTCCTGGATGCGATTAACCATTCTGCTTTATTACCTTTCGTTGGTCTCAAGCAAAACAGAAAAAACAAACACTTGTAATTACCAAAAAGGAACAAAATGAACCAAAAACAACCTCTCTGCAGGTGACTTCACTTCAGACTCTCCCGCCGTTTCCCTTTCCCCTCACGTTCATACAGCCTTCCCGTGCATTGGGCTAATTGGGAGAAATCAAATGGCAGGGGGTTCTGTCAGGTCTAATTGAACCTGCTGTATCCTAAACAGTCATGCTAAGAACTCACGTACATTCTTATATAACGTCAACACTGTTATCATGTACATGTGGATAATTATATAATCAAGTGCTGAGATTAATGTACACACTTAGAAGGTTACATATATATTCTGTGCCCTGTCCCAAACAAGGAATGAACTCGCCCACTTGTCAGTCAATTTGGAGAAAAGGCTCTTCCTTTTCACACTGCCCCCAAGTTCTGTTTGCCGGCGCAGAATCACACTTCAAACCTGTAGGGCTGCAAAGCTAAAAACCAACGTGTTATACGTGCTGAATGTTTAGATATTCAAACAGCTCTTGATACTTTTGGCTCATTTCACTCATCTAGGAACCTTCCTAAGCAAAAATACTTGTAACTGCAGCCATTGAGTTGTTTTTTTCTTCTGACTGACTCATGACCAGACTGACACCTGGTGTTTAAGACTGGTAACTGCAGTGCAGGAGTTAGTGGTCTCCAGCTCCCCAGACAGCAGCAAGTGTGCTTGATCCAGCGTATAGAATCGTATTTTTATACCTTCATGCCTGCGGACTATCATCAACAGCATTGCTGACTTTTAACAACAACCCCCAAACCAAAGCAAAACCTCAACGTACCCCTTTTCAGGTTGTACATGGTGCAACCACCAGGCATTCTTTGCATAATAAGAAGACAAACTATATACATATATATATATATATATATATATATATATATCTTTATTCATATACAAATGTGTTGACAAAATAGTTGGTACTGTTCCTTTAAAGAAAGAAAAAATGACAATGGTCATTGAAAAAGCTTGAAACTGAGAAAATCAGCATTGACATTTTGAATTTTGTTTCAACATAACCGATTTAAAAAAAAAAGGGAATGGACAAGAAAAGATTAGAAATAAATAATGACCACACATGTTGAACTAAGGTGTGTCCTCTAATAGACAAGCATGTTGCAGGTAAAGGCTGTAAGACCATCTCCGAGCAGCTTGATGTTCCTGTTGCACATATTATTCACAAGCTTAAGTAACCCATTGTGGGTTTTTCTTTCTTTAACAGAACAATTTCGACCACGTTTGTATGTTTTGCAATTTGAAGAATGACGACTGCCAGACAGAGTACTCTTTAAAAAAAAGGCCCAGAACATCCCTGTTCAGCATTTAACGTTGTATGACTTAGAAGAACCTGGCTGTTGGCATGGAGGAGCTGGGAGGGACGGGGGAAGGGGAAGGAGTGATGGCATACCCTCAGCCTTATATAGGGTGTGTTTGTCTACAGAGTTCAGCTGCTCCCCCTGGGGATGTCCAGGAATAGAAGGTATGGAGGAGAAGAAGGGAGAAAGAGGAGAAGAAAGAAAAACTGGAAAGAATAATAGGAGATATTTTCTCCTGGTTCTTCATTCCCTCTCGGCAAACCAGAGTCATCTCGCACTTCAAAACGTTTTCCTCTCACCTAATCGGAGAGAAGTCTTTTCGCCGGGTGGAGCGTCAGCTGCTGCCGTCAGTCGATGGAGGTGGTGACATAAGTTGGTCGGCATGGAAGCTGAACTGGCCAGTGGGTGACGGAGGGGTTGAGAGGAGGCTAAGAGGGAAAGAGGAGAGGGCGAGGATTAAAACGTGTACAATGGTGGAAGGGTGATGAAAAAAACAGGGACAATGGAGAAGAGAGAAGGAGATGGAAAAGGAAAAGAAAGTGAAGAGGAGATCATGTGTGTTATTGGAATCTAAATACTGAGAGCAGGTGACCCCACTGCTGCTTTCATTTGAATTAACCTAAATGATGAGTTTCAGGGCAGCCAAACTAAACAATTGGAGACCAGATCAGTCATACCTGCTCATTAAATTGCTCCACTATTTATTTTTAAATAAAATAAATAATGCATTTACTGCCTCACAACACAACACTGCTTTGCTTCATATTATGCACAAATGATGACAACAGAAAGTATCCCTGAACAGCAAGGCCAAAAACTGATATTAAATCATTATAGTCTATAGCAAATATATTGTACAAAGAGAGGGGATTATTGCTCTGATGATACCACACAATGACAATGCTAACATAACGTTTAGCCATTTCTGCCCGCCACAGTTAGCCTCTTTAGCAGCCAGCACTTTGTCGATTGTTGGAATCTGATTTTCATTTATTTTGTACTGAATTGGTAATACAAATGTAACTAAATATTAAGGATAAAGTTAATAACAACTTGAGTCAACTGAAAGATAAAGAATAAATCAAACCAAAGCCAGATTAAATAGGGAAAGTACTTAGTCTGAATACACAGGTCGGATGTCCATGTTAAATTATGCGGTACTGATTGATGTCTTACAGTATCTACAAATGATGTGTATGAGGCAGACAACGCTGATTTCTGAGTTGCAGTTGTAAACTGCTCCCCTGAACCTCTCTGTGTAGATAGATAGTGATGTGCAAGGCTGCACATTTTGAGCAAAATATAACTTATTTCATTCCTCTCAACGGTGACTAATCCAGTCTAAATCATACCCTAACCCTTAAATATTAAATCAGTTCTACAACATTACAATTATGAAAAATAATTAAATTGTGTATTACGAGAAATAATCCACCTCCTCCACTGTATCATGGATATGTGAAATTCTGATAATGAATATTGATATTTGATCAGGAGGAATCCGCACTCATCTCTGTTCCACTTGCTTAATAACTGCAATATATCATATCAAGCATGCAACGTTGTGTGTTCTTTGTGTAGTTTGTTTCATGAAAATGCATTTCCTAGATGTAATATGAAGAATTCAATAGCATCTCCATCCAAGTGTGCAGCATGTTTACATGTGTATGTTTGCATGTATGTGCTTATGCATGTACCATGTAGGTTTTTATGAAAGAATATACCGCTATTATTTCCGTGCTCAGCAGACTTACCGACCGCAACTTTCAGCACCACGGACAGAGCCTGCAAAAATTCCCCCAAATAACCTGTAGCTTATTTTAAAAAGTGTGCGATAACACTAATGAACACAAAACACGAGGATTGCCTTACTGTAAAATAACATTGAACATATATATCTGGTTGTCTTAATATGAAACTTTCCTCTTTTTACAGTGCGTGCAGAATGCCGCAATTTAGGTGCCAGCTACTTGACACAGCAAAAGGGTAAAGGCCTCCCAATTCTATTGTCAGAAGAAAGGCTTTCTTGTCAGCATGACGGCTGTAGCACAGCTGCCCTTGTTTCTCTGCCAACGGGACCGTTCATTGGGCATAAATAGATTTCCAGTTAAAGAATTGAGAAACTGCAGAGCCTTATTGCTTAACATTCCAGCGTAGACCAACGACAGCAGACACTCTCGGATTGACACGTCTGTCAAGTGGAAAATGAATTATTGGGTGTGAACATTTGATAATAGAGTGCAACTAACCCACAAATATAACTCTTTATTATAAATATAACTCTCTGTGGTATTTATCCCCGCTTTGATTGTAATTAAAGTATCTCACCCACCACTACATTGGTAGCTATTAACTTTGTTTCCCTGTAGAAGAACAGTAATAATCAAAGTGGTTATTTAGTTCTCCATCTAGTGAAAATCATAGAGTCAAATTACAGTTTATTTAACTGGAAAACCTGTGACATTTTACGCCAGATAGCCTTCATGCTGCAAAAGGTCAACTTTGACCTCTTTTAATTTACATCCTCAACATCAATGTAAGAAAATTACCTCATTTTGCCAATTTAACTATTATTGTTAAAAATGTATTTGCCATAACCATTTTGTTATTTGTCTGCCTGTGAAAACAATACCCATCAAAGCTAAAATTGAGCTAAAAGCGAGTTGCAAGTATTTAGTTAGCTTGCTAATGCTAACTCACAAAGATGAACACGTTTTGACACAGACACTGACAAACAATGCTTATAATGAGAAACAAATGTATTGATGATGCTTTATTTATTCATTATTTTTAACATCTTCCGTATCATCGTCAATGGGTTTTTAAAAACTTCTTGCAAAAGGGGTCCCCCAAAAAAGCATTATGGCTTTGGGGGGGTGCATGAAGACGTTTTGGAAGCCCTTGTCTCTGCATACATGAGAGACTTTTGTTTGCTTCTTTGTTGACCAGGAGAGAAACCAATAGGTAAAGTAGGGGAACAGCTGCGTGTGGTCGCTGTCAAGCGGCATCCTTCGCTCTACACGTGTTGGCTTCTGAGTGGCTACGGGAGCTGGCGCTCTTCCCTACACAGGCTACTATCCAATAAGCCCTGACGATTCAAAGAATGGGTTAAACTTGCAAAATCAAAATCACACCCCGAGTTCTCCGAAAATCCAGATTTCACTGCTCCAGTTTCAGTGCTGTGGGGCCTGCACTAAAGCCTTTTGTTTTGCTTCGTTCTATCAAAGTAAGACGTCCCACATATACTGGCCACACACTGTGCTATGACATACAGGGTGTGTAGCCTGATAGCTCCATGTTTTACAGGGATGAATACCCTGTAAGTGATTTTTTTCATTTACTTTTTAACCAGTAACATACTGTATATACTGATATTTACACATCAGAACACACTCACATGTGTTCACCTTGATCCTAACTTTAAACATATTCCAGATAGACGAAGTAGTTCCAGAGAAATGTTGCTTGTACCATGGGAAGGCCATTTTGGAGCAGAGGCCAACAAACAGCCACAGAGTGGAAAAGGTACACATGTCATAAGTGCAAGGGCAAGTCCGAACCAGTGAAGACAGGGAGCCAGTCAGATAGATGAGTTAAAGGACACTGCGAAAGGGGCAGAGAATCTGCATGCTGGGGGGCGTTAATCTCTGTGTGCCTATGTGTGTGTGTGTGTGTGTGTGTGTGTGTGTGTGTGTCATTAATGTGGATGTGTATGAAATCAAAAGTCCATTTGCACAGAGATGCTCAGTTGATCCTCTGCCAAAATAGCCTCCAGCTGCCTGATGCCTGCCCTGTGTTTTCTTTTCTTTTTTTTAAAATGTCATCAAGCCTGTCTGTTATCTATATGGGGGATTGGGGACAGTGCCACACGAGGGGATGTCCGTCAGGAGAGTGTGTGAGGGCACAAACTAAAGTGCCATTTGATTGGCCGTCCATTGTCTGAGGAGGGGGACCATTGGCCAATCCTGATCATTTTTAGTAAAAGTGAAGCGGGATAAGCGGGTACTTATGGAGGTAAAGCCGCCTGAACTGTGTTGCAGGGAGACTTTACCCGACGTCTGCCCTCTTTCACTGGTGTCTGTTGTTCAGCACAGCCGGCCGCCATGGTAAGAAAGCGAAAACTGAAAAGGACTTCCATCAATTTAAGGAGTTGCTTTTGTTGTCAAGTGATGAGGATATAACACAGATGGCAGAAGATGGATATTATTATCTGAAGCAAAAAAAGGACTCGGCCAGTAGGTCCCCATCTGCAGCACAGCTGGGTTATCGGATGGATTTCTTTGCAAGCGATCTTTCCTCTCTTGGAATTCCTGTTTTTTCTAATTAGAGGCAACAACTTCTGTGATGTTATTAGAGGCGGACCGTTTTCCAGACTCGCAACGTTGGTTTGAGGACCTCCGTTTACAACTTACTGGATGTCCTCTTTGCTGTTTGTTTAAAGACTGCCGTGATTTTGTTTGATATGTAGATCTGAGTTACTAAAGATAGGAAGAGCGCAGCTTAGTAAATTGAGAAGACCTGCTGCCTCCTCTGAGTGTCCTAATTTAGGGCATTCACCTTGAGAAAATCCCTCTCTAATCCTCTCCCAAATAGCTTTGTAGTGAACTAACGGGTGGGTTTTGCTTGACCTTCCATTTGGCGCGTTATCTGATGAGGTTCTGCCAAGCAAACGGGTACACGACCCAATTCAAGCCTGCGACATATTCTCCTACCACAGGATTTCTCACAAATGGTTACCTTGGTTTTTCTTCTTTTGCGTTTGCTTACGAAATAGACAATTTACACAATTGCACCTGCAGAAGTCCCTGCAGCGCTGAACCCGTTTTGCCAATAAAACTTTAGCAAAAATGACTTCAGAAGTAGAATGAACTAAAGTATGAAAGTTATGCAATGACTGTTTTCACTCCCGTCCACCCTGACCTCCTCCCTCTCTGGACCTTGTTGCTTATTACGTCACGTTGTGGGTCTTCAGCAATACACCTACTGGGACATAGTTGCGTTGAAACATCTCTGGCTCAGGGAAACATACAAGGGGCAGATTAACCATTAGGCAAGTTAGGCAACCTGGCTCCTTGGGCCCCAAACTGAAAGGGTCCGAAGAGCTATCGATTTATTACGATGTTTAGATGTGAATATATTGAATCATGTTACTATTCAAACTCATTGTACCCTAAAACAAGAAGCTAGCATCGCCAATAAAGATTCCTATAGTATGTACAGTGCGGTGTAAAGTTGCGATGTCATCAGGCGTATTTTAAATGTGTGTGTGTGTGTTTGCTTATGTCCTGATGAGGAGCCTGTTAGCCTCTTTGACTCGTCCACAATCATGTTTTAATAACGACATGTCGCGACGTAGCCGCTGGCAGATACAACTGGTAAGAAGCAGCAAGTTCTACCGCTCTAATCCTCTATTCTGTCGATCTCCCACGTTCTGCACGTTGTCCCTCTGAAGCCCACCGACGCCCAAAGCGATGCCCGCTCCTTCCTGACCGAGGAGATGATTGCAGGTCAGTCGTTCATATAAAACTGAGTGGTATTGAGTGGGACATTACACTCAATACCGTTCCCTGTACTAGAGCTTGTTCCAAGAGGAACGACCTTCCCTCATAAACCTTCAAACGTTAGACACTTTTTTTTGCTAGTTTAAACGTTTTTCAAATATCAATCTAGTTATTTCTCCCGTCCAGAGTTCAAGGCAGCCTTCGACATGTTCGACACTGACGGTGGCGGTGACATCAGCACCAAGGAGCTGGGCCAGGTGATGAGGATGCTGGGCCAGAACCCATCGAGGGAAGAGCTGGATGCCATCATTGAGGAGGTGGATGAGGACGGTGAGTTTGATTGGCAAAAAGGCTTTGATTTTTCCCTGGTTTCTGAGGTGGGTTGTGTGCTTTTTTTAGTCTAGAAGTCATAGTTGCTTATTCAACAAGCAGCCAAGAGAAAATTCGGTGTCTTGTGTATGACTCATTCACATTAAAGAGGCACTCCAGAAATTGGTAATGTATTTCCATAATGTCCATTGACTTGCAAGAGAGGAGTCAAATAAAAGCAGCAGAGGCTGAGATAGACCCAATTTTTGTCCAAAACATTGGACGTCACCATTTCCATAATACATTTCCATTTGGATGCTTTTGACATCCTGCCAAAAGTCAGAAGTCTCACTCTTTAGTTATTTTCACACCCTCCAGAGATACAAAAGACATTTTAGTGAGGTAGAGATCAGACTCTGGTTGCACTGCACTCAACCTTTACACCCCCACCCCCCTCCACCTCCCTCACCCCCTCACCCCCTCTCCCTCTCCCTCTCCTCAGGCAGCGGCACCATCGACTTCGAGGAGTTCTTGGTCATGATGGTGCAACAGCTCAAGGAGGACCAGGCTGGAAAGAGTGAAGAAGAGCTTTCAGAATGCTTCCGTATTATTGACAAGTATGACAACCGAACTTATAAAAAGACAAATACCAACTAGCACTTTTTAGCATATTCAAGTTTTTTTTTTTTTAATCTTGAGCTGTGGATCAATTAGACAGCAAATGAATCACAATGTTAAATAACAGGAAAGGAGAGAGCCGGAGCTCCGTAGAGCCGAGGGGAACCGCCGATTCAGGTTAAAGTGCTCTGTAGTTTCATCAGTGCGGACAAACCCCTTCACGCTGTCATTTTGTGCATTGTTGTATCCAGATAATATTAATTAAAGTTTCCTTATAGCTGCACTCTTATATATTCTCATATAGACACCAACTAGCTCTATGACTGACTTAGCGGATCTCATCGACGCGTCAGAAGGCAGCTGTTCTTCATGAAAACAGTGAAAACACACACAGATGAAAGAAAGACAACATTGTGGAACATTTGGATCCAAAGAGAGCTACAGGAATTACCCACAGTGATGGTGATCCGATATAGAGCTGAAGAGCACATCAAAACCGAGAGGAATGCAACTCATACTGTAGTATTCAGGCTAGTTTGACAGGATTACTGATTTTTTCTATCCTATAATACAGTTCATGTTACTGATTGTGTGATTTGCATATACGTATACTGGTACAGTTAACACCTTACCTTATTACACTTATCCAGTTTGTTATGAATGTAAAAATAGGTTAAATCTCCTTTGATCTTTCAAAAGACAAATAAATTGTCACAATTTAAAGGAAAAAATGGATTGTAAGGGGATTGACGTTCACCAAGTGATCAAAAACACAACTCAACGTTATTATGTGCTGCTTACTTGCTGGCTGTGTAATCAAGCGTTTGCTACCATGTTCACCATAGCAACATGTCATATATATATATACCTATATATATATATATATATATATATATATATATATATATGTGTGTTATGTCGGCGATATTATCTGTCTGTGTGTGTGTGTGTGTGTGTGTGTGTGTGTGTGTGTGCATGGTGATGTAGAGCAGAAACGGGGTGGAGGAGGGTAGTTTTCGTCCATCTTCATTTCATGTTGCTTCTTGTCCTCAGGAACGGAGATGGTTTCGTCGATCGGGAGGAGTTTGGAGAAATCCTCCACCTCACCGGAGAGCCCGTGGTGGAAGAGGACATCGACGAGATGTTTGGTGAAGGAGACACGAACCATGACGGGAAGATTGATTTTGACGGTGAGGTTGAGCTACTCATCGAGCCGGAGGAGTTTCTTCACTGCTGTGGACACGCAGTGTCTTCCATGATGTTTGCAGGATCATCAGAGGGAGAGACTGGACATCTGCTAACAACCTTTTCAGTTATACTGTCAGAGTGTTCAGAGATACTTATTCACTCTCGAATAAGTATCTCTGTACAGTTAGATGAGAATGTAGATCTCAAACGTTTCTGTCCATTTCCAATCTTTATGGTATTCTAAAATGACCACCTGCTTTACAATCAACAGAGATATAAAAGTGCTATCAAGCTCTTTCTCTTTGTTTAAAGCACAGAGAACCTCAAAAAAGTTAGAAAAACAAGCAAAATACAACACCAAGTTAAAAGAAAAGAAGATAAGAAATGTCTGTTTCTCTGCGGCAATTTCTCATCTTGAAATCTCTTGACAAGAATGTTTATATGCATTTTAGTGCAGAAGTAGGCCTATTCCTTCATATTATAAAAATAAAACATGTTATAATATGAAGACACCAGACACCAAACGTTTTTGGCCTCCTATGAAAGGAATGTTTAGTCTGGTAGGAAAAAGGTTTTGTTCACACGCACACGCATTCTGCAGCCACATTTCATGGTTCATCTGTTCGGGGGTTTAGATAAAGTGCTGGATTTTGGGGAGGCGGTTGTTTGATTGACCGCTGACGTCCTTTTGTCTCCTCAGAGTTCCTGAAGATGATGGAGAACGTCCAGTAGCGAGGGCCAGCTCTACATTCCTTGGTCACCTTTGCTATAATGCTATAAATCCTTGTGCAATTATCATTAGGATGTTATTTCTGAGACCCCCCCCCGCCCCCCGACCCTTGGCCCCTACGCCCTCGTCCAACCCCCCTTCTCATACGGAACCCAGGGGACTCATTGAGGAATCCTATAAATATCCATCCCGTCAAACCTTTTAAGACGAAGACTCGCCTGCGTTGAGCCAGCTGTCCCCTTCTGCAGCTGCCGCTTCTCCAGAAATGCTACACCACTTTGCCCCCCGCCCCCACCCACGCTCCTCTTCCAAAATAAATACCCGCTCCACCCTTTTTTTTTTTGCTTTCTAAATAAATCCACTTTCTCCCCCGTCCATCTCTGCAAGTTTTTCTGCCGAGCATGTTTTGCTGCTTGTGTTGATCTCTCAGATACACAACCAACACGTGACGTGATCACACACACCGACACACATGCACTTTCTACTCCGCCATCGTTCCACCTTCCCACACGCTCACGCTCGGCCTTATCTGGACCTTAACTTCAAACTAGCCTCCTCGCTGCGCTCTGAGTGGCCTCTGTCTCATATTTTCAGTCATCTTGTTTAAATGGTTCTCCCCCATCTCTCTGTCAGCGATCTTCTCGTGGTCCCCAAGAGGTGAAGCCGAGCAGCCGGTGAGCACGCGAGGCTCGAGTCGCTCACAGGACCGATTCTTCCTGTGGAACGTGCGCAGGTCTCCCTCCGGGTATATAACCTACAGGCCTCCCACCACTTCTCAAAAAGCCGACATCCCTCCCCTTCCTTCGTGGCTGCTCCCCGCCTCAGCATCCTATCCCAATTTGCTGCGTCTCACCTCGGGCCCCTCCCTCCAGGAAGCGCCCGCCGTATAAGGAGCACCAGGTTGACCGCTTCGGGAAGTGAGGTGCCGGGATGAGCGGGTACTTGTCCCCCGTCTGAGCTCAGCCCCAAATCTTCCTGCTATTCCCGGCGAAAGGGGGGCGGAGAGACAGAGAGAGAGAGAGAGAGAGGGGGGGGGGGGGGGGGGTGGGAGGAGGGTAAGATTGGGACGGGCTCCACAGCATTCATCACCCGGTTTTGGGTTTCACGCCCCAGATTGAAATGCCATCATCACAAAACCCACAGGCAACTTTAAAATGTTAGCTCCTGCATCATCTCCCACTGTCTTCGTCTTCATTGTTACTAAATGTCCTTTTATGAGATAGAGGCCACACAGGAAGAAACATAAGGATATATTGGGTTTTTGTGAAGGTATTCTGCTTCACGGAATGTCCCACTTACTCCTCACATCCCACTTCTTCCTCACATCCTGATCATCTCAGTCTTAACAAAACCAGAAGGCACTGAAACAAGAATCCCGTTCTCCCCAAAAGCTGCATTCTTTCACACACAAAATGAACCTCTTTTACTTTCTCACTATAAGAAACCAGGTTGTTTTCCTCTCCACGGTGTGATTGGCTTGCCGTGGTCCCAGAACCCTAAAAGTTCAGGATACTAAATCTGGAGGCCTGTGGGAGGCGGGGGGCGGGACCTGGCCGTCCAGTTTAAAGTGTGTCTGAATCTTCACTTGACGTCTAGTCTCTCTGTTGGGGTGCACACGGATTGACCACTCCTCTTGGCCTTTTTTTTATTTCCTTGGATATCTGGGGAGGGAAAAGCTAATCCACAAAGATGGTAAGACCAGAAATTGTGCAAAGAATGACTTGTTGAAGTTATTTATTATTAAATTATTATTTAAGCAAACAATTGTGATGAGCGCATGTGGGTTTGTTAATAATATGAAATATGGAATCCTTTACAAGCCTTCTCTGGATAAACTCTAGATGTCAATCTGTTGGCTTCCCATTAAAATGTTTTAACTTTTTCATCCCTAATACTTTTTAATTGATAAAGTCTCTTTAAATCATTTATAACAAATGCAAAAAACAGGTCCTCCCTCAGTCGTCTATTGCGTGTATCACTGCTGGCGGCAGAAAGTGGAGACGGGGAGCAGGGTGGGGGTCCGCTGGGAAGGTGTGGATTGTGCTTCGGTGGCAGATTCCCAAGGATAAGATGTCTGCAGCCATATACAGCGAGCTTAATGTCCTGAGCCGGAAATAGCCGGAGACATTCCCACCAAGCTCGAGACGCACACCTCGGCATCGCGCGACTAACAAAGCTTGAAAGCATCTCGTCATCACCGACACTAATGAGTCTGGAAATGATCATCCTAGAATCGAAAACAATTATATTCCTTTCATATGTGACTCCATTCGCTTGATCAATGCTGTGATATTCCTTAAAAAAAAATGAAGCTGACAAGGCCATATTGGCTCAGTAGGTGTGGAATCATGAATGAAGCCTGTGTAGTGAGTGAGTGATCTGTCTTCCAGACCGACGCACAACAAGAGGCCCGCTCCTACCTGAGCGAGGAAATGCTGAACGGTGAGTCCCGGCGGCAGTAACGCGTTGCTCAAACATGTTCGGAGCCACGTTCTTCACATCTCCTCTTCCTGCAGAGTTCAAGGCTGCCTTCGACATGTTCGACACCGACGGTGGCGGTGACATCAGCACCAAGGAGCTGGGCCAGGTGATGAGGATGCTGGGCCAGAACCCCACGAGAGAGGAGTTGGATGAGATCATCGAGGAGGTGGATGAGGATGGTGAGCGATGGATGACAGGACAAAAGAGGCAACTTTTATATGTATTCCACATGTATACGTTATAAAAATCGGTCATAACATATCTACACTTCTTTCCTTTTACTTTTCATGTGTGAAACTGTGCGCAAAGAGAAAACAATCAATAAGTTATCCAAGTGTCTCTTGGTGCCATAGCTTGTGCGCAGCACTACCTAACGGCTGTACACACCTTCATGAATCGCTCGCATGGCTCCAATGTGCCCCCTCAGGTAGCGGCACCATCGACTTCGAGGAGTTCTTGGTCATGATGGTGAGGCTGCTGAAGGAGGACCAGGCCGGCAAGAGCGAGGAAGAGTTGGCGGAGTGCTTCCGTATTTTCGACAAGTACGTCACTGACGTGTACTCAATCGTCTGATTTGTGTTGTGAATCGCTTAACGTTTGGGATCCTGTACATGCGTGCGCAGGAACGGCGACGGATACATCGACAGAGAGGAGTTTTCCGTCATCATCCGCAGCACCGGCGAGCCCATCTCAGAGGACGAGATCGATGAGCTGATGAAGGATGGAGACAAGAACGCAGACGGCATGCTGGACTTTGACGGTGCGTTCATGGTTCAGGATGATGATGGTGGTTTTTATAATCACCTCAGGCCGTTTGGTGCAAATCATGTCCGTCATGTCAGCCTGATTTATAGAAAATGACATTAGAAAACTGTTTTTTAGAGTTATATAAACCCCACTTTCATACCTGGTGTTAGACCAATTTGCAGTTTGCAACTTCCCATCTCAATAACGCCGTGCCATCTCTCTCTTCTCTCTTGCAGAATTCCTCAAGATGATGGAGAATGTGCAGTAAAAGCAGAAAGACTCACGGACATTCCTCCTCCCGTTGAACCCTGACTCCCCGCTGTCCCAGTCCCCCTCTCCCCCAAAACACAAACACCCACTCCTGTCCACCTGGTGCACTGCTTGTCCTCTCCATCCTCCAGGGCACCTGGCGGGGGGGGGCACCAAGGGGGGAGGGGGTTGCTCCACTCACTCGGCCTCTTGAGAATGCAGACAGCCCGTCCACAGATGCCGAGCTGACCCCGTCATCGGAGAGCCCCCCCCTACCCTCCCCCCGGTAAAGATCTGATCTAGATCCCGATTGGACGGCAGCACGTTACCTGCTGCTTAGACCAATTCAGTCGACCGCTTCGCTGTAAGAAGTAACTGGCTTGAAAAGAATAAATGAATTAACACATGCTTGTAGTTGGTCCGTTATATTTATGGTCTGTGTAAAGAAAAAAAAATGTTTTAAGGAATATCAATAAAATCTGTTTGTTTCTTCTTTTTGTCCAACTTGTACAAAAAAAACAATTTTAGTTATGGTCAAACAGACTTTCTGCCTGTGTGGTGCTTACATAAGGTCACCATGTATTTTAGAAAAATATGCGTTCAACATTTTCAGCATGGACAACTTTCAAATGTTATTTTCATCAGTGGAATATTTTCTGGATCGGTCAATTAATGGTGTTGTCTATACATCTTTAGTTGTTCCGTTACACTTCCTCATTGTCCAAGAGGACATCGTCCTCCCAGCGAACCCCCAGTATTAATTAGAGAAAAAGCTGGAAGGAGGGAACGTAACTATTGTTCCGTCATAAGCGATGCACCAGGTTGAGGTCGGACACCACTGTCTCCAGATGTGGGGAACTGTCTTTTCCAGGTTCACTTTCTCTGGAACTAAAATGAATAAGGAAGACTTGTCTTATTAACCCAACGTGCACGTTTCTTTATTGAGAAACTCACACACCACAACCACCAACAAGGTTACACACTTCGTCACCATCATAGAGTGATAGGAAATAAAAAATAAACCACAAATAACAGATTTTGGACGGCGAGTGGCGTCAAAAGGAGACACTCGGACCGCTGCGATGCAACTAGCGCCGCGTCGGAGGGCTCACGAGCCGTAGTTTGCCTCGTCGAAAGCCTTGCGGGCTCTCTTCAGCTCCTCGTTCATGGTCAGCAGGTCTTTGACTCGGGCGAACTTCCTCGGGTCCTTCCGGATCAGGAAGACGATGTCCTCCACCTGCACGCGGCCCTGGCGGCCGATGGACATGGCCTTGTGGGTCATCTCCGTGACGAACTCGATCACCAGGTCCTCCAGGATGTCCACGGACTCCGTGTACGGGTTCTGGTCGTCCCCGAAGCCGTACATCATGCACCGCAGCTCCTTGGAGAAGAGCCTCTTCCTCCTCCCGTGGCCGCCGACGTCCATCCCGCCGGAGCCGTCGTCCAGCTCCTCGTCGTATCCGGCCTCGTCCTCGTCCTCCGCCATCCTGGAGGGGGAAAGAGACGCAACGGGCGTGTGGGTGTTACGCTGGATGAACGCCGGGTTACGGTGCTCGGCGCGGCGCGGCGGTTCCTCGCTGCAGGATTTGGTCTCCGGGCGCTTCCGCCTTCGCTTCCTGACCGCGGAAGTAGTTTGGGGAGGACGACGCAGAAACCACCGCCCCCTGCCGGCGCCCGCGCTGCCACCGTCCCGTCCCGCTGCGTCCCGCTGCTCGCCACAGTGACGGTGAGTAATCGACCAGAAGACGCGCTCTTTGCTTTCGTTTCAGCTGCACCGATTAACGTGCGTGTGTGCGTATGTCTGTGTGTGTGTGTGTGTGTGTGTGTGTGTCGCTCACCGTGCACACGCTGCACTGTGAAAACACTAGTCTGCGCGTGCACTCCTCCAATCAATAACACGTTAACATATTCCTGGTGCGTATCGATTCAGTCACGTGAAAGGCGTCTAGGAAGTCCAACTATGTCAAATCGTGACGTAACTTTGCGGCGCGAGGAGGAAGCGAATAGAGGACTGTGATTCCAGCGAGGCGTCAGGAGGACGCGTAAGTTAACTTGTAGATCATCAGTAACGTGTGGGTGGGACCGCGCGAGAAGGACACGTACAGGTGAGACGCGACCAGGTAACGGGACGCACGCGAGTTAACTTTTCACCGACCACGCGACGTCGTTACAAAGCGAGCCGACCTCCGTAATGACGTCACGCGCAGCTGACGTCAGTTGGTATCTAAACAACCGGCCACGTCAAACGTCTGGAAACAACCATCTGGCGATACCGATGGCACTGGCCTCTGACGTCACCACCCAACGCCGTCTCACTACCGACGCGCATGACGTCCACCGCGCGGCGAGAGCCGTTGTCTGGTCGACGTTAGACGTCTGGCTGACGTGGTTCTAACGGCGAACGTGAGCTGCTGCTGGTCGTCACACCGGAGCTAACGCTAAGCTAGCATCACAGCTGGCTCGTGCTAACTATCCAGCTGTGTAACGGCAGCGACTGTATGAACCGAATGGAACCAAACCCTAACTTCTTACTCTCTCTCCCCCTCTTCTCCCCCCCTCAGAGCGCTGCGGGGGTCGTGCAGGGCTGCAGACTCGGGTGGGCGATGACCTCTCTGTGGTAGCCTGTCCTCAGCCTGTCCTCAGCCTGTCCTTAGCCTGTCCTCAGGTGGAGGCCCTGCATGGCGTGCCCGGTGCACTTCTTCTGCCGGGGGCTTCGCACCGTCGGATTGGTTCTCTTTTACTACGTCTTCTCTATAGGCATCACCTTCTATAACAAATGGCTGATGCAGGTAAGGGAAAGGGGTCCTGAGAGCACTCGGCACTAAAGCTGTTCCTCTGCACGGGTCACGCACAGATTAGCTTCTTGTGACGAAGGCAGACGTGTTTGTGTCCCGGTTTCAACTTGGTGGCCTCCCGGTGTCTCTGTGTTCAGGACCCTGACAGAGAACCCTGGGGCGTCCTAGGTGACCCAGCTAGGTGACCCGGCCCGCTTCTCTCTTTCAGGGCTTCCACTATCCCCTCTTCATGACGTTAGTTCACCTCGCCATCAACTTTTGCCTGTCGGCTCTGACGCGACGGGCCATGACGCGCTGGACGGGGAAACCTCGCACCGTTCTGAGCTGGAAGGACTACCTCCGTAAAGTGGCTCCCACGGGTGAGATCGTACCGGAGAGTCTTTCACCGAAAGCAGCAGTGAACCGAGGAAAACGCATCAGTCGGCTCGTATCACCTTCGCTCATTCACAAAGCGTTCAGTGACGAGTACTTTGACTGAAGTCCATGTTGATAGAAACGCGTCACATGTAGTCTTTGGACGGGATGACCCCGTTTTCTGTTCAGTATTGAGTCAGCAAAAAAGCCTCGTAGGTCTCCGGCCTAAAGTCCACAATAAGTAGGTTTCAGCGTTATTCAGTTCAATGGAATATTTTGAAATATTCCACAGCACGATATACCATCTTCTGATTCGCAATGGATAGTTGCATTAAAGGCAAACAAGAACAGGATTACTGTCTGCTAAGAGTCCTAAATTGTGTCCCCAGCTTTGGCCTCAGCACTTGATATTGGGCTTTCCAACTGGAGCTTCCTCTTCATCACCATTAGCTTGTGAGTTTGTTTCTTAGGCATTTAAAAAATCTACAGGACACCATCAGTATTGTACATACCCAGTAACCCAGTTATTGGATTGTTCTATTCTTTTGTCTGATTCCAGGTACACCATGACCAAGTCTTCAGCGGTGCTCTTCATCCTGTTTTTCTCCCTGGTTTTTAAACTAGAGGAGCCGGTGAGGGACCCACGTTTCCACTACATTAACCGCATCCGATGTAAATAATGTCAAACCGAACCAATCTCTACAGTGACGCGGCAGAAAGCCTTTATTGCTTCTTTGAGGTACACCGTGACGCCTGAGGAAGTGGCATTTAGTTAACAGATGCACTGATCAGTGCTGAACCCTTTGCTCTGTAGACGGAATCGACCGTCTCTCAGTTGACTGAACTCGGCTCGCTCACCTAAAAGGTGTATTAGGTCATTTAGTCTTTTCCCTCCGCGAGCAAACGTTCATGACAGTTTCAAGTCGAGGTGCAATTATGAAGTCAACCGTAACATTGAGTCACACGCTGACATTCTGTGAAAAAAAGGGCCACAGGAAAGAGAAGTATGAATATATGGGTTTGCTGCCCTGATGGTAATGATTACAGCACCACAAAGGACACCATTAGTATAATTTCTCTACAATTTCCCGCCTTGTGAAAATGCTCATGTTCTAAGCCCCTTTGGATTTTCATTTGTCCGTATAAAGACTGAAGAGCATAATTGACTGTGGTCCCAATAGATTGCTTTTTCTCTTCTTCTTTTCTTTCTACCTTTACCTCCTACAAGATGATGGCGATTGACTTGAGCTGTCTGTCATTCTTTTTGCAACATGTGAGGACGCAGCACATTGCTGAAATGACAGTTCCTTCTGTTGTGTGTAAATTCATTAATGTTTAAGAGGACGTATTATTTTTAACATAAAAGGGTCATTTACAAGACCTGCAAATATGTTTGCGATGGCTTGCTAATTAGTTAATATATTATACTTGCAAACACAAGCCAAACTGATTCCTTTTAATCAGGGCTTTTATATGTATACTTATGCATGGATTATAATAAAAACTGATGATTTAAAATATGGTCACATTACATTTATTTCAATAAATAATCAAACCAGAAGCTTTTATTAGATTATATATATAATATATAAATATAATCTTCAGCTTTGATTTTTTTTTATCCATCTCTGTTCTTTTTTACCTTTTTTGTATCTTCATTTTTTTTTCTTCACTTTTCCTGTCTTTTTTTTTTTTTTCCTTTTTGGATTTCACATAATTTTGCCATCTTCCCTTTTGACCAGAACCCATTCCTGATCCTGGTGGTCCTGCTGATCTCCTGTGGTCTGTTCATGTTTACATTTGAGTCGACTCAGTTCAATCTGAAGGGCTTCACCATGGTGCTGGTGGCGTCCTTCATAGGTGGGATCCGCTGGACCCTCACGCAGGTCCTCATGCAGAAAGCAGAGCTGGGTCAGTCTGAGAATGATGGATATCTGCAGCAGTCGTGTTATACACGTTTATATGAAACGTTTGGACACACTTTCTCATTCAATTCAATATACACACACATATATAATTATGATAACTACCATAATGTGCCCTTTTTTTGAATCACAGCAGTCAAGTGGATTACGTCAGAGGTTTCTTCAAAATCCATCATGATTAAATCTGTAACCTAATGTACCAAAGATTGAAGCCATTAGAGCCCCATTTGTCTACTATTTTTCTCTAAAAAGCAGCCTTGCTCTAAAATGTTAAAATAAAATAAAGTGTCCATTCTCTTAAAACATATTATAGCCTCCTTGAAAGATGCTCCACAGAATAAAATGATCAACACGTTAAATATTTCCCCGTTTTAAACCGGTCATTCCACACACAGCAGAGGAGACATCTGTGTTTTGACCTTTTCAAATGTTTAAAAGTTTCTAACCACGTGTTGTTCCTTTCTCCTGCTTTGCTCCCCACCAGGCCTGCAGCACCCAATAGACGCTTTGTACCACCTGCAGCCTCTCATGTTTGCCGGCCTCTTTCCCCTCTTCCTGTATAATGAAGGTGAGTTTAGTCCTAATCTCTGGCTGCTGGGACATCCTCCCTCTGTCCCCCCTCATGCATCACCTGTGGGTTTAGTCCAATGCAGTGGTCCCCAACCTTTTTTACCTCACGGACCGTTTTCATGTCAGACAATATTTCGCGGACCGGTCGAGACGGTCCGACGGGGGGGGGGTGGGGGTGTAGTAGTCACGCGCTCTGTGTTCGCTGCTGGGCGAAACTGGTGACGTGTGGGGAATATGTCAGAGGGACGAGCGCACATAATTACGAGAAAATCCGGTCAATTTTCAAAATAAAAAATTTTTCAGAAAAAAAATATATATATAAACTTTCCGTGGTGCGGCCCGGTACCAAACGGCCCCGCGGCCCGGTGGTTGGGGACCACTGGTCTAATGCATGATGCCATTTTTCTTCAGATGTGGGTCACAACTAGCTAGTACTCTTAATCGTGGGTATTAAGACACGGTTGCTTTAAATGCTTCTTACTAATCTTACTACTCTCACGCTGCATAGCCAATGTGACAATCGGCTGCAGATCATTTCTCAGCCTCATTTCATATATGTTTACAGTATTAAGATGACTGAACCATAAAGATATGTAGGGTGGTGTCATAGTAGTCACACTCATCCTAAGAACACATTAATCCACCTATGGCTCTATTTCCCACCATTTGTGAATCAAACTGTGTTCCATCAGCTTGCCATTGCATTGAAAGGATCGAACATTGTGAAGATGCTTCTTTCAGCCTTGTGTCTTATTACTGTACCAGGATTGTTTCATGCAGGTGTCTTGTCTTACTGTGTAAAAGCTCTTTAGATGACATGTAAACCCAAGGAACCATAATTGTAGATTTCTGTCTTGTTTCCAGGACTCAGCCTCAGTACCTCAGAGAAGTTATTCCGGGGGACGGAGCTCTTGCCCGTCCTGTATTCAGTGAGCACGCTGAGCGCCGGCGGGTTGCTGGCCTTCGGTTTGGGCTTCTCAGAGTTCCTGCTTGTCTCCCGGACCTCCAGCCTCACGTTATCCATATCAGGGATCTTTAAGGTACTTTGTAATTGTGGGTAGTATGACTTTCCTTTTGAATGAGTCTGTAAAACAGACCATGACGCACCGTATTTTGAGATAGGAGGCATATGAAAGTGAAAGTATCTGGGTCAGCGTCAGTCTGATTCGACGTGATTTAAAACGTTAGCAGCTCTGCTATTGCTCCGGACCGTTCATGTCTCCAATAACCTTTGAGCTCTCCATCGTTCCATCCATCGCTCTCCATCCTCCATTGTTTGGACTTTAGAATAGAATTTCATGAAATGTATTGTCTGCTCTTCCTGCAGGAGGTGTGTACGCTCATTTTAGCAGCGGCTCTGATGGGAGACAGAATGAGCATGCTTAACTGGCTGGGCTTCGCCGTGTGTCTGTGTGGCATTTCACTGCACGTAGGACTCAAGACATATTATTCCAAAAGTAAGTGTTTTTATACTGTAATTGATCATAATACTCTTGTACTGTCTAATGGCAATGACATAACAAGATTGAAATCGGTCAAATTATATACTAAAGAGTAAAGGCACGACCAAAACATGTCTTAAAAGCTGTGAACTAAATGACTGTACTGTGATGAAAGGCATCGTACCGGTGAATCAATTCAAATTGACATTTTATGGCAGTTTTTCAAATCACCAGCTACGGGTGTTAATCCTTCCCGCATCTTGCAACGTATGATAGTCAACCATTTATGCCTAATCTAGATCATCAAATGAAATAATGTTTGACAGTCCCAACAGCTTTCTTTCCATCACAACACGAGCCTGTTCTCTCCTTAGTGTTGACTGGAAGTGACAAAACCTTTAAATCAGTGTTAATGAATGTGGCGATGACATGATTGTGTCAATTAAGCATTTAGTTAGTTATTTACTTTGTATGCATTTAGCAGCTATCTAGCTCAGGGCTCTTCAACGTTTTACAGGCCAATGTCCGCAGGGAGCAGGGACCCTCTATTCCACAAAGTTTGGTCCGCCACCTTTTATTTTTGAGCTTCACGCTCTTTAGACGTGAGCATAACGCGATCTGATTGGCTGGTGCCTGTTCTGTCATATCCGCATGAAAGGAGCTGTGAATGAACCGGTGTCCAGCTTGAGAGCTGCTGTGGGAAGCTGAATGTGTGGACTGAAAGATAACGTCTTCTCCCTCAATTAGACCTCTGATCTAACTATCATTAAGTCAAGTAACAAACAAAAGGGGTAAGAGAAAAATAACTGCTGATATCTGTTTTGTAATGTTGTCCATCAGATAAAGGATCGTCTTTAAGGCAGCTCAACAGTAAGAGCCCGGAGCTCTCGTTGCCACTACTGGGGCAGAGCGAAGACGACCGAGGCGATTCGGCTGTTGAATATGAAGACGAGGAACAGGAAATCACGCTGCACTGAAGTCCAGATCTTCTTCACACTTCTCTCTCCTTCAAAGCTTTGGAGCATCCAAAACAGAGTTGGGACACACAGGCACCAAAAGAGGGAACAGTGTCCTCTGCTGTTTGTCTTTTCTTCCCCCGGTCATGGCTTCGGGCCTGGCCCATAACGGGCCCTCCTATTAAAGCTGTGCATTGACTCTGGACTTGACAGTTATGCTCTTTTGCCTTAAGGGACTTTCAAAAACATAGTTAATACAAGCAAGAGTCTGCAAAGGATGATGTATGTGGAGCGAGAGGCGGCCGAAGGGATACTTTGACAGTATTGTAACAGGTTGTTTCCTTTCTCTGCACTTGTCACACGTTGGGACTTCAACGCTTCATGCTTTGTTATAAATGCTGATATACTTATGTGTGTTCATAACATTCTGTGAAGGCCCCTACAGTGTAAGCTGTTAGGGAATGGAGGAACAAATGTAGAAAGTGACTAATTAAGTGTCTGGTTATTGATACATTAACTTGAATGATCTCTTTTGATTACATAAATTGGTAAATCTGCTGGTAATTTCCATGATTAATTATTTTTCTGGTCAAAAATATTCTCAGAATAAACACAAAGAAAATGAACCTTTACAATTTTCTAAAGTTTATGTTTTGTTTAATCAACAGTCTGAGACTCAAAGGTAACCAGGCACTATCACATAAGACAAAGAAAGCAGCAAACCCTCACGTCTTTTTAGAGGCAAATAAATGAGAATATTTTTCTTTTTGCTTTAGTAATCAAGTAAAAGATCTATTTTTAAATCTCAGAAAGTCACAAATCGGCAACACTGACAAGCCCGTTCCTTCAGCACTGCAACGAGGTAGCATAGGAAATGCTTATTACTGTCCTACGACAGGCCAAAATAAAGGGTCTCTTCTGTCAAGGCATTTCATTCATTGATGTCAGGATTTAAGAAGAATTTAAAGAATGAATATATTTTCCAGCTTTAATTCCAGCAATGAGACTACTCACAGAATCTGATGTTAACGGGCGCCTGCTGTCCCATTAATTATTTACATAAACACGTGTCACGTTTGGACACGTTTTCTCATGAGAAAGTGTGTCCAAAGTTTTGATTGGTGCTGAAGTTCTACGGGAGGCATCGCAGCACGCACGCTTCAGCACCGTTTGCTCAGGTGAGGTCTTTATAGCCCTCCCTCGAGGGCCACGCCCTCCCCTCAGGCCACGCCCCCGCCGCAGCAGCGGAAGGGCCTCGCCTCTCACCCCGAGGGGCGCGCATACAGATGTGATGCTGCAGCGGAACTAGTGCTTGTTGACACGCCGCCCGTGGTGGTTTGCCGTGTGGAGCCTCTCTGAAGGAATAACGTGGACTCACCTCACCGCCAGGTAAGAACTCACCTGGCTCCACGGAGAAGGCGAGGAAAGGCTGCTTGTGTTTTGTAGTCGGGTGGGTTTTTGACTCCACGTTAAAACCACGAGACCTTCAGAGTGCAGATGCCGTCTATTGTTCGAAACTGTTGTAAAACAGACTAAAGTGGCCTGAGGAAGGGAACTCAGTTTAAATGATGTCTGTTTGCAACATTTATATGTATATATATATTTATATGACGTGAAAACGTCTTTCTGACTGTGTATTGCGTTTAACTAAAAGTGACAAGCTAATGTAAAGTAACTTAGCTTTTGTTAAATAACCACAATGCATTGCGTCAATCACTAAATACTGCCTCTAGCGGCTAATTGCTTAATCACATAGCATCATAAGTCATCTGCGTGTGCGTGTGTACACACAATACGGCCACATTTAGCTTAAGCATTTTAATGTAAATTTAAGGAGGACATGTTGTTATTAACTGTAAGATCCCCATCCAACAGCCGTTACTTGTTTATTTCAATGAATTTTACCCATTCTTTCCTCTGTTCGTTCATCAGGCGACCTGCCTGCTGGGAAGGTCTTCTGATAATGTAATTTTTCTCCAAGTAACCTGAAGGCATCAAACTATTGACAGTGTTTATTAATGAATACAATCACATTCACACTGGATGTGGTCATTCTTACAAAGACGCATCAGAAAATGATAATAAAAGTGTGATTTATTGTTGTCGTCATCTGGCCGTTAGGGAGATAACTGGATACGCGTGACATGCGGTTCAAGCACGGTATGAACTTGGCAACATTTGGGCAAGCAGGTACATGTGAAACAGGAGAAAACTATAGTTATGTCACTGCTGCCGGATACCAGGCAGTCGGCAAAGCATTCAGACAGTGCAAGTTTCACTCCTGTCTAGTCACAAGGTCTGAAATATATGTTATATGTCTTACATTAAATCTAAAAATAAATTATATGACATTTATTGATACAAACCACAACGCACAGAAATTGATTGATAGGTCCGAATTAATGTGTTATAAACATTTACACTTGAGAGTTTCATTGAGCAGAAAGCACTTTTTGTCACACACATGATTGCATGTTTGTGCCGTCATTTCGCACTGAGCCCCTTTACCACCCACTGGATCCTTTTTATTGTTATAATACATTTTCTGGATATCACAATTGTATTGTAGTATAATTGCTTAATACCGGACTGCTACGTCAGGCCTTTAGAATAGCTTGCATGTCGTTGACCAATGCTCATATTCACAAAGAACAAACATCAAATTTGACGTTGTTTTCTAAACATCAACTGTCTACACATCTTGAAAAACGGTCGTGGCTTTTTTAACGACCGCCCCAAATACAAATTGTACGTAATCATGAGGTCTGTATACAGATGTATAATGCCGGAGAGGAAACAATTGTTTAAAACCACTGTACATACGTTGTGCCATGTGCTGTCAGGGATACACGCATTTGAGGCGTTCAGTGTGCCTTTAGTGTAGATGTTGGAGCTCTCAGCCTGATGTTTTATGGCTTCTTAAAGTGCTGCCTGTGTGTTAATGTTACAGCCTTGTGGGTGTCATTAGCCGTGTGAAGTTTAAGGTCTCTAATGGGCACCGGCCCTGGAGCACCTGTGGTCTGAGTCAGCCACACAAGACTTCTCGTGGGAAAAGGGGACACGTTGCATTTGGTGGTTCCAGGTAAATAAAAAAATTGTGAAACACCGAATGAAACTTATTCAAAAACCCAGTGAATCCTTTCACAAATGCACAACGTATTTTTCATGTGTCTTTCCTGTGCTAATTTGTTTTCCTCTAGTAATTGTAGGGTTTACGAATCAAAAAATAGTGAATAATCACACAAATTCCCCTTTTTTGTCAAACCAGCAGTGAAAAACACAGAAATAAAATCATTAAAAAGAAGAAAAAAAATTCAATAACTAATCAATTATCAAACTATGTTGTTGCCATTGTTCATTTTACATGACCGGATTATTCTGTTTTACTTTACATTCTGCTTTTTGTTTAGATTGTTTTACTAGACTTTAGGTCATTTGACCTAAACAAATGAATATGTTTGTGAAAAATCAAAGTTTTTTTGCTAATGTTTCTAGGTTCCACTGATGTCTCCTCAGCTCCTTGCTTCAGCATCATTCTCTTTCTGGCTGATGGTGTGTTTGCTGCTCGGTGTCGTCCTGCTGCTGTCCACAGGAGTCCATGGCCAAGGTGCACTGCCTCCATGACCACATGCACAAAACTTTGATAGCTACGAATAGGACATTCACTGCCAAGGATGATACACATCTGTGTGGTGTGATTGTAGTAAAAGCCGGTCTCGGTTGGTCAATATAATTTAGCTACAGGTCTACAGCTACTATGTACCACTGTTGTTACTACAGACAGAAGAAAAACAGACACAACATCACACAACTGTTCTTTATTCTATTTGGACGGAGACAAAATGCTGGCAATGCTAACTTGTTAGCAATGTAAATTGCCATAACCAGTATTGTTGCCATCGACAATCATCTATATATTGCAAGACGAGCTCGGGTGTATTTGTCCCCCCAGGAGTTTATACATTGTTGTCTACACTAGTTCCTAGTAGTCTGCGATGAATTTGCCTCAGCATATCTTAGCACGGCTCAGAACCGAGTAATGTCTCATCATTAGTCGTGTTTGGGTCTTTGTCACAGTACGGCTCTGCTCCAGTGACGCCATGTTGGCAGCTGTGCTCTTAGTTTGTTGTAATTGTTTCAGTGCGACCACACTGACACCGCTGACACTGGCTTGGTCGCCAGCACAAGAATTACTCTCAGAACCTCTGTGTGAAAGACCCCCCATGTGACGGGAGCCCTCATGTCCATTTTAGGTCAATTATGCTAATTGCCAGACAAATATCTTTTTGCAGTTTAGAGAGTTTGTTGAGTCGGACTTGAGGTACCAGTATGAGCAAAGTGTTCTGTGCTTTAGTTAATTTAGTTATTAACAAACTACTTAAGCGATCACCGATACACAAGCTGTACTTAGCAGCTGAAGTAGCTAATATGCTAATTTACGTACATGCACTCATTTAAATGGCATGTTAGAATGTGCCGTTTCTGTATTTGCTGCTTACTTTATACAAAATGTTGTCAAAAACAACACGTGGCGAGACTGAAACGGCTCATTATTTTAGTCGTGAACTGAAGAATGAGGGACACAACCAGCTGCTCATCAGTGAGCACAAAACCGGCCCCTCTCTCCGTCGGCATATCTGCCCGCCTGTGTGGAAGGGTTGTCGTTGTTGTTAGTGGGTCTGTAGGACCTTGACCTCAGTCTCTGTCTGTCCTCGTCAGGCCCTTTCTGATCTGCTGCCAAGACCCGCTGGAGGACCCTCCAGAGGCCCCTGGCCCCGACACACACACACACACACACACACACAGACTTATGCACACGTAGTACATGCTCATCAGAGCAGAATCTGTAGAGTGCTCAGGGTCAGAAGGGATGAAGACAAAGTTCTGTGATTCATGCGGTTCCTCTTTGCCCCCCATCTTCCTCTCCATCTATCACGCTGCCACATAGTACATACTAAACCCCGACACACTGTAACTCTGTGCGGTTCCTCTGACATGACCTTCGACCCGCCGGTCCCCGACCAGCGTCCTGTTCCTGTTTCTATACAAGACGAGAGGACAGGGCGTGCTTTGATGGACGATGGGGCAGCTGGAAGGAGGGACGGACGGATAGAGACATGAAAGACGCTGCTTGTTGGGAAGCCACTGCTGGAAATTATGTAGATGAAGTGGAAACAAGAGGCAGATTTGATTTGGGCAGAAGGAAGCGAGAGGAGGGAAGGAAGCTCCACAGCTTGTGTCTTTGATCTCTCAAAGAGCTGCAACATTCATGCCGTCTTCTTTCTCTTGACCCAAATCCCAAAAGAGACGGCATGCGCACGCACATATGTAATGAAGCCTTAATTTGTCTTTTTGTTTCCCTCCTTTTGTCCCTGTGAATCTCAAGGTCGTCTTAAGCTGACGGTCCTGTCTGAGGACAGACTGCAGATGAAATGGAAGGAGGCTGACGGACCCGTTCAGGGCTACAAGGTCAGAGTGAGACCCATCTCAGGTGAGACAACGCTGCTGTGTGCTGAGCGCCGGGTCCCCACGCGGCCGTGGAGGTTGTAAACCCACTCATATGTCATCTTCTGGGACTACTTTATTCTATTTGTAGTAGTTAATTACACGGAAACACACATATCCTGCAAACAATTTGATTTGCCTGTAAAATATTTGTTAATTTTAGGATTTCTGAAACATTTTTTGTGAAAATCCTCAGTCCAATAGAGCGTAAAGTGGAGTATGCTTTAGGGCGGGCTTACTGTGATTGACAGATCCTTGCTAACAGACATAGTCGGCTTCTCCACATCGTTCCTCCACATTGGAGTCATGGTAACTCTTCATCGGATGAAAAGACAGAAGGAGCCTTTCCTCTGACTGTGATCCATGAATGTGCTTCACAGTCCATGGTTTGGATAAGAACGCAGCTCCCTCTCTCCGCACCGCCTCCTTCACATCTTTCACTCTTGCTACCATTCAACTTGTTCCTTAACTTAGTTGTTTTCTTCTGTGACCCTATAACCTCCCATTCCACACTGGGCAGTTAAGCCCAGGCACGTCTGAAGGAGAGAGTCAGTAGAAGAATTCAGTCCAACACCAGGTGGAGGGTCTGCCAGAGGGGTGAGAGGATGCGAAGGTGATGTCTATGACATTAAAAGGGGGGGAAATGCATTAAGAGCATTTCAGTGGCTGATGCAGCTGGTTTATTGTCTCACATCTTATGAAATATAACTCCATTGACTAGTTACACCTGCAGCATGATGCTGGAACATGTTTACTTCGTTGTTCACTTAGTTATTGCTCCATGTCAACTTTTGAAACTCTGTGGGAAATGATAAGCGGATCTGACCCGGACAGCCAAGGCCTGCAGACTGAGAAGTAGGGAGTTCTTTTATTACTCAACCTGTAGGTAGGAAGTGTTCTATTATAAGGTTACTTTTACTTTTAAAACCGAATGAAGGGAAGGCATTTGTAGCTATTTTTAATTACCTTGTTATAAGACATTTAGAAATCAAGAGACAGGTTAGACAAAACGTGATTATCTTTACTTTCATATCTAATGATTTACTGGCGGTTCTAGTGTTAAACGTGCTCTTTCACAGTTGCCATGGCACCAGTCAGCTTCTCTTCACTTGCCAGCAACATTTGCTGGCAATGCACAGTGATCACAAAACCAGATGAATCAGCATTTGGGAGGGAGTTGTCTGATCATGTAAGATGGTGCAGCGGTGATCACCTTCAGCTCAATAATGGAGAGACTAAAGCAATGATCAAAGATCTACTTCGTGAAATTGCTGGCTAACCAGTAGAAAATATGAAAGCATTTGAATGTACCATGTATGTTTATAAAATATACACATTTAATGATGGAATTTCAATTTTTCTGACCAATTTGATCCATTAAGAAGGTTCACTCATCAGTTGTAATTGATGTTCTTTTTCAAACCCTCTTGATCACACTGCTGGTTGTGTGGTGCACTTATTTAACAATGTATGAACAAGAAAGACACTAAATATGAAGTGTGCTTATGTAAGCTGAAACTAACCAACACCAACCAAATAAATCAAGACAACAGGGGTGTGTGTGTGGAGCCACATTCCTCTGCAGCTCCACATTGCATTCTGAGTCCGCACACTTTTTCGTGGATAAAAAAGAAATGATTTCAAGTCTTTTTTTCATCATACTACGCTCAAATATTCCATATCATTGAGGAATAACCTTCACTAGGACTTTAAAAGATTTTTTTTAATTCTTAATTTATTTTATAAATTGTGTTTTATGCATGCGATGGTTTGTTAGCATGCTGTGCTGTCTTGTCTGTCCTGCATTATGAGTTATTAGTGATGGCAATAAACTTAAGTCAGCTCAACTCTCTTCTGCTTATTGTGTGAGAATAAAGACACAAGTTGATTTGCTCGTCCTTTCCAGAGGTGCCGCAGCCCGAGCTGATGCTGACCACCACACGGGGCCGGGCGACGGTGGCGGGACTGGACTCGAGTCAGGAGTACGCGCTCCAAGTCCTCGTGCTCAATGGGACGACAGAGAAACTCCTCGCAAAGCGGAGATTCACCAGTAAGGAAGGAGGAGGGGTGGGGGGGGCTGAGAGGAGAGACAGAGGACCTTCAAGGGTTTTATTAAGGTCAAAGACAGTGTATCATCAACATAGAGCATTGTAGGTGAACAGGAATCTAATCTTAGTGTGGACATACATACTATAATGTAGAAAGGTTTATTATGGATTTGCGGGATGTTTCCCAACATTACATTTTTTAACAACATCCTTTTTGAAACATTAAGCAGTAAAAAGCAAAAGGCTGGTTTGTGCATTGAGCCAGCAGATATAGACAAAGTCGCCTAGTAGTAATGGGAAAGTAAATAGTCCAACGGGTGAGTAGTGATATTGAGATATGTGTGTGTGCGTGTTTATGAGCAGGCTTAAACATGACTGCATATCTAAATAGGCCATTTTACGTGATGTAGTGTAAGATTTTCATTTGATTCTGCAATCCAGACATTTTTTGGAACGCACAAAAACCAGCTGCAGTTCGTTGTGGCATTGAGGAGGAAACATGATCCAAAGTCATGATGTGATCACGACGATAATCAGAGATAAAAAGAAATGCTGTTGACTCAGTTGGTAACTGAGATAACTGGCATCACGGCAAAGTTCCTTTGGTATGAAGTGGTGCATTTCTGACATTCTTCCTCTTTAGTACACACAAACACACACACACACACTTAGCGAGCTACTCCAGCTAGATTACAGGCTGAAATGTCAGTATGTTGCTCCTGTGGGTCTCAGCGGAACCACGCAGTCGGTCGTGGCTTTGTGCTCACTCTGTTGGATCGTATTTGTAGAACGAGCGGTTTACAGAGAGGAGAGTTTTCATTTCCGAGGAGACGGAGGACGTTTTGTTGAAGCATCACGTGTGTCCTGAGGATTAGCGTCTGCGGTGGACTAGTCAGCAGACCTGTTGTCCCTCAGGTGGTTTCCCTACGGCTCTGTGTGTGTACATCCCCCCCCACACGTTTGGCATTTGATTGTTAGACTGATTGATATCCTGTCAGGTTGCTTGCGAACCGGCTGCAAAGCGATAGTAGGTTACTGTGTCGAGGCGAGCGTGCCCGGGCAGGCCTGAGAAACATGTTCATTTGGAGGTTTTCAACAAGGACTGTCTCTCTCCAGTCTGGGAATTCCTCCCTGATGCATCACATTTCCCATTCGCCTCAACGCCCTCTGGGCCCTTTATTTCTTCCTTTTAAAATGTCACCCTTCATTTCATTCTTGACCATGTCTGTTACCTCCTGGCAAGGATTCGGCAACGGGATCTGGTGAAGCACTTACGCCAGAGGGGTAATACTACATACCGATTGTTCACCTCGCTGGTGTCAAATGGCACTGGTGCAAAAGTAATTGGAGTAGGTAATGCAATTCTTAGTTAACACTTCTGTTGACTAAAAGATTAGTGGATTTATTCATCTGAATTTCTCCAGAAGACACTTTAAATGTTATCTTTACAGAAGTAAGTCAATACAATACAACAATAATTGACCCCACTGCACGAGGGTGAGAACACGTTCCCTACCTGGAGTAGAAAATCCATTGGTTTTCTGCTGAGAACCACGGCCTCAGATTGAGGTGCTGATCTTCATCCCAACCGCTTCATACTCGGCTGCGAGCTGCTCCAGTGAGAGTTGGAGGTCCCAGACCTAAGATGCCATTAGGACCACATCATCTGCAAAAAGCAACGGTGAGATCCGCGTTACCCTGAGCTGTAAACCCTCCTCCCCCGACTACGCCTCCGTATCCTGACCATGAATACCACAAACAGGATTGGTAACAAGGCGCAGCCCTGGCGAAGGTCGATCCCCTCAACAACTGCCGAGCACACAAACACAGCTCTCGCTTTAGGCGTACAGGGATTGGATCGTCCTTGCAAGAGTAGAGCTGCTGCGTCGTTACACAACCAGGACCGAAAACGCATTGTTCAACTATTGGCCAAACCCTCCTTTCCAGCACCTTGGGTTGGACTTAGACGGTCTTCAGTATGCCCACTCTTATGAGTATGGTCACACTTGTGAGAATGGTCATATGGTCATCTTTGCAACCACGAGGAGCTGGTTGGTGGAGAGAATACTTCCTAATTGGCTTCACCGGGCAGAACTGGATCTTGCCGCCTGGTTGCAGCCATACTGGCAGTTATCTGATGAGATGCTGCTGTCACAATCTTTACCCATGCAAATTATTATATACATACACATTAATTCCTAGCTCATTTATATTTCTAAATTAAAATAAGCCTCTAGGCATGTTGATGTTTAGCATTTAATTAGCATGGGTTTAAATGTTTTATTGTGGTTGGTTACAGGTGCAGGGGAAACAGCTTGTAAATAAAATAACTATTTCTATAAAATAGTAGATGTTGGTTTAACTTTGCATAGCTTCAGTTAAAGTCTTTGCATGTGGTGTCAACCAGCTTTAACCTATAACCCTCGTCGTAAACCTAGATTTAACGTGTTAACAGATGGAGAGGGGCAGTTTTTGCTCTGTAGATTGGCTGGTGAATATTCATTTATTTATTGTGGTTTATTTGCAGTTTGCTAGTATATCAAGAGTTGATCTTCACATTCCCTGCATTTTTTTGACTTTAACATGAATCAGTAGTAATGAGCCATGTGCGATTCCCTCTACTAGTGGAGGGTCTACGGGAGGAGGAAGCGATCCGCAGTGGTAGTCGAGATCAGAAGAAGAAGATGTTGCCAGGCGGTTCGGGGTCAGGAGACCTGGACGAGGCAACGGAGGCTCTGACTGGCTTGCCGACAATTCTGTATCCAGACCCCGCCACCACCATCAGCACCAGCACCACCGCAGCCCCTACAGGTGGAGCCCAGTAGTAATAACTAGATATTTAGATCTGACCCGAAAAGGCTGATCTGTGATTGAAAACAAGCCTTTCGGTTATTTGCCATGTATCTTTATATTTGTAGACCATCATGTGCTTGACAACATGAGGCATGAAAGAACATGTTTGCCACAGGTGACGCCTTGAATATGAGTCATAAAATATACAAAATCATGATAACATCTGTTGTTACAACGAACGAAAGATTTTCTTCAATTTTTACTTTATTTTTTACAAAAGGAACCAAAACACTGCCAATGGGGAAGATCTCAATTCAATCATGAGAGCCGATATGAAACCAGATGTGAAATCTACCCTCTAAGCTAAAAGTAAACCTGGTCTGAATTGAAATCAAACATATTTATAAGATGTTGTGGCCATTTTTCAACGATGATGCCTTCCAAAAGCTCACAAGCCCCAAATCGGAATTCCTTCGGTTTAAACAAAAGCTTGCCTGTTGGACACAAATAAGCTGTTCCAGAAAGGAATCCGCCACTGTTTTACTCAGTTTAACCCTGCTCTGATGTTCCCCGGCCTCTGTCATTATAACGCTATTGGACCGGATATGTTGACAAACCCCACATATGCGCCGACAGCACACACGGGTACAGTAAGTACACTGCACTCACACACGCCTGCACTAATCGCTTTGAGACCAATACACACGCAGTAATAACAGCCCAGCACGGTGGGTGTAACACAGTAAACAAAAGCTGGAACAAGATGGAAGGAGGATAAGGAAGGTGGGCTCGGGGGGATTGTAAGCAGTGGTTTGATGTTTTATCTATCAGGCAGCCGCTCCTCTAAACAGTCTCTGCTTATCTAACCTCGTCCATGTGCGCATCTCCCCAGAGCCCCCGGTCCCAGAAACCCCCTCCCAGCCCCCCGACGAGGCCCAGGAGAAAACCACCAAAGAGAAGAGGAAGCGTAAGAAGGAGAAAGAGCGGGATCGTTCTAAGGGGGAGGAGAAGGAGGAGCAGGGGACGACGCAGGGCAAAGCCCCAGAGGAGAGACCCCGGAAGGCCCCCTTCCCTACCCAGCCGGTGACAGGTAACCGCTGCTCCAGGACGTAGAACTGACATTTTTTATTTCAAGGAAAAATACGATGGAACCAAATACCCTAAGCAGGAAGTTAAGCACAGTATCTTCAAGGACGTCTGCCCCCCCCGTCTTAGGCTTTAAGGAACACAAGGCTTGAGAGATGTTTGACAAGTGATGACAGTGTTTTCACGAGGGAGGGACATGACAAGGGAAGGATAATGACAGGCCGTCTCATTCGGCTGCAGGGCTCAGGTGTCCTGGTCTCTCCCTCATAATCCTAGGGAACAAACACGCATGCACAGAAACTCACACATTTTCATGTGCACATTTCAACACCTACACCTACACTTTTGCCTGCCTATAGGCATGAAGCCATCTGTTTCCTGTTATAAATCTATACATTTAGCTTTGCAAAAATCAGATGGGTGACGACTGAAGGGAAGAAACATCACAATGTGATTTAAGTACAACGGCATGAGCAGCTAATGCAGCAACGCTGCACCAACAAGCGACTCACACGCCGATCACATGATGTGCAACTTGTTCTCGTTTTAGCATACAAGCCAATGAAACGAAATACACAACAGCAATTTCAGACAAAACAAGCTCCTCACCCGCCATGTTCCTGCAAAAAATAAGAGGACTTCCACCTGCTATAAGTGTTACTTTGCAGCCATTTGCCGGACTGTTGGACGGACCTCGTCTCATCTATTTATTGCCATTGCATGATTGAAAGGGTGCATGACGGAAATTGTTCCTCAATGTGATGCATTTGTCAGTTGTGAAGATCACTACTGGCCCCTGAGAGGGAATCCCAGCCATTTATGTGAACTATGTGTCAGAGAGGCAAACAGCTTCAGTGCTCTTTGGCCTCGGTTCACCAACTCTCTGGGCCGCTGTTCAGTTCAACACTATCTGCATCATGCTTCATTTTTTATTAAGGTACGTCTCCAAGGAAACCGTTTGAGTGTGACAGCGTGGCAGCGGCCGACATCGTGTTGTTGGTGGACGGCTCCTGGAGCATCGGGCGCGCCAACTTCAGACGGGTCCGAGACTTCTTGGAGGGCCTGATGATGCCCTTCCACATCGGGCCGGACCACATTCAGATCGGTGAGGATCAGATCGGGCATTCAGGGAAGAGCAGAATATTTAAGGGGTTTACTCTAAGTGACAATGTTGATGAGGTGCAGGTATTAGCTTTGCTACAGGGGCTTTTATGGACAAATTATTTGATTTCTGCTGATTGGTCCTCTTGTGGTAAATAATTGGTGACCACATTCACGTGGCTGCTCATGGACACACCTTGATCCACAGCTTTTATAGCAATACTGGTTGTGGTTGTAAAGTGATGGCAATGGAGCATTGCTCATCGTCTGCATTGTTGGCTTGTAAATAAATGCTACATCAAGAAGCTGATTTACAGACACTCACACTGTGCTTTTTGGTTTTTAGCATCATACAACAAAATAATGAAAACATAAATCTTTCAGAATGGCCCGTGTCACAAAAAAATGAAAATACCGTAATAACTTCCCGTTAAATGCTGCGTCCTTGTCCCAGGTCTGACCCAGTACAGCGGAGACCCCCGCACTGAGTGGCAGCTCAACAGCTTCACAACTAAAGACCAGCTGTTGGAGGCAGTGAGGAATTTCAGATATAAAGGAGGAAACACTTTTACAGGTAGACGCGCATCAACAGCAACCCGATGAGTGTTTGCGTGTTCGAGCCTCAACATCTGTCTTTAGAATACACACACATGAGTTCATGTACAGCATCTGTCTCCCAGGCCAGGCGCTGCTCCATGTCATGGAGAACAACATGAGGGCCGAGGCGGGCGCCAGGTCAGGCGCGCCCGTTTTCCTGGTCTTGTTGACCGACGGGAAATCTCAGGATGACGCCATTGCTGCGGCGAACCGGCTAAAGAGCGCCGGCGTGGAGATCATCGCCGTGGGTGAGGCTGAGGAGATGCAGACTACAACCTTTAAGTCTCCTGCATTCCTGTGCTCTGTGGGACTCAACAATTTACTGTTTCATGACGTTCGGCAGTTTGTTCTAATCTCTTAGCGAGTTCCCTGCATCGTGGATGGGAATATGTTATAACTTTGTATTATTTAGGCGTAAAGAATGCCGACGAGGCCGAGCTGAGACAAGTGGCATCGGAGCCGGTGGATCTGAACGTCTACAATGTCAACGACTTCCCGCTGCTCATCAAACTGGTGGGCCGGCTAGTTCACATCCTGTGTGGGAGGATAGAGGACCGTGGCATCTCAAAACGTAAATATCCATCTCTTTAGGTATCTGCCTCCCTGCCTTCTTCTCACACACCAACTTTCATCATTTCATCACTCAGCACTCACTATAGGGGCAATTCACAACTTTGTAGTGCTGTCCGAATGGACATTGAGGTTTATTATACTTTGGTGAAAAGTAGTCTACAAACGAAAAATGGAAGATGCACAAAAATTGAGAGAGCAGCGCAATTTAACTAATATACTTGTTGTGCGCAGAGCATCACAACACAAACACCCACAAAGTACTTTGTATTCATTAGTTTGGCAGAATAAAGCTTTAACGTCCAGTAGACTGTGCCCTGCATTACTGATGACCAGCGGGAACTTAAATTCACTCTCAGCATGTTGCTGCGGGGAAACCCAACCACAAAAGCTTAAAATGCGTATTAATCCGAGGCAGCATCTGTGTATTTATCATCATCTAGGCTACTTGAATCTCTGCAATAATTGCTCCGGGGGAATTAACAATTTTGCCGATAAGTTATTTCTATACGAATTTACATATAACTGGCTGAAAAGTGAGTAGGGAATGAGTGAATGCCTTCGGAAACAGCCGGGCCTTTGTTTTAATGCCAGGCATCAAATTGTAAACATGTTGTTGAGTCCGAGTGTGCCGATTCCCTCAGGAATGGAGCCCGGGCCCACGGCTGACCCGTACCTCTCCCACCCCGGTCCCACCGACCTCCGCTTCTCTGAACTGGGCTCCAGAGAAGTCCAGCTTCACTGGACCAATCCCACCAAGCCAGTGCGGCAGCACCGAGTGGTCTACCACAGCGCCGAGGGTCAGACTCCACAGGAGGTCAGAACGCCACCTCCCCTCTTGTCAATTATTACCTCCAGCGGCCTCTATATTTTACATCGTATGCAAATTTGGGGAGAAATGTGGTTAATTGCTAAAGGCAAACATAAAACGAAGGAGCAAAAAGAAAAGGGTAAAAAAAATGTGTGGTCCCGTACGGGAAGGGAATACAAACACATATTAATTAATACACAATTTACATATTAGTATTATAATGGAAAAATACAAGTGTTATGTGCATGTTTGCGTCTGATCTCAAGTGGTTCTTTATATCCAGGTGGTGTTGGCCGGCTCAGAGTCCACTGTGCTGCTGCAAGGCCTCTCCTCTCAGACGCTGTACCACGTGTCCATCTTCCCCGTGTATGAAGACACTGTTGGCCTGGCGCTCAGAGGAACTGTCACCACACGTGAGACCGACACCACTGCTGAGTATTATACTTCAGGAGATTCATTTGTCTGTTCACACATACTTGTGTTGTTAAACGTCTCTGTGACAAACGTGCACCCTGCAGTGAAGGTTGAACTGATTAGAATTTGGAGGTCAAAGGTCAAATAAGTTCTTGAGTAATGGCCAGAAATGTGTGAATATGCTCACGTCTAAAGAGCAAAGCTCAAAAATAAAAGATGGCGAACCAAACTCTGTAGAATAGGGGGTCTCTGCTCCATCTCACCACCAGCATATTGAATGCACAATGTGTCACAAGGAGAGACATGCTACATAGTAAATCACAGAGATATACACGTTTACACGTTACTCTCTCCTCATCCCTCGCTCAGTGCCCCTCGCCATCCCCACCGACCTGGAGGTGACCCCTTCCTCCTTCAGCACGCTGAGGGTGAGTTGGGGCTCAGCGCCCGGTGCAACACAGTACATGATCCTGTACTCGGCCCTCAACCACGGGGAGCCGGATGACGCCAAGGAGGTGAGGAGCGGACCTCTTTATTATGTGTGTGTGCCTTTAGGGGAGAGTGATGGGGCGGTACCTGTGCTGCCACTTTGCACCGTGTTAAAAAAAACACAAAACATAATTCTTCTCTAACATCAAGTCAAATTATTTACATTGCTTTTTGTTTTTTATAGACTTTGTAACTTCTTAAAAAATAAAAACCTAAATGTGCCATATAATAATGTTGTATAAGTATTTCTCTCAACTCCTCCCGTCCATGTCTCCGACGTATACAAAGAGCCACGGTCATCTCAAATGTGGATTATGCACTTCATTCTACTTCTTTGATACTGATTAACAGAAGCGCTGCTGGCCTGTTTCCCACGAGATGCACATGTACGGTGAGAACTGGTACCAGACGCTTGTTTCTGTGTCGCTGCAGGAGAAGTTCAGTGCAGAACAGACGGGAGGGGTGGAGCTGGCAGGGTTACTGCCGGCGACCGACTACTCCGTCACCCTCTATGCTCTGTATGACGAGGACCCCAGCGACCCCGTCACTGCTGTGGCCACCACATGTAGGACCCTCCCCTAAGCTTTTCTGCCCCCCCCCCCCGACTCATGTCCTCCGTCCTACTCCACCTTTTTCTGAGAGTCCTACAGAGCTTCCTTACTCGCTGTCATCCCCTTCCGTCAACAAAGGGATCACTTCAACACGCCAACAAATCATTTGTCTTTCTCCACATTTATCGTCTTCTTTCCTCCCTTTATATTTTACCTTCAACCCCACCCACCAGTACACGTCCCACCACCAGTGAGCGTTCAGTTCCCGATGGTCACGCACAGTATGCTGAGGGTGAGCTGGGTGCCCGGAGCTGTGGATGTCCCCGGCCACAGAATCACCTACAGCACCAACCACGGCAGCGACGTCAAGCAGGTGAACTCTGCGGTGTCGCGTCACAAGCCTCCTGGTTCCAAAACCACGTCCCCATCTAATCCTCCCCAGAGGATTACAGTAATGCAGCTAGACAGACGTAGTGCAGGGACACACAAACCAGCGTGTTACACCTTTTCCTGTATCCTCCAAATACTTCTAAATAATATATATTATTATATAGGAATAATAAACAAAATGAATAGATGAATAACTGGATGAACAACTTTAAATGATAATTACATAAAAAACTTCTTTGCATCTTGAAGGACACGCTGACATGTTTCTGGGTTTTATATTTAACTATTCATGGAATGGAGTCAATTTACATGCACGTTTTGAGGTTTTATTGTCCAGAGGTTTATTGTCTCGAGGTTTTTCCTCTGCCAGACCGACAGCCGATGGCTCGTAGATCCCTGCAGTCAAGTCAAAGTTAGTCATTCATATCAAATCTCTTTCCAGGTGGAGGTAGCTGGACTGAACTCAGTGGTGGTGCAGAACCTCTCGTCACTCTCCAGATATCTGGTATCAGTCCAGTCTCACTACCCTCTGGGCCTGTCGGCAGCACTCACCAGTAACGTCACCACACGTAAGGCACACACACACACACACACACACACACACACACACACACGGGTCCCGGGTGCTTTAATGCATCGTTGGACGTTACAAAACAAGCCTTATGTAACAGCACCACAGAGAGAACAAACATTGAGATGAATGTGAATGAAGACACAGCCCATCTAAAGTCTTTCTGTTTTTCCTCTCCTGACACGTTTTCCCTCTCTCCTAGTGAAGGTGCCTTCCCCATCAGACTTCAGGGTGTCCAATTTCTCGGGCAGTGACATCACCGTGCGCTGGGAGTCTGCAGCCGATGACGTCGTCTCTTACCTCATCAAGTGGATCTCCCTAAGCGGAGGAGACCTGAGACAGGTGGGGGAGGATTCAAGGACGAGGTTGAGCGCAGATTGTGTCATAATGATCAATGTACATGGATTTTCTTTCTGTTCTAGCTGAGGACGGGAGGCGAGAGCGAAGGGGCGATCCTGGAGGGTGTGGAGGACGATAAGGAATACCAGATCTCTTTGTCTGCACTTTATGGCGATGGAGCTCAGAGCGAAGCTGTGGCCACACGCTACAGCACCTGTGAGTCGCACACACCTAAGAGATGAGAATGATCATTAATATTCTCTACTGCTGATGTAGAAGGACATCACCTACAGGAAGGTTCCAGTCCAGTCGCCAACAGCAGCAGTATTGCTAATGTCACAGAAATCACTTTGAATCCTCAATCAGCATCTTGCAGATGGTCTGGTTTGTATTTATTTTTAATTTAATATTGTCAGATAGGTTGTGCACCATCCCACGATGTTGTTGCGTCTATTGTATTTTGTAACACAATGACAGGAAAGCAGCAGATGCAAAATAATAAATGGGTAGTGATAAAAAGTCATTACTTGCTATCAAAAAATCAAACGTGCTACTTGTCGTGTTACGCTATTACTTTGGCTTGCTGACTGCCGTTTTCAAAGTGCCACGTCACCTTGTACATCGCTCTGTGGGTCGCGTTGAGATCTGCTGAAAGGCGAACTTCCTCCAACGCTCCCAGTTTTTGGTTTTTGGTTTGCACCACATGTGCTGCCCATGTAACATGTCACATGTAAGCTGGCTCACTGATGTTTTCTCCAGAAATGCTTTGATGTTTCTTTCAAGCCACCCTCCAATACAGGTTTTATGCAAAGTAACTCAACTCTGTGGCTCCTTCAAAGTGATTTGTTGACTCGTGTGTCTCCTTTATTTGGTCCCTGCAGTGTCTGGCGGGGGCCCATCCAGAATATTGGTTACCGAGGAGACGGCCGTCAGCTTGGTGGTCAGCTGGGTTCCTCCGAACGCTCACGTGCTCCAGTACCGCGTGTCCTACACTGCGCTGACTGCAGCCGAGACCCAGGACAGCACCGTGAGTGGCCGTGATCCCGTCTCTGATCCTGATGGACAGTACAGTTTAAGAAAAAACAAAAACAGAAAAGGGCTTAGCTGGCCCATCCGTGTGTGGACACACAGACGTTTTACCTTGAAAAGCTTGACCTGACGGGTGGGTTTTGTTGTCGGCAGGTCGTGGTCCCGGGTGCTGAGAAGCGGGTGACGCTGGAGTCGTTACAGCCAGATACTCGGTACAGCATCCTGGTGACCGCTGAGTACCGCAACAGAGAGGGAGGCAGTGGTTCTGCTCAGGGAAAAACCGGTGAGTGATGCACAATGAAAGAATACACGCATACTACTCCATGCTACTATTAGGTTTCACTCGCAAGTCAAAATGTCCCACCATTTCTGAGGGAAAGTCCTGAAGTCCAATGTGCAATGAGGTCGTTCATCTTTCTGTTTATTGTCTCTCCCTTTCACCTGTTTCTCTCTCTCTCTCTCTCTCTCTCTCTCTCTCCCTCCCTCCCTAGCAAGTCTGCGGGTGAGCAGTGTGAGTGTGGTCCGGTCAGACCACTCCAGTATCTGTGTGTCTTGGAGGCCCGTGTCTGCTGTCGATGGATATCGTATCGTCATCCAGTCAGTCAAAGGTAACTCACAGTGAGAACCTGCAGTAAATGTGGTCACACCGACATGATTATTCAGGAGAGACGGAGAGGAGATTGTTATGTTCCCTGCTAGCGTCCGGCAACATAACAGAAAACAAACGCGAGGGACAATAAGCAACGTAGCAGCCAATAGTAAAGAATTTATTGTTCTTAAACAGCAGCCAAAATTTGGAGCAGCAAGCACCGGAGAACTGCAGAGCAACGCTGTCTCACTATCAACAGACCGTGCAAAACCGGTGGTGTTACAAAGCAGATTAGGAAGCGGCAACACAACATCAGAAAAGTTCCGACAAAAACTACGGTAGTAGTCGGCCATGCCTAGGTACCGGCGCATCTCACTCTTGGTTTTGGGAGTCGGAAAATCAACAATGGCCTCAATCTTGGCCTCCACAGGGCGGACCTGACCTTGGCCAACTCGGATGAGGATGAGTGTAGAACTATGTCGTCTAGATACACCTCACAGTTCTGCAGGCCAACTAAAACCTTACTCATCAGGCGCTGGAAACTGGCTGGTCCAAGTCCAAAAGCCGTGACTGATAAAAAAAAAATACTCCTCCATGATGCCGCCATGGTGTTTCTGCAACATCTCTCTTCATTTCTTAAATAGGATTTCATTGGTTTGCAACAGAAACATGTCATACATTTAATCATATCTAAAGCATGTATAAAATCATGGAGAGGAAATAATAAAAGTGAAATGGTGCTTCCTCTCAGTTGCACAACAAAGCTTTCTACTGTATCCTCTTGCATACACACAATATAATACTGACAACCGACTTCAACTTTTCAACACAGTTGAGTTCAAACCTACAAATAGCCGTATGAAGGCGGAAGAGAAACTTATGAGTTCATTATAAAGATAATTGTTCCCTCGGGGGTAACCAAGGCGACTCCCCAGGCTACCTTTCAGAAAAGGACCTTTCAGAACTACAGAGAGAGAGTAATTACCTCAATTAGCTTGAACTGTAAGTAGTATAGCGTCACCTCCTCTGAGGAAAGCTATTAGGACATTCTCTTTATTCCATATATCATTCTGTATATATTCTCTCCATCACTATACATTGCCTTTTCCACTCCTGGTTAGATGCCAAACTGGATTTTGTTGTCCTAGTACCTGAACTTTTTGCACGGACAATAAAGTATAGTATTTGATTGATTTCAAAGATTGAAGCATTGTCTGTGTGTGTGTGTGTGTGTGTGTGTGTGTGTGTGTGTGTGTGTGTGTGTGTGTGTGTGTGTGTGTGTGTGTATGCGTGTGCGTGTGTGCGCGCGTTGGGTATAGACAAGCAAGCAAAGGAAGAGGCGGTGGATGAGTCCAGCAGCAGTCAGTGCTTCACTGATCTGGAACCAGAGACTCTGTATCGCATCAGCGTGCACTCTCTTCTGGGCTCAGCAGAGGGCGCCGCCGTCTCCATTCTCCATCCAACAGGTCGGGTGCTATCGCAGTCATACCGATAATACGTTAACAAAACACCCTACAAACGTAAAATGTGTAAATAAATGATTGCATGGTTGTTTTCCATTTGAAGGTAATGCATTGATACCAAATCTCGATAAGGGATCGGTAGACAAATATTTATGAAAAACATTCCTGTTGTTTGTGAAATGTGTCACGGTTGGATTTCCTTTTACAGCCACAGCTCCCGCAAGAATCCCCATCCACCCCCGGATGTACCCCGTCCACAACGAAGGTATGCTGCCTCACGTCGCAGTTATATTCCACTGCAGAAATGAGCGATTAGCTCAAGCGTTCTTTCCATCCTGTGGGCACTTGTTATATTCTCAGAAATTCCCAGGGGGGTAATTAACACGACTCCTGCTGTTCTGAGGACGGCATTAGTTTTTTTATTTCTTTCATCCTCTTATACAGAAAAGTATAAGCAAGCAAGACTAAAAATACTGAATGTGTTGTTTTCAAACACTTGTTACGACATTTTCTGTTTTGTGTCAAAGTCATTTTGGAATACTAATAAACAGTTTGACATTTGACCTTCCAGTTATTCACCTTCAACAAAATGTATTTCTCTATCTTCTGCCTTTTAATTTTAAGTTGAATGACTAAATACGTTTCATCTTGGCATAGTTCAAGATGACAAGTTCATGGCATACGTGTCATGATTTAGTAGTAAATCATGTAGTAATAATGAAAGTAAAACCTTAGAAGTTCTTCCCCTGGGACATGCTTGTGGTGGACAAGGAGCTTATTTTTGTTTCTCTGCCACGTTCATAATGATTGTACTGCCCTTTTTGTGTTACAGTCTGCCCCGAAGTCACCATCAGAAACAGCTTTGTCAAAGGTGAGAAAAGCACAGAGAAAACGTGAAGCTAACGGGCTCATTTAAAAAAAATCGAACCCCGTGTTGTTCATCCTCTCAGGATTTGACATGATGGAAGCCTTCGGCCTGACCGAGACGGCCCACTCGTCTGTGGAGGGCGTCGCGGCCGAGCCCTTCGCGTTCAACGACCTCCCCACGTACACTCTGTACAGAGACGTCCAGCTGACACAGAGCACCAGGTGAGATCACCTCTCCCGCCGCTTTCACTTCGCTCTCTGCTTCTTCTCGCTTCTCTTCTGCGTTATGAAACAACCTCACTTTAATTCTTATACGTGTAGCAAAGCGCCGAGGGTCAGATGCAAACGCCGCGACAGACCCCGTTACTCTCGCTGCTTCTCGTGAGCTCCGCTGAAATCATAATCTTATTTACCGAGTGCAACGACCTCACTCACTGCAGCGTCATTTTGAATATCCAGAATATTATTAAGAAATCAGGATCAGGAATCAGGAATCAGGAAACATTTTATTAGAATAAAAGTGTCAATAACATATTGATTATACATCTATTGTGGCGTGAAGGCGACACAGAAAGAGACTGAAAAACAGTCCAAATATACATTTTTATTGAAATACAATAATTGGTGTAAACTACCAATAAACATATAAATGATTTGTTTGTGAAGGCTACCAGTACATTTGTCTTACACTTTTCTAGGCTCAGACTTGGTGCAGGACAGATATTTGATGCTTGGGACTCACTTGGAATACAGAAAAGGGAAAGAAGTCCTTTAGCTAGTTGCTTTCGGTTTGTCCCTGTCAGGGTCCCTCTGACTCGTCCTGAATATGTTTCCAAGCGCAGGATTCTCTTTGGCCATGTTGCTGTTGGCTTTTGTAACAGTTCTTAGTTACTAGTTGGCAGGAGGGGATCCACTGGATCATAACAGCCTGATGGTGTTTGATACTTGATCCAGAAGAGCCTCTCGCCTGATATCACCTCATGACACTCGATTCAGAGCAAATCATAACAGCACATGAATGCAATTCACCGACATGACTGTGCAGTTCATCTTCCACCAGCAAGATTATGCTAAATGCATCTTTAAATGACTTAAAAGGAGCACTTTCCCTCTCCGCCTCCCAGGTTCATCCACCCTGCAGGTTTCTCGCCTGAACACACCATCAGCATCGGCTTCCGCGTGCTGCAGGAGACTCCCCGGGAGCCCTTCGCCCTCTGGCAGCTCACCGACAACGACTTCCAGCCCAAGATGGGAGTGGTGCTCGACCGTGAGTGACGTCTCTGCATCCCTCCTCCTCCAAAACCGCAACCAACTTGCTCCGTCCAATCGTTCCCCGGGATGTTTATTTGTCATTTGTCATAAAATAATAATCTTCATTGTTTTTTTTAACCCTACTGAACATTCTCACTTTCCTCATTTTGTGGATCAGCAGCTTTTCTTTCTCTGTAATGTAATAATAAGCTGAGTATGTGTTGGATGTTGCGGGAAAGAAAATGTTATTTTGAGAAGCTCAATCACTTTGTTGAAGGACTCCACAATCCCAAACATACATGCTATACAGATTCTTATTCTTATTGTCAACAAATCCTATTTTTAACAGTTGGGCATCAAATGGTAAAACAGGAGGGAACTTTTGTGTGAGTCAGATTTAAGCAGACCATCATGTTGCGATGTTGTGTTCTCAACAGCGACCACCAAACACCTGGTGTACTTCAGTCTGGACTACAGGGGAGAAGTGCAGGAACTGACCTTTGACCAGCAGCAGGTTCACCGGCTGTTCTATGGCAGTTTCCACAAGGTATTTCCACCAGCTACCTTGTCATCTGCATGTGCTCTCCAATAAGAATGAATGCCAGGACGTGTAATAATAGGGCAATAATCTCAGCAGCTGTCCCAAGACGGACTACATGTGATAAAGACTGCTAAGGAGACTCTAGTGTTATAGGGAACACTAAGAGAGCCATGTCCGGCTGTGTGTGCCTGGGGAAATGTTTGGGGGGAAAAAGGGATCTCGCTGATTTGTTCTTTCTCCTTAACGCTCGTCTAGGAGAACGTTAAGGTACTTAAAAAACGTTGAGGCCGGTGGTAACACAAAGAGTAATGCTAGGAGCCACCAGGGGGAGCCCTGCCCAGTCAATCTCACTACATGGTTGTGACATAACATCTGGTGATTGGCAGGTGCACCTGTCGGTCAGCCAGGTGAGTGTGTCCTTGTCCGTGGACTGCCAGCGCGTGGGGGAGAGGCCTGCCCGCCCTCTAGGCAGCCTGCCCACCGACGGCTTTGAGATGCTGGGAAAACTGGTGAAGACCAGAGGACCCAATAGTGGATCCGCACCGGTACGTCTTATTCTGTTCTATTAGACACATAAAAGAAGATTCTCCTGCTCTGTGCTCATCCTGTGCCGTGTGTTCCTCGTCGTTTGTAGTTCCAGCTGCAGTCCTTTGAGATCGTCTGCAACACGTCGTGGGCTTCAGAGGACACCTGCTGTGACCTGCCAGGGGTGGTCAGTCCGTCTCCATCTCACCTTAATTATTCACCTCTACCGCGGCGGATGCACAATGACAATAGATGCTGTGTTTCAACACATTTGTATTTTTAAGTTATTAGCATAAAAGTAGATGAGAGAGAGAGAATGCAAAACAGAAAACCCAACAATGAATATGTGCAAACCTCAAAGAACATGAATATAGAAAATATGTTTTCCCAATGAGGATTTCAGTAGAAACCCGTTACTGAAGATCTGGAGCTGGTCACCTGGCTGTGTGCTTTTGCTCCACAACCTTCTCAAACTCTTTAATTCATTCATCTTTAATGTCAAGACATGGGCCTCTATTGAGGACAGAGCTCGGGGAGAACATTGAGTGTAACACCCATGCTGCTACGGACCGTAAATAATGTGACAGCTATCTGGAGACTGGAAGTACAATGATCTGAGAGCTGACTTAAAAGGTTTCCACTAATTAGCTCTAGTTGTTATATTGAAAATAATAATATATCTAAAAACTGTTACGCATACCTAAAATAGCCTGTACCCAAACTTCTTCTCACACAATCATATCGCTGTCCTCACCTTTCTATCGTACAATAGTAAGAAATAGGAGAGCACAGTAAACACGCGTGTGACTTGGTGCCTTTGCTCTCCGTGTGTGCCAGAGAGATGAGGAGAGCTGCCCCGTCCCGGCCTACACCTGCACCTGCTCCTCCGACGTCCCCGGAGCCCCCGGCTCCCCTGGACCCATCGTACGTCACTTTCATGTGCGCCCCAGTTGTTTGGTGACGGGTTGGCGTTAATTGTTGAATTCTTGGCTTCTTCCCTCAGGGGAAGCCAGGTCCTCGGGGTGAGAAAGGCGTGAAGGGAGAGCCGGGACAAAAGGTGAGGTGGAAATACTTCTTTAGACTGACTAAGATTTAGAAATCGAGCGTTGAAGTCAACTGCAAAGCTGGAACTACAGCAAGCACATGTTTACAGTATAGTTTGGTTAGTTTTAGAATTGAGCACCAGATGCGCTCACTTTAGTGTTGTAGGGAACACTAAGCGGTCCATAGGGGGCTTTCAGGGGAAGAGTAAGAAAAGAAAAAGAATACATCGCGCACCCCCCCCCCGACCCAGATTGATCCATCCATAACAACACAATCACAACAGCAACACTGTCCACACATGTGTGATCTGCGGATTTCACAGTCAAATCGGGTGGTTGTTGTCCTGTTTTGGTCTGAGGGCCCCCCTTGCAGCTTCAAGTGGCTTTTCTTGTGTTTCAGGGGGAGGTGGGTCCTGCAGGAAAGCCTGGCTTTGAAGGAGGTCTTGGACCCCTGGGCAGCACGGGGCCCCGGGGCATGGCCGTGCAGGGTAAAGCGGTGAGTGACCTTCTTGGCTTTGAATACGTGCCGAGTGTTATTAACCGCGCTCTTATGGACTCTATCTGGTAAGCTGTGTCCAAAGTTTGAGTTTTCTTATTTTCCTTTTTAGGGTCCGCCTGGTGCACGAGGGGAAAAGGGAGATCCCGGGCGACCAGGGGTTCAGGTGAGTCTGAACTAAGGCACCAAAATGAAAAGATGGCAGACGGAAGACTTTTACTGTACTGTGGTGTTTAAACCCATTCATCTGCCTCTCGACCTCTCTGCAGGGTTTACCAGGACCTCCGGGTGCAGCAGGAGAGGTGGGGATTCCAGGCCCTCAGGTGAGCTGCTTGATCTCAGAACAGCACCTGTCCGCCGTGATTCCCTCCCCCCCGTCACTTTTCATTTGTCCTTATCCGTCTGCAATGTGTGTACACAGGGCATTCGGGGGCTTGAAGGAAACATCGGTGGACCAGGCCTCACTGGCCCCCGGGTGAGATTGGATTTCATTTGTGTGGAATTCTGACTTTGGTGTCACTGTCGGGTCAGAATCTGACCGTGACAAGCATTTTGGTCCATGACAAAGAATTTGAAAAACAGTCCTCTCAATGGCCCTGAGGTGTATGGACACGTACTGATTAGGAGTGAACCGTGTCCATTTCGGTTATTTGAGCTTTCCTGTGGCGCCGCCCGCAGGCCAAACGCCAGCATTACTGGACCCACAGTGAAGTCCAATATTCCCATCGGCTCGGAAGCTCAGGAAACGGCTTCTTAGAGTTATTTTTTTCCGTTTGTCGATCTGCTCCATACATCATCCATCTGTATGTATTTTGCAGGGTTTCCAGGGAATGCCCGGACACCCGGGGCCTTTAGGGGACAGAGGCTTCTCAGGACCGGCGGGACCTACGGTAAGACCAGAGGGATAAATCCTTCCCGTCTTCACAGTGGTTGTAGTTGGTAATCATCTTCATACGGGTGTATCTGTTGCTTCGCAGGGTTTGCCTGGAGCTAAAGGGGAGCGAGGAGAGAAGGTGGGTTATAGAAATAATTGTAAGATACTACAGGGGGTTACATTTTCTTTCACTGTTTCTGGTCTGTGTGGAATTACATTTCCCAATATAATGTGAGCCTTGTTTAAACCGGCTGGGTCTTAACAGGGGGAGCCTCAGTCCATGGCCATGATCTACCAACTGGTCACACAGGCCTGTGAGCAACTGGTGCATAGTAAGTTCTCCGCTCAGCCACGACTGACATCTGCATATTCGACCCGCTCATCATGGCATTCAAACAGGACGCAAACATTGTTTTAATCCAGAGTTGTGTGTGTTTTTCAGAGGAGGTGTTGAAACTTGACTTGTTCATTAACGAGATGAGTCGAAAGCCTGCTCCCATAGAGGAGCCTGTGGGGCCCCCCGGGGAACCTGGTATTCCAGGGCCGAGGGGCCCACCGGGCCCCAGAGGCACCCAGGGGCGTGTCGGCCTGAGGGGGACCACTGGCAGGGGTGGATATCCTGGAGAACAGGGTAAGACTCTATTTTGACGTTTAATGACTTGAAAAAAATCCAACCTGATTCTCCTTGTTTGTTCAGAAACTGTAAAAAGAAAGTCTGAATTCATCAGATTTTGAGGCTCCAGTGAAATATTACTGTAACCTTTCACAATGCCGATTCGTCTCTTCTCTCTCCATAGGAAGAAGAGGTTTGCCCGGGGGCAAAGGGGACGCAGGGCCCAATGTCCAGGGGCCCATAGGGGTCAAAGGATTTGCAGGTACTTCTCTCCGAGTCATTTGAATGTACCACTGCAATATAATCGCCAGCGCACAACCCTGTACTGATGTGTGCATTACGTGTGTCTGCAGGTCCTCCAGGGGAGTCCAAGCTGGGCAGCTTAGGTCCCAAAGGAGCAGATGGTAAAGCAGGCGCCCCAGGGACCGCCGGACCCCCTGGACAGCCGGGCGAGGGCGGACCACCGGGTGTGTGCGACAGCAGTGGAGGCTGCCAACGGGTTCCCCCGCAAACAGGTTAGCCACCAGCAAAGGTCTCGTTAAGATGTGATGGTCCAGCAGGAGATAAGAGCAGTGGAGGGGTTGAGAAGTTCTGAGAGGAAACTGAGAGGAAAGAGCTAACAAGTGAGGGTGAATAAAACGATAATTGTTTCAGATGAAAGTGAGATGAGACGAAGCTCTGCATTGCTGAGGGTCAACTCGGGGGATAAAACCGACCACTTCAAGCATTTGTTAAAGCAGCTTTTGGGTTATGGTCATTTGAGTGGTTAAAATGTGGCTTATTATCATAACCATGTGTTTGCTGAAAGCATGTGTCTGATGTGTCCTCGGTTTATTGTCACTACAGTATGAAAGTGGTCTTACACGTTCTCTCCTACTCTCTTTGGGTGTGCTTTCTTCACACAGAAGACCCGTATTATGGCTACCAGCCCTGAGCGACTAGCAACAAGCAGGCAGCGACGCTGAAGGGACTGACGTCGCTTTAAAATGACTATATTTCTTTCTTTGGAGCTGAATGGCCGCGCAGGAATGGAGCTGAAACTAAAGAGCAGATCTGAAGAGGTTTGCTGGGATGAACTTGCCACTGACTGACGCTGAAGCCTCACAAGCTTCCTGGTGAATAAAGGAAACAGTAGTGTTACTATTTTCTTTGACTGAGAAATGAACCAAGAATAAGTAGGAAGCTCTCTGATATAGAATAGTGTTTTGACAAACAGCATCATAAAGGGACTATTTTCTCAACGGCATCAGTCAAGTGCTGTCTTATACACTATAATCGCACTGAAACCTTTTTTCACTATTTTTATGTATTCATGCACTGTATCAATCCCATGTCGTTTAGCCATCCGGGTTTCATTTCTACATGTTTTATTTGCCATGCTAACCTTAACTGCCTCAATGAGAATGAAAAGGTATTATCCATGGTGTAAAGGCTTCATTTTTTTCCATGGTATAAAATACACTGTGAGAATGTTCCCTGTCTTGTGTCTAATAATGTTTTTAATTGTATTCACTGTGTACATTTATTCATTAATGATATTTTATACAATAACTTTTTTTTATTGAAAAATCATGTTTACATTTGGCTGTGTGTGTGTGTGTGTGTGTGTGTGTGTGTGTGTGTGTGTGTGTGTGCGCGCGCACGCGCGTGTGTGTGTGTGTGTGCTGTTAATAAAAATGCATTATTTGTCTAATGAAGTGTGTTTATTACTTTAAGTCGTTTAACCTGGATACTAGACACGACACTTTAGTGCAGGTTAATTTTTGCAGTTTATGTTGCTAAAGTGTCCCTAAGCAGGACTATGACCTGACTGACGTCCAACATCCCTCTGTAGGGCAACAGAAATTAATAGCAGAAAATAATAATAATGTCATAATTCTTTGTCGGAACGGCGGCGACAAGAGAATTGTTCCCCGTGGTCTCTATTTTGTAAGAGCACACTGGAAGTTCCGGGCCTCGTTAAGTTTCCCTCAACGGCACACTCTGTTTCCGGTTTTGTACTATTTTTGTTTATTTTTCAAAATAAAAACCATGTTAAGTCTGGAATCTGTGAAGACATGCTCAACATGCTAGTTTTAGTAGTTTTAAGTTTAGTTTCTTGGGCATCGGTGGGTAATGTTTTCTATCATCATGTTTAGAGATCAAATAATTTTAGTATCGGTGTGAAATTAATATTACGACTCACTGCAATTACTTGAGGTGACAAAAATAGCTAATTATGCACCGTAATTGTGTTTTGTTTATTTGATGTGTCACTATTGCTGTACATAAGCTTCATTATGAAAAATATTTATTTATTTTATTAAGTATGACATCCATCGTATTTGCCAAATGAGTTACGCCGATACCTTGATTTATTTTGAAAACCATAAACAGGATGTTGTAGGACCCTTACTTTACCATCGATCCACACAGATCCACGTCGCAATGTCGAGCCGAAAAACTTCGCTCCCAAACCGGGATAGTGAGGACAAATACTCAATACTATTACCTACCTACAACGAACGGGAAAACCTTCCCCTGATAGTGTGGCTTTTGGTGAAATATTTGGATGAAGGGTGAGTTCCGGGAGCCAGCAAAGCTGCTCGGCTACAGCTAGCTGACGTTACTGTGGAAATTTAACCAACGTTAATACGGTCAGTGATGAGCTGTCACTGATTTACTGTGTCACCGCAAACGTTACGAGTCAAGTGAAGTAACTCGCTCGAGCTCATTTCTGTCATTGTCTGTGTTAAAGGTTTAGATATTGACCGAACCAAATCAACGTCATAATAACTCATTGAATGTGTTGTTTTAACAGTGGCTTCAACTACGAGATCATTGTCATCGACGACGGAAGCCCAGATGGGACACTGCAGGTGGCAGAGCAGCTGCAGAAAATCTATGGAGAGGATAAGATAGTAAGTTCGGATGTGGCTGTTTACGTAGGGTTTTTGTGAGATTCAAACAATGCATTACTTACAATTGAGCAAAGTACTACAATTGATTAATCTTCATGTAATTGTTTCCTATATTCCTTTATGGTTGTCTCTGTAATACTTCTAGTTAATTAATCGTGCGTGGGATTTCTACGCAGACATTAATCTCTCTTTTCTGTGGTTCAGCTTCTACGACCAAGAGCGAAGAAGTTGGGCCTCGGTAAGTATAAGCCTGTTAAATAAATGGTGTATTTGTTCTAGTAACTTTTCCAACTACTGATGAGCTCTTCTGCTTCCTTCCAAAGGCACTGCGTACATACACGGCATGAGGCATGCCACTGGGAACTTCATCATTATCATGGACGCAGATCTTTCCCATCATGTGAGTGGAGCTCGCTCCATTGTGTTTGATCTCTTGATCCACATGATGCTGATTCCAGGGTCAACAAATATTTTCATAATTGATTCGTCTGCCAGGTTTTTTGAAACAAACAATTTATTGTTTGGTCTGTTAATTGTTAGAACGTATAAAAAATCTACAATTTCCCATAAACATAATTTCCTTAAGCCCAACATGGCGTCTCATTTGTCTGAACAACAATCCAAACGTAAATATCTTCACAAAGATGCAAATCCTCACTTCGAAGCAACTCGTGCCAGAGGTGGAATTTACTTCTTACGGGTAAATGTTTAATGGCTAATGCAAATCCATTAATCAGCTTGTCATCATAACCTCAGCCGTTCTATTTTCTTCATCAACACTCTACTGGGGCTTTTTAAAATGTAGCTAATTTAGTTTCAATGGTTCTCCTTCTTTTGTCTTTCAGCCCAAATTCATCCCAGAATTTATTCAGTAAGTGTTACTTGATTTTTATTCCATATAATGGGATTTCTTTATTTTTTCCACGTTATTTCACTCTGTGTATATATAAACTTCATTTCTGAATATATGAACAACAGCATTTAGCTGCAGTGCCACAAATGCAGGTTGAAGATGAAATTGTGTAGAAATCTTCTATTGAAAACCGCCGTGTCTTGTTTGTCAGAAAGCAGAAGGAAGGTGATTACGACCTGGTGTCTGGCACTCGTTACCACGGGAACGGGGGCGTTTACGGCTGGGACCTCCGCAGGAAACTCATCAGGTTGCTGCACGTCATCAATGGCGCTCTGGTCATGAATTTCCACTCGCACCTCTTACGAGAGACAGGAGGCTGATGTCTGATCTTCCCTTTGTTCTTCCGTCTCCTTCTCTCGTTCACAGTCGGGGGGCGAACTTTTTGTCTCAGGTGTTGTTGAGACCCGGCGCTTCAGACCTCACAGGCAGCTTCAGGTACCAGTGTCTCAAGAGTTGAGGGCCACCGACTTTTTTTTAACATGCACGGCCGTTTGTTCATCGTGTTTTGTTTCCTCAGGTTGTATAAGAAGGAAGTGTTGGTGTGTCTGGTTGAGCGCTGCGTGTCCAAAGGATACGTCTTTCAGATGGAGATGATCGTCCGCGCCAGACAGCTCAACTACTCAGTCGGAGAAGTGAGGCCCGAATTCAGTTACTTCATTTTTAAAAAAAGAATATTTACCTACTATACGTGAAGTTATGTTAGGATGATATTTCTCTCAATTCTCTGTTTTTACTACACTACAAATGTGGAAAAAAAAAAACGTTTTTGTGAAGTCATAAGGTTAGATTTGTGACACAAAGTATAATTTCCCTGCTGTTTATGCCAACATCGATCTTTGACCACCTTAAATACTTTAGACGTGGCTTAGAAATGTGAAATTGGGGTGAGAATCATGGATAGAGAGAGATCAAGAGACTGACCACCTCATAGAGTTTTGTTTTTCCTTATAGATTTTCTCTCTTCTTCCTCCAAACAGGTACCCATTTCCTTTGTGGATCGAGTTTATGGAGAGTCCAAACTCGGAGGGAATGAGATCGTGTCATTCGCGAAAGGACTGATCACACTCTTCGCCACGACATGATCCGCATTCAGTGTGAAAGTCCCACAACGGTGCAGTGCTCCTTTCAGTCTCAAAGTCTTAAGACAGGAGAATCAATCACCTCGGTCAGACCGGGACGAGGGAGACTTCCCCGGTTAGCGGCAGATATGAAGTCCTTTGCTGTCAGTAGTGGCTCCTGAATACTGAAGGAACATATTGCTTTACATTCCCATCAACCCCTGAACAAAGCGCAAAGTGTGGCATCATTCCCCGTCCAGACCGCTGACTGAACTCGACTTCAACACAGCCGTCAGATGGGCGTCAGAACAAGTCACACTGCTACACCTGGGATTGTGTGTATAAAATAAAACCGTTTTTAATATTGGCTCAATTATTATTTTGTTTTTCATCCTTTGCGGCCCAGAATATCCCACCAAGTAATTCCCTCGACTATCTACCGATATCAATGTTATATTATATCACATCTTAGTTTATTGTTTACTGCTTCCTTTGAACACAAAACACACATTTATAACAAAAACATAACGACCAGCCCACGTTACCGGAAGCCGCTGCGCTGTTAATGGCGGTTATAGATAGTTTATACATCATATTATGAACAGAAATGGATCAAAGTGAGTTCAAGTTTGGCTTTTATTGTCAAGTGCAGCAGGTTGCTTAGCAACGGGAGCAGTGGAGGTAAAGTTAATGAGCAAGCAGGAAGTCCCCCCCCCCATTTAAGAGGCCGCTCGGCTGTTGGAGGACCCAGACCAGGTGTACTGCGAAGGCTGTGTCCTACATGGATGCAGTCTGGGGAATTGAGACACAGCTACTGTACATCCGAGCCATCGCCGGGGAGGTGAGGAGAGGGGGGGGCGGCAGATGTAGCCGTGTCGCGCATGCGCACAGGGCAGAGAAACCCACTCCAGAAGGACGCCCGCTGTCGGCCAGTTCCCGCCACTACTGTGTTGGGTTGTTTACCCCACAGGCTCGAGCAGCTAAAGGCCTCCGCTGTTTTTGACGGACGAGGTAGTTTTTTTTTTCTTTCTTTCCTTCTTTTTAACAAGTGACGGTGGCTTAATTGGCCAAGTTGATTGATGGACCAATCAAGAGTTTTAATGAGCCAACCGAGTTCGCGAGGATCTCGCAATGTGATGCTGTATGCTAATCGAGCGTGATGTCATCTCCGCCCGTTTTATCTGCGCCATTTGGATAGGGCAGTTTCTCGGCTGCATGTGTATTGTCTGTCAGAGTGAAGAATGGGCATAACGCCGTCTGCTGCCAGGCTCTCGTAGGCAGACCCGAGGCTATCTACTGGAAAGAGCTGCTCCCAACAATAGGACATGTGTCCGCCATCACCACTCAGGGCAACGGAGCTTTTCATTTTCTAAGAGGCTCGTCGGCTTTCTGGTCCCGTTTCCCGACCGCAGGGAAGAGGATATCCGAGGGGGAGTCCGCTTCGGAGGCTCAACCGACGGCCGGGTGGATTCGTTCTCCCCCGCGAAGATAGTGGTCACCTGAAAGGAAACCTCACCCGAGCAGGGGGGGGGGGAGGAGACGGCGAAAGTGTCCACACGTCGCCGTTCCGAGGTGACACATTTCACTCAGACGGGAGCCCTGGATGTGAAAAGCAGGTAAACGTGTCTGTCACAACGGGGAGGGAGACCTTCCGTTAGCCGCGGTTACCTGCGGTGATGCGATGATAGGTGCCCGGGCACTGGCGTTCCGACCCGGGTAACTTGGCTGTCAGAGCGGCCGGCGTTTTAGTCCGGTCGGGGGGCTTCAGCGTCGCGCGTGCTCGTGACCAGCCGGGTTAAAAAAACCAATACGTTTGTTGGAAATTGAGGGGACAAATGGCAGCATTAGTGCCCGTGTTGTTGATGCGAGTTGAGCTAGCTTAGCATGCTAACTCAGCGCGTTGTGTCCCCATTCTTTGTCAGCGGGCAGCAGCAGCTCCCTGCCGGGACCCATCGATCTGGATACTACCAGATGTTGATCGGAGATCCGATCCACTGACCCCGGCGTCCCCTCACCGCACCATGTGGTCCGTGTCCACGGGATCCCACGCCAGATCTTTTAGAAGTTAACGGTTTTTTTTTCTTCCCATTGCTACGAATGTTTAAAGTGAGTCTCGGTTACTGTACAGCGGAGCGCTGCGCGACACGTGACGTGGATCCACAACCACGCGCACGTTTTGGCTTTTGATTCATACGATGTTTCTCCTCAAAGGACTTAAGTCTCCAACCGGGAAAACGCAAACCCTCAGAGGTCAGCCAGGTGACACCGGGGGGCTGTGATCCACTCTGTTCTATGGGGGGGGGGGCTGTCACTCGGGTCAGGGCAAGTGTCACATTCTGATTACTACCCCCCCCACCCCCACACACCCCCACACACACACTAATACACCCCGTCCTCTCTTATTGCCGAAGGCTGCAAGTCGGGTGTTGAACGTTCAGTTACAACTAACGCCGAAGGCCAGTTCAGCATCTAAACTTTGTTTGATGGACACACGCAGCGTCTTTCCTCCTGAACCAAACGTGAACGGTCCACCAGAACGTAGGTCATCGTGTCCCGGTGGAGGACTGAGTGAGGACGCTTGTGGTTGACGGTTTGTAGGCGTTCTTCCCTCATTTTTCTTTCACAGCGCGGGCGAAGGGGAGACCTACGCAGAGCAAAGCAGCCTCCTATCGCCTCTCCTCCCTCCCCTCCTAGTCAGCCTCTCCTTCTTTTTTCCATTTCTCTCCCTCGTCCTCCCACCGCCCTCCCCTCCCGTGCCTATCCATCTCCCCCTCTTCCTACCACCCTCTTCTATTCTCTCCCCCACCTCCTTCCCTTACCCTCCCTCCCCTCACACTACCCTCACCCTCCCTCCCTCACTCTCCTCCCTTCCCTCTCCTCTGAGCCTGTCTGCCCGACCTCCTTGCCTCCCCATCCTGCCCCCCCCCCCTCCCCTCCCACTTCCGTCGCTCACTCTGTCTCCTTTCCTCTCATCTCCCCCCTTGCTCGCTCCCACTCCCCCCCTCTCCCTCCCAGCTCCCTCACCCCACCTCATCCTCTCTCACACTCCCCTCCCCCATCACTGATCTCTCTCGCTCCTTCTGTCCCTCCCCTTCCTCCCTCCCTCCCGTACCCCCCACCCCACCCCCCCTCGCACTCCCCCCTCCTCTGCAGACATATTGTAGAGGCTGCTGCTGACTCAATAGGAGGCGCCATTCTGTGTTGGTATTGCGAGGCAGGGAGAGAAAAGGGGGCAGGCAGAGTGTTGGGAGACTTACATAATGGAGCTCCTCGCTAGCGCCATCTGCAAGTTCTAGGAGAAAGCAGGGAAGTGAGACAGGGAGGGGAAGTGGTCTTGGGTATGTGACTCTTTCACTCAGTCTGGCGCTTGCAGACTTCTGAATGACAGACCGACCGTTTTGTCTCCAGATCTCTGGACTCCTCACTGGGCCGACAGTTGGTGGAACCACACACCCTCGGTTCCATCTCTCCTTTTGGCTGTTTTCTGGAGGGGGAAATGAGCCTTAACAAGAGTAGTTTGGGACGGTTCTATTTCATGTCCATGAGCTAACTTTAATGCCATTGTGCATCAGTGACCTTTGACCCCCACAACATGAAGCTCTGATTCGACCAGAGACAGACACTTTGGACAGTAAGTAGAACAGCTTGTACAATGCGCCTTTTGTCAAGCTGAACTTACGGTAGTGAGCAACCTTTCCTTCTGCTCCACACAGCGGAGTAGCGTTTGGCCTGGTCAAACTAGGGATCGCCTGTCACAAAAAACGCATTAGCCCAAGTACGGACATTTAAACAACTAAACTGCGGTTCTGTCGTTTTTAGCTTCTGTCTTAGAATTGCATTCTGTCCAACGGCCAGCAGGGGACGACTCCTCTGGTTACAAAAAGTCTGAGTGAACTGCCCACCTTCTACTCTGATATTTATTCCCTCAGTAAACATCACTTCATGGTCTCAATCTCCAGTTGCAAGCCTTACCAACGGCATGTGACGAAGGCTGTGTCCGTTTCTTCATGATGCCTGAGCAGCATTGACTCACCACGTTTCAGCCGGCTTTGGTTGATTGCAGGTTAACTGTCTGTGTGGACAGCAGTGGGTTAACTGGTTCCTATGGTGATAACTTTAGAGTTGTGAAATCCTGTCTGAGTATTGCAGACCAACCTGGAGCTCCTGGAACGTTCTTCCTCGTCACATCGCTACCTTAAAGGAAACGCCCCCACCCAGGCGCTACGCCCTATTACCGAAACGGAAAGCATCATCGCTCAACGTGTCCGCCCTCATTACCGTTATATGCAATGAATCCCTCACAAGTGAAAGCAGCAGGTCATTGGTTGCTTTTTCATCTGCTGTCTTTCAAATTGAGGTTCTCTGGACGTTTTTGTGCTGATTCCCCAGCACTAATCCATCAGCATAGAAGTGGGATTCTGGGTCGTAACCGACAGCTGTGTCAGAAATTGATTGGTTTGACACACAGTTGGAGCCATCATTGTTGTGTATTTCATGTCTTATAAATGACCACGGCTTTCCTTCTAGGCGTTTCACCCGGCTAGTTAAAGGTCCTTTCCAGCCCAACTGTTGATTCCCTCACTAGAAGTTCAGCTGTTCCTATTGTTCCCTGCACCCGTTGATAACATGCCACTGTATGCGTCTTTCTCGCTTCAGGTGTGCAGAATGTTCCAGCTCCCCGTCAACAACCTGGGCAGTCTGCGGAAAGCAAGGAAAAATGTCAAGAGGGTCTTAGGAGACATCGGCTTGGAGTTCTGCAGGGACCACCTGGAGGTGAGCCGACGGTGTTCTTCTAGTGCCGATTGTACAGTTCCTTTGTGCTCATCAACAACCTGCTGTCCCCAGTTTCCTCAGAGTTTTATTTACTCTTCAGGCTTAAAAGCAGAACCCAAAGGCTGTGCGTAGTTCGCCATCCAGGCCAAGGCCCAGACGCAAAGTATTCTACAGATTAAATATGTTCTAACTAGGGCTGCAACAACGAATCGATCAAATCGATTATTAAAAGCGTTGGCAACAAATTTCATCATCGATTCGTTGTGTCGCGCGATTATTACGTCACTCAATGAGTTGCGGAGATGCGCGCGGAGCAAAGATAAAAATAAAGGCGCCGAGCCGACGTAGAGGAAAGAGCAGCCGGCAGTTGTTGTGAGTCACATCACGCAGGGAGAGATGTTTGTTCAACTAGTCGTCTAAGGTGTGCGAGCGTGGGGGGTCCCGGTCCACGTTGTCCCTCACGTCAAAACGGGACGTAATAAGCCTCCGGTTTACTCGTCATCCAGCTGATCAAGCTAGCGTTAGCTCGCTGATAACAGCAGTAAAGCAGTTAGCAAGACTAAGACACGTTTTTATTTACTCGCCTCTTTTGGACCATTCATTTTTCAATGTGTTGTCTGATATTTTGTGCTTTGTCCCATATCGGTTATTGTTGACAAATATATTTGTGTGTGTTGTACTTTTTAATGCTGTCATATACGGTAGTCCAGTGCGCTTGCGCATATACTGTGGGTTATACGGTAGTTGATGTTATGCCTGTAAAGGGAGACACATGGTGATCCATTAAATCAACTAAGCAGCCTCTAATGCATTTATTTACAAATGCCATTTTAAATTAATCTCATAGCACTTGGTTGTTTTTTAGCTGTATGCATTTACTTAACTTGCACTACAATGATGGTAATAATTTAATGAATATGCTTCAAGTGAACATGAGGGTGTGTTTGTGAGTGTAGTATAGAGAACTAGTTCTGACGAATTTGAGGTTATGTTTTAGAATAAAGGGTTGGAAATTAAAGCTTTTTAATGCCGTTTTTAAAGAAATCCGATTCATCGATTAATCGAAGAAATAATCGACCGATTAATCGATTATCAAAATAATCGTTAGTTGCAGCCCTAGTTTGGATATAAATGTCATCGTCCTTTATTTACACATTAGATCCACGAGACAGAATCTCGCGCAGTGAGATTATAGAAACCGTAAGAGAAAATATTGACTTACCAGCCCTCCCACAAAGTAAACCCGTGTCCCGGAGGACAAAAGAAAGCTGGTAACTAACCGTAAATATATTTTATGTACAGTACCAGTCAAACGTTTGGACGCATTTTCTTATTCAATGAGAAAGTGTGTCCAAACCTTGGGCGGGTACTGTACATGCGTTCTCCTTTTGGATCACCCCTTTCATTAAATAAGTAATTAAAGCCAATATTTCGGAAAATAATGTTTAATGCTGAAAAAACTTTTCACAACCCTATTCACAAACTGTCTGCATTCTGTACATACATACATCTGTACATAAATGTCTGCTCCCTGCCACATATTTTATTTTTATTTTGAAATCGTGTAAGTCCTGGATCCTTTTCCCCCAGTATAAAACCATCTTAAGGAAGAATATTGTCTTTCATCAATGACAAGAAGCTGGTTGCGATTGTGTCTCCCTTTGATCATTCTTTGATCAAGTACTAATCTTCTTTCTTTTTTTTGTTTAGGACTATAAAGACTTTATTCCTCCAGAGGTGTACATAAAGCACACTAACTGGGAGGATGTGTGCATGTGGGAACCGTCGCATACCAAAGTCCAGGTGTGTGACGCACTCACACTGCTGCAAGCATTCTCACAATACGTTGACATCTGAATCGACTGCGTTTTAAAACCCCAAATCTATAAAAGTATTCTTTTCTCTCAGACAAAAAACTTGTAAAGTCTTAAGCATTTTATTTTTCTGTGTTTTTAGGACTACAGATCGAAGCCCTTCTGTTGCACTGGCTGCCTCTTTTCCTCCAAGTACTTCTCCGCGTACAAGAGCCATTTCCGCAACGTCCACAGCGAGGACTTCGAGAACAACATTCTTCTCAACTGCCCCTACTGCACTTACAATGGCAACAAAAAGACTCTGGAAACGCACATCAAACTGTTCCACATGCCCAACAGCACCATGCGGCAGGGCCCCGGCGGGATGGTGGCGGGAGCCGGCGGGCTCCTGATGAAGGACGGGGTGCTGAAAAGGGCCGGGGACAGCGTGGAACAGGCGGTGTACTACTGCAAGAAGTGCACCTACAGGGACCCTTTGTACAACGTGGTGCGAAAGCACATCTACCGGGAACACTTCCAGCAAGTAGCCCAGCCCTATATTGTGAAGCCGGGGGAGAAGACTCAGAACGGGGGATCGGCGGGAGCCACAGACGGCAATAACACAAACAATGTCAACAGCAACCAGATCCACTGCAAGAAGTGTCTGTTTGTCCCGAGGACCTACGAGGCGCTGGTCCAACATGTCATCGAGGACCACGAGAGGATCGGCTACCAGGTGACCGCCATGATTGGGCACACGAGCGTGATTGTCCCCCGTCCCAAACCCGTGATCATGATCCCCCCCAAAACCCAGGGGGACAAGACCATCATCGGCATGGGCCCGAAAGGCGCGGTGATGGCCACCACCAGGTCCCCCGGCTCGCAGCAGCTGGGCCGGGTCATCGTCTCCTCAAAGACGGGCTTCAGCGCGCAAAGTTTTCTGTCCGGGATGAAACACGACGGGATCCGGTTAAAGGCCGGCACCACCCAGTCGTTCTCCATCGGCGGGCAGCAGGTGAGGGTGACCTTACCCGGGAACGCCCAGGTTTCGGTGCCCCAGCAGTCGCACGCGGCCAAGCAGCTGGTCTCGGCCGGCGGCCTGCGGAGCGCGGTCTCGGTCAGCGCCTCCTCTTCGCTCAAGTCCAACACGCTGGGCTCCCGCGTCCAGGCGGCCGCGACCACGGTGGCCTCCGTCACGGCCAAGAAAGGGGGGTCCTCGATCCTCGGCACGTCCTACACCCAGAAGTGGAAGATCTGCACCATCTGCAACGAGCTCTTCCCAGAGAACGTCTACAGCGCCCACTTTGAGAAGGAGCACAAAGCGGAGAAGGTGCCCGCGGTCGCCAACTACATCATGAAGATCCACAACTTCACCAGCAAGTGTCTGTACTGCAACCGCTATCTGCCCAGCGACACGCTGCTCAACCACATGCTGATCCACGGCCTGTCCTGCCCCCACTGCCGCGCCACCTTCAACGACGTCGAGAAGATGGTGGCCCACATGCGGCTGTCGCACCCGGACGAGAGCGTGGGCCCGCGCACGGATTCCCCCCTGACCTTCGACCTCACCCTGCAGCAGGGCAATCCCAAGAACGTTCAGCTGATCGTCACGACGTACAACATGAGGGACGCGCCGGAGGAGTCGGTGGCGTTTCACGCTCAGAACAACACCTCGCCGTCGGCGGCGTTGGCTGCCTCCCTAATATCCGGCAAGAGGCTGGTGCCGCCGCATCTGGCCAAAGCGCCGTCGGGGGCTGCCGACTGTGCGCCGGCTAAGAGTGCCCCGCAGGCGTCGCTGCCCTACAAGAAGGACGTGGGCAAGACGCTGTGTCCTCTTTGCTTCTCCATCCTCAAGGGCCCGATCTCGGACTCACTGGCCCACCACCTGAGAGAGCGGCACCAGGTGATCCAGACCGTCCACCCCGTGGAAAAGAAACTGACCTACAAGTGCATTCACTGCTTGGGGGTTTACACGAGCAACATGACGGCCTCCACCATAACGTTGCACCTGGTGCACTGTCGCGGTGTGGGGAAGTCCCAGAACGGCCAGGAGAGTCGGGCCGCTCATTCTTCTCGGATCATCCCGGCCCAGAGCAGCGCTCTCAAGCGCGCCGGCTTTGACAGCTCGGACACTAGCGCGCCGAAACGCAGGAGGCCGCCCGGAGAACGGGCCTACCCGCGCGACAGCAACGGTCCGTCCGCGTTTGTAGAAAATCCCGACGAGGCGGTCGTTCTGGCTCTTGACCCCAAAGGACAAGAGAATGAGTCGTACGAGTCCAGGAAGGCTTTTCTAACGCAGTATTTCAATCAGGCGCCGTATCCCAGTCGGCGGGAGGTGGAGAAGCTGGCCGCCAGTCTGTGGCTGTGGAAGTCGGACATCTCCAGCCACTTTGGCAACAAAAGGAGGAAATGCATGCAGGAGTGCGAGACGCAGAGCGCCAGCGTGCTGCTGGGCTTCAGCATGCACGAGCTGAGCAAAGTCAGTCACGAGCTGGCATTCGTCCAGGACGGCGCATACCAGGGCGGGCAGAACAAGAGGCGGACGTCCAGGACGCGCCTCGGGCTGTCGGAGCGGGCGCTCCGAAAACACAGGGAGCTCGTGGCGGCCAACGGCGGCGTGGCGCCGCCACAGAGGGGAAAGCCGCCGGGGACGTTGGTCAGTTGTAAAGCGCCGCCATCAGTCCCCAAACCCAACAGTGCCAGCGGAGAGCCAACCAAGACAATCAACAGCACCTTACCACAGAAAATACCTCTAGATCTTTCAGAGCCCATCGCCATTGACTCTGACAGTGACGAGAATGAGAAGGATAACGAGGAGCTAGAGGGGGAGTTGCATCTCCATGGCAACCAACTGCTTGCTGGAGCCGAGGACGGAACGGAGCCGGGGACAGAGGGTAAGAGCGTCTCAAATCTAGACGATACGTCGGAGGACGATGATGACGACGACGACGACGACGACGATGATGAAGATGACGAGGATGACGAGGAAGAGGCACATGTGGAGAATGGCTTTGGGCCCTCAGGGGACGCAGAAAGGCCGGCTGCTAAAGAAAGAGACCCTCATCCCATCATTATTCCCAAATTTGTACCATCATCTGCAAGAAGCAGAAGAGAAGTGGCCCAGCTGGGCAAGCAGCAGGTGTGACTGACACCCCCCTCCCTTCCCGCCAAAAGACAGTCAGACACTTGAGACATCTGAACAGAGACAAGGAGAGAACTCCAAACAAGCCATCCAGTGACTTTTAAAGGCGGGACTCAACGAGCAGCTACGGTCGATGTAAAGTTTTAACGTGTCCCGGGTGGGAAGGGGAGGTGCGAAGGCAACTGAACAAATAGACTTTCTCTTCTTTCTTTGCCTCCTGTATTCTTTATTACATTGAGATAACGACTTATTGATGTTGATTTTGCCACTGAACTAAATGTGGCTCAAAATATTGCGTTGTCGTGTGGTAAAGCTTTTTAAGCTGACCAGAGAATCCACCTTTTTTTTCCATGTAGTTCTATCCGAGACGGGTAGTGTAAATTTGTACAGTCTTTTAGACTTGTTTGGACAGACGTTGAAGTTCACGTACGCTTAAATATTTGCTATTACCTGTATGTAAGGTAGCCTCATATGTTCTACATCGGTATGCTTAACAATAGTTGTCGCTTTGGTGGCTGGTATTTTCCTGTACGTTTAAGTTTATTTTTTAACGAATACCTAGTTTTTTTGCAAAATAATATATCTATATATAAATAACAGAATTGATTTGTTTTTGCTTTAAACCGGATTAGATTTTATTTTTGTAATTTCATTTTTTCTTAAACGGATTTGTGTTGGAGAAGAATGGCGGTGCTGTTCTTCTTCTCTTCTCGTTTGCAGCCTCGTGCTCTACTCTTCTCGCTTTCTGTTGTCACAGTTTTAACTCTTTGACGTTTCTTTGTCCTCACAAGACTGGACAGGATACAAAGCATACAGACAAGTTGTTTTTTTTCCTTTTCTTTTTTCCAAAAAAAAGAGTTCAATTTGAATTGTGTGTATTTGTTTTATGTTTTCATTTTCCACCTAAGCATTTAATGAACAATAAAGTGCTGTAATTGTGCTTCTCACGGAACTAATGGCCACGCCGGCATCTTCGTTCAAACTAAGGAACCACCGGGAAAACGTGTCCTGATTATTATCATTTAGTTTTATTTTATTAATATGAAATTTTGTAAATGCGCTTTTGTCTGCTGTCGTTAGTACGTCGGTAAATGAAGTGCTTTCTCTCTGGTAGAAAGGGGCCTGTGGCAGAGGCCGGAGGTTGAATGACTGATGGTACGCTCTGTGCTGATGGCGGTTTCTCCAGCACGTCCACGCGGGGGCCATAACCCGTGTGCGGGGGTCACAAGGAGATATTGCTTCAAGCAAAGACATAGTTAGAGGTTTTCATATCATGTTGCTTAATGTCTAAACATTTTGCTCAACCGGCTCTTTATTAGAGATGATTTTTTTTTTTTTTAGCATTGACTGGGTATGATGAGTGGAGGGAGTGATCAGTAAAAGGTGTCCCCCAAAGGGACATCAGAGATATATGGACAGTTTTGGGCAGCAGGTCAGGACAGGCAACAATGACGATGAACTCAAGGATTTCGCACAAACATTATTTTTTTCAGTATGATTTTAAAAGAGCAATTTTATTGTCGTTTTCAACAACAAAAAAGGTCTTCAAGCTTGACACTGACTATATATCCTAAATGTGTGAGTTGCCACAAGACATACTTGTATGTTACGACCCTTTGACTGTCTGTAAAGGAGATAATGGGACAATATCCTCGTTTGTTTGTTGAAAATAAGCCAAATTAGATAATGCCCGTGTCTTTGGCAGTCATGTCTCGGCACACCTATGTGACACTTTGCATTGCAGTGATTACATTTTTTGAATATATCTCCAGTCCTTATTATTCATAAAACAAAGGATCCTTCCATTGCAACAGAAAAGATGCTGATGTTGATGCATTGCAGCGAAGGTATAAAGACTATAAAGTCTCTGGTTAGCCAACGATAGTCACCGTTAAATCCAGCATTGCTTGGTAATCAGGATCAACTGTGCACGAGGACGGTTTCACAAATTTTTCCCTTTTCACTGTAGAAATTCCAGGTGAAGTAGAGGGTAATTGAAAAAGGTTGTGCAACAAGGTGTTGCACGTAAATGCGATAGAATGGATGATGTGTCGGTCAGAGGGCTACACTGTGTGAGCAAAATGGAGCCTCTGTGCGTTACCAAAGAGACGGTGTTGGAGGCCCGGTCGGAGATGGAGCGCTACATTATTAACCCTCTGCCGAGGTGCACCGCTGGATGAACGGCCCTTTCCCAGAGTGGGGATCAGTCGGTCCGGACAGAGTTACATTATAGGAGTCACATGGTCTCCCTCCCAACCCAGGTGAGTTACGCATACTTTCCCTTCGTATGTTTTAACCCCCCAGCGTTTGATTAAACTGCCGCCCTGGGATGAGGAATCTAAAATGGATGGAAATGACCCCAGTGCAAGAGGGAGAGAGGCAAGGCTGGCTAGTCTGTGTTGCTATGCTGTTGTAAGGAGCGAGAGAGAGGGAGAGAGGGAGAGAGGGGGGGGGGGGGCGAGAGAGGCCTGGCAGACTGTGGGGGAGGCGTAGGCCTCATCTGCAGTGCTGTGTGCAGAAGGAGTGCTTAACAGCCTTTCAAAGGGGGCAGGGGAGACCAGATGGAGGGAGGGAGGGAGGCAAAGGAAGGGGTAGGGAAAGGAGCTCTGGGGAGGGAAGGCGAGGAGAAGGGGAGTTGGGGAGGGTTGGGAGAGCAGGGAGAGGGGGGTTAGCTAAGAAGATGGAAAGACGAAAGGGGGAGGAGGTGGCAGGGGCAGATGGAGCGGAGTGTGGGGGGAGGGAGAAGGAGAGATCTAAGATATGAGAGGGGGGAGAAAAGACAGGAGGAGGAGAAGTGGGGGGAAGGGAAGTGGATGGTGGTGGAGACCCCTGGCGGCTCCCTGTAGCTGGAGGAAAGACCGAGAAGGCCTGGGGGGGGTGTGGGGGGGTGTGTGTTGTCAGACACAAAGGCTGCTGAGACGGAGCGGCCTGCTTCACAGTGGGGAGGCTGATTGGTTGAACTGGTCACAGGTCAGTTGAACAGCCCCCACCCCCCCCCTTCCCCACTCCCCCACCTGACCTGCTGCCCGTCCACCTGAGCTGGGATCAAATTACGGTCAGAGAGAAGGGGAGAGCAGGGGAGAGGGTTGGGGGGGGGCAGTTTGCAATGGAACCCTGGTGGCGCCCCCCCGTGGACACCGGGGGGGCAACCACCACGCGTTTCCGTTAAGCTAAAAGGGGGGGGGGGGGAGGGGGGATTAAGTAAAAATTATGAAAACATTTGTGCAGTGTCCGCAATGCATCAGATCCTTCTTCCCCCTCTAAATCGCGCAGGGAGATCTGTTGCCCAGGGCGCCACTCTTCTCTGGGACAATGAGACCAGCCCCCAGGAGAGTGGGGGGGGCGCGCAGGAGGTGGGGGCTGAAGAGAGGCCTTGCAGACTGCGGGGGAGACAAGAGGCCTCTCCTGCAGTAATGGGGGGGCTGTGGAAAAGGGTGGAGTGGAGGGAGAGAGACAGAGTAGGGGGGGGGCACCTATCCAACAGCAAGCGCCTCCTGCAGCTCAAACTGCCTCGCTACACACACACGATTTGCACAGTACAAAAAATGATTCATGGAAGAAGAAAAAAAGGAGATGATGAGAGGGGGGCAAAGAGAAAAGGGGAGGGGACGAGACCCGTGGCCTATTGTTAAAACAGGGAGGTCATTCGTCACGGCGGCGATGCCAAAAAGACGAGGACACGTGAGACGGGAGGCGGCACCGGGATAAAGACGAGACATCGAGGAGGAGTTTCCACCAATACGAGCGGCGTCTTGAGCTGCACTCTGGGCTCTTATCCTGTTTAAGATGTGAATCAAACTTTCTAGGATGTTCCATGAGTAGAGCTGGTGACATCACCACCTTCACCATCATCATCATCATCTCACTGGAGAGAGATAGCGTACTGAGGGCCTCCTTGGATATAGTGTGGGAGGGAAGGAGGGAAGTGACAGAATGAGAGAGAGTGTGTGTGTGTGTGTGTGTGTTTCATCAGGAGTCTGCTGCGTCGGGGGGAGATATCGGTTATCTATAAACAGCTGTACATGCCGCAGGTGGGGGAGAGGAAGCGCGTGGTAAAGGTGTGAGGATAGAAATGTTTTAACACCATTAGATAATTTCATTTGTTTTCAGAAACAATCAGGTCTTTAAAATAAGCTGAAAAGGGTCATTTTTAATAAAGAAAGTACAATAGGTCATGATTCAAGTGTTAAGACAGCGGCTCTTGCTTTCCAACCCGTTTCAGTGTTCCTGAACCCGTTCGGTTTGGTGCGGTTTCTCTGCCCTTGCCGATGTTTCTCCTCTTTCAGCTGGGTCCATCGGAGTTCTGCACCCCCCCGTCAGAATCATAAAGAGCCTCCACTTTGTGATTTTTTTTACACTCACTCACTATTCAGAATTAGAACTACATAATGAAAATGGGATTTATTTTGTAAATAAGAACAATGTCTTTTATGTTGGATGTCAGGCTGGATTAGAATTCTATTCCCATATATTAATGGAAACTAGTAGCTGTCTGGTTTGGATGAATGGTTCTTCTTTCGAAGAGGTTGGTGGTGATGTGCTGGATGGAGTACAAGAACCACCAATCAAACTAAGAGTCCCCGAGCAACACGTGGAAGGTTCTTCATATACAGCCTACACAGGAACAATAAATAAACAAAGGTGAATTATCCAATCCTTTTGTAAGGACTTAAGTGATCCGTGTCAAGTCCCACCTTTTTAGCCCATATTGCAATATATTTTTTGCAATATCAAACCAAAGTTGTTCCAAACCCACAATCCATTTCCTAATGAAACAAGAATGCCACATGTTTCTACCACACAGCAGTATAAAACGAGGTGAAATGTTTTAAATGGTACTTTGTTGAGAGAAAGCCGAACAGATTTTTATGGACACGAGTGCTTTGCAATGACCACTGACGGCAGGGCATCGGTCAAACATATTTTGGTGCTTCCCTGTACTGACAGCACACACACAAGTGTGTGTATATACATAACCAGCAGCAGGCCCATATGGCTTTTGGCCAGAAGGTGTCACTATGCAACAAGAAACAAGTTGCACTTAGAACATTTACTACCACATAAATGTGTATTTAACATAATAACGTACTTTACAACATGTGTCCCATACATCATGTGTTGACAGTATGCAAACAATACCACACACGCTGCAAAGGGATCAAATGCCAAATCGTTTTCGTTTTTTGTGCTCTCAACAATTATATGTTGAGATCAAACTACTTTCTGGATGGGATCATATAAAATGGCTTTAATTTTTTTTTTTTTTAAGTTCCTTGGCAGCAAGGTTGGGGGTCTCCGCCCCAGGGATAATACATGACTTGTATTGGGAAGTCAAGTAGAGTCTTTTATTTTGAAATCTCTTAGTGTCGTCAGGCACATGCACACACGAGAGAGAGAGAGAGAGAGAGAGACCCACACAAGAGAGAGAGCGAGAGCGACAGAGCGCGAGCGTAGTAGTGGTGTAGCTGCGTTGGCACGGCGAGTATGAGATAAGTTTCCTGGGTGAACTACGCTGGTCGGCGGCCGTTGTCGCATTCTTGGAGAAACAATATCGCCGGTGGGCGTCGAGAAGTCGCGGAGACAGTCAGCGTCGCTGGAAGAACCGGCGGATACGCACGTACTTTTGTTTTTGGGATACAGAGCAGCAGCAGCAGCAGCAGCAGCCGCGCGAGGAGGAGCAGCAGCAGGCGCGCGGCGCTGCTAGCGAAACATGAACAAGACCCACCGAGTGCCGAGCAACCGGTCACTCAGCACCGTGGAGGTGAAGAGCAAGGTAACGCTGACGTCACACGCCCAGAGTTCGTTGTCAGTTTACTTGTTATATGTGTGACCCCCCCCCTCCCTCCCTCCACCACCTCGCACGCCCTCCCGTGACGATAACTCGGCTAATTTAGCATGCTAAGTGGCTTAATGATGTGGTCGCGCGTTCCGCATCGATACGAGCTAAAGCTTGACCGGCCGGAGCGGGGCTTCCGTACGGTGACTGTCCCGCCGCCATACTTTAAACTTCCACGTTGACGTGATGCTAAGTTGTTCTGAGGAAATAGAAGTTTGAAGCGGGCGTGAAGACGGAGGTCAGCTGACGCCGTGTCGCGTGTCATCTGCCACAGACTCCCTCGCCGCTCCTTCCGGTTCCCCCTACCTGCGTGGACCCAACTCAAGTCCGGCTTCGGGCCACAACAACCGGTTTATAAGAAACGACCCCGGCGCGCCACGTTACGTCACTTCACTTTGTACAGCCTCTTCCCAAACCAAACCGGCGCAGTCCAGGGTCATTTGAGATGTTTGGTCTAACCACTACTCGTGTCCAAATGCGGGCACTTACCAGAAACGGGCCCGGGGCCTGATTCGCTCCCCCCACTCATAGTTCATGTAACCTAATTCGCCTTCGTGCTCAGATTGACTGTATTGTCCAGGTTGGCAGTGGATCATAGATCTTTTGTCAGCGCCGGGCAACAGTAACCACAACACTTGGTCCTTCTCGTCAACGCGCCTGCCCTAAGAGTTTCCTCTCACATTGATCCGGCCGGACCACGGCGATCACCATCTCTCTGGTCAGCGTTGTGGGAACGTGTGGTTGATCAGACATAGAGCTACACTCACATCACAGAGTCACCCGTGGTAGCTCGTCCACGTGGAATGACAGACTCTCGTATGTGGTTTTAAGAACGAGCTGGCTACCAGAACAGTGTGCACTTATCAAACACTGCCTCAAATCTCAGGTGGCCTTCAGTGATTCCAAATTATGGCTGCATTGGCTTATCACCACGTCTCCGCCAGTGTGCAGTTCCGCGCCTGCCGTGTCCACGTCTCTCACATGTGTGCATTCCTTGTGTGCTCCGTCCCAGTTTGGTGCAGAGTTTCGTCGGTTCTCGCTGGAGCGCTCGAAACCGGGCCGCTTCGATGAGTTCTACGGCCTCCTGCAGCACGTGCATCACATCCCCAACGTGGAGCTGCTGGTGGGCTACGCCGACGTCCACGGCGACCTGCTGCCCATCAACAATGATGATAACTACCACAAAGCCATCTCCACCGCCAGCCCCCTGCTCAGACTGTTCCTGCAGAGGAAAGGTAAGCATGGAGGAAGTTATGGAACAAAGAGTGATCGTTTACTGATCTGATGGATACACAAACAAGTGTTCCGCTATCCTTGAGGGGTGCAGCTCAGTTATGCATGACGAGCTTTTGAGCAGTGAAATTAGCTTTGTTTATTCTATCTAGATAAGCGCAAAGTGAAAAGGTGAGAATGACCACGGTATCAGATTACCTTTTCAGTTCTTCAGGCGGATTGCTGCTTGTGTGTTTTGTCCTCGTGGAGCTGTTATCACCCCCGTGCTCTGGCTGTGTTGTCTGGTGTCCCATTCTGACCCAAATAGCTAACGCCAGAAACCTTGCTGGGAAGCAGTATTTGTTTCCAAAGGCAATCTCTCTGCCCCGTCTCCCCGAACACCACCAGTCAAGCCGCCCAGGGGGTTCTTCTCCGATTAGGATATCCTGTTTCTTTTGTGTGCCTGGAATTTGCGGTTGTCGTAATATTTGCTCATGACTTGCTATTTATTCTTTGCACGTGTTGAAGTATTAATGCAAACTTGTTTCTGTCGGACGACATGTGTAAAAGAACTACTGAACTACTTGAATTCATTTTTGAAGTGCACCTAATGAGTTGCGGAGGGTGACCTGCTGAATGCTGGGAGGGGTGCGGGCCGGCGCATGTTGGGCGGCGCGCTCTGTTGTGTTTAAGCTGTCTCGCTGTGCCATACGACCCTATAGAATCTAAGCCACTTTGTCAGGGGGGAGATTAGTGGGGTCACTCTGCAGCGCTGCATGGGACCGTGTTTCAATTACACGCCACAGACGCTACCCCCACGCTGGGCTCGCTGCTGCACACACACAAAACCCATGGGAGCATGCACTCATGCAAGCAGGCAGGCTTCACAGATCAGTCAGCCACTCGCACACAGCTATATTAAACAAAGACAGAATATAAACACACAGACATAATAATGCAGCCACAGTTGCCTGTAGACCTCTCTGCCCTCTAACCCTGGATTTTCCTCCTGATTTGTCTCCGTGTGTCGATGCAGCTAATATTCCGCTTATAGATGAGTGGTTATATTTCTGCAGCTGTTATTTCCAGCCATGGCTCTGTTGGTGCACGTGGAAAGGGTCTCACAGCCGGGCAGTCTGCTCTCTTGGTTACATGAGGTCAAATTCACTGCGGACTGTTATATTGTTTTGGAGAAATGCTTTTAATGTTACTGTCCTCCCCAATCTTCGTTTGCTGTCATCAGCACAAATTACTCTGCATCTAAAGCGGCCCTTTATTCTCTTTAAGGCCTCATTTACGCAGGCAGGCGAACTCTAAACTCTCTTGTGTTGTCAGCAGCTCTGAGGTCAGGAAGTGGAGGGGTCAGACTGTCACTTATGTGCAATCCTCCCACAGTTTTCTGCTCTGCACCGCTTGGTGGTGTTTAGTGCACCACCGCGCTTCAGTCTTACGCTCACTAAGTGGCTTATAATGCCGTCACACTATGACCATGTCCCTTTTGAGAACTGAGCGATTATGTAAATGTCTTCGATGCTCCGATGTAACGTGATCGGGCATTGCGTCAGAGCAAGCGCTTCAGACGAGGCAGCGCGTGTGCGCTGAGTTTGGCGCACGTTTGCCTTCATGGAATAGTACCACAGATATCTGTGTGACATGTTTGGAGCTAATGCAAACATGTTGGGTGTCATTATTTTGGGCAGCGTGTTTTTTAGTTCACTTGAGTTCTGTTAATTCATTGATGTGCAGATGGAAGCGTTTGTGAGCGTCTGTTTACGTATTGTTTCGTTGCGGTTCTTGAATAAAGCCCACATAGTTGTTGTTGTTGTTTATGCACCAACGCTACATCACTGACCAGCCATTAACGCCGCACTGTTCCCTGCTGACCAAACGGAGTGCGTGTTGCTGTCTGCGTGTGGACCACCAGACTCTGTCTCTGCTGCTCATGTCGAACTTCAGCACTCGGCGATATAACTCGACAGCACCGGGGACCCTCACTCCCCGCCGCCCCGTTTGCCAGCGACCTGCTGATGATCATCGAGCCGGCGGTGAGGAGTCCACTGTTTACTGGTTGTCATGGCAGCCGTGAAGAGGCCTGTTCATTGTCGGATTAACATTGCATGGGGCTGATGGGAGCCGCAAAGCATGCTAGGAGCAGTATTGCTTGCATTTGAAAACAGACTGTCTTAAAGGGACAGTCCACCCTAAAATAAGAAGTACACGTTATTCGCCATTACTTGTAGTGCTAGTGCTGGATTGTGTTGGTGTCAGCTGGGAGATACCGGCCTTCTTGTCAAAATTGATTTCAAATCTCCCAAAGCTGCACGGTATAAACTAAACCGTTGTCTTTTTCCATAAATCATGCCCGGGTTACTAAAGATAACCCACAGGCAATGTTGTGAGTGGTTTCGGGTTGAAACTACATCTGCCAGCTATATCCCGGCGCCCAAGGAAGCGTGCGTTGACTCACGGACTCGCTGACGTACCACTGAGCTACCTAACATTAGAGCTCAAGCGAGAAGGGCACTGGTAATGTTTACGTCTCTGTCGCGGGTCCATGAGGAGAGGCACGCTTCCTCCTGCGCGGCCGTCTGGTTGGCAGGACACGGTACGAGCGTCTTTCGTGTGTGGGGTTTGGAAGGAAATAGTTCCTTCATTAGAAAAGTTTATTAAGTCTTAAGATTATCTTGTGTTACTGGGCTAGGATTCTCTTGAAGGTGGAGTAATTAAGAAGCCAGACATCGGCATCTCCCACAACAAAAATTAAGATTTATTAGCATTATAAGTAACCGGGTCAAAAAGTGTTTTGGATGTGAACTGCTTATTTTTAAAAGGTTTTTTTCTTGTCACCTAATCTGTCATTTGGATGTGTCTGGTGTCCTCATGTAATTGTAGCTTCTTTCAGTAGAGACGCACAAACCCACTGGATCAGAATCAGTAGAATGGGAACGACTCACCGTGCAAGCAGAACATTAGATGAGTCTGTTGTGGTCATTAGTCAGCTGGTGATGAAAAAGTGGCCAACTGATTATTATCGATGTTTCTTTTTAAAGCTGCTACGAGGAATTCAATCATTTTGCTGCTGGAGTTTTAGGCCGACAGTTTCCAGTGAACCTGCTAGATTCACGTCCGACCCGGTGACTCGCATTAAAAAAGCTTTAGAGGAAATCTGCATCTTTGATGGTCTTGTTTACTTTAGTTTGTGTAGTTTTCATAGAATGATCAATAGTAAACTGAGACTGTTCCCCAACCATTCAACGGTTCCTCATCATTTAAATGTAATACTTTTGCCGTCACATCAGCGATGTGGACGCTGAGCGACTCGCCGGGTTTGTGTTCGTTTTGCTCGTCGGAAGTGATGTCGTATTTGCCTGCATCGTTCGTTCATCCAGAACGTTCTCACCCACACGCAGTTTCTGGGTTTGTAAGCAGCCTCTCTCAGGGCGTGGGTTTGTTTTGTGACGTCACTCACAGCTCTCACAGTTTCTGTCCTGGGTGGACCGTACCTCCTTCCCAGTATGCAGAGGGACAGGAATGCTTTTATTTGCGTGTCCCAGTAGGGACTGCCTTCGTAATAAGTAACCAGCCCATGACTCATTCAGCCAGAGTAAAGGAAATGTACAACAAGGACAAAGTCTACCACCCTGCAAAACAAGCACTAGAGCAGGATAAACGCAATAAGCAATGTACAGAGTCTGCTGAGTAATGAAAGAAAGGTATGTGCACAGTAGAAAGGACGGGGTGAGAATGTGACGGCGTAAGGAAACCGACCCGGCATCTAGCAGTCAGAATAAGTGAAGAGACTCACTCCTGCGAGCTCGAGACGAGAGGATTCAAGCGCGAGAGATGGAGTGCTGCTGAGGGAACTTTAGGAGCGTGGAGGGTGAAAATAATAGAACTCAACCACCACCGCGGCTTTGGATGTCAGGTTCTCTGCAGATAATCATTCCCCAGGATGCTGCGAGGGAACAACGGATTGATAGCAATGTGTGGAGGAGGAACATGTCTTAGGCCTAATGAGGGAGGTGCAAGGACGAAAGGGAGACCGAGTAAACGGTGCTACAGAGGGAGTAATGTATAAGGCATTGTTTAGGCAAGGCGTGTAATTAGAGCTTTGGGGAAAGCAGAGGGAGTAGTGTAAGGGTGATAGGAATGCAGCAAGAGGCTGGGAGGGAGGGGGGGGATAGTATTAGTGAGGGAGGAATGCATAGTGAGGCCCAAGTTGGGTGGAGGGAGGGAGAGGGAGGGAGAAAGAGAATGTGGCCAGCCCTCTGATCACGTTCGCCGGCCAGATTAGACAGGACAGGAGGCTGGACTGGAGCCTCCGCAGAGCCTTGCGCCATCAGGTGGGGGGCAGGGAGGGGGCGATGGAGAGAGACGGGAAATGGTGAAAAGGAGAATGAGTGGAAGAAAGAAAGCAGAGAGCCGAAGCAGGGCCTGGGAAGCTAGAAAGCCTTTGGAACCTGGCTAGATGGGACAGTATGCAGCCCGCCAGGAGATGGAGGGAGGGTGGCTTAGATGGAAGAAGAAGAAGAGGGGGGGGTGGGGGGGTTCTGACAACTGTCATGACCGTCCATAATAAACATGAACCGGTGTGTATGTAAGATTGATCCAATGCTTTTACGCGGCCCGCTTAAATGTGGTTACTGTGTTTTTTCCGCACGGTTGAGTCACCAGTTAAACCAAAACACCGGCTGCTGGCTGTCAAACGTGTCGACTGCCACTCCTCAGAAATGGACCTGTTTGTAGTGCCAATTTAAAAGCTCAATGAAGTCCAAACCGGTGATTCTATACGCGATGGTGTGCGTGGGGCTGTGAACGCTACCAAACGGAGCGTAGCCACAAGCGTCCGGCGACTCGTGGGTGAGTGGAGAGCATGGGCGTCCTCCAGCCCGCGTGCCGCTGTGTCCTCGGGCAAGACACTGAACCCCAACGTTGCTCCTGTGTGTGGATGCTAGCTACTGATGGACAGGGGCTCATAACTAATTAAATTCATGTGTATATTTGGGGCACGTGCCGTGTTCCG